TACTACTCAAATCAACACCACTTATGACCATCAATCGAATAAAAATTCAAAAATTTTTTATGCAACTTCCAATCATTGTCAATAAAATAAGTCGTTAAACGCATATAATTAATTGTTTGAATAGATTTCCATGTATCCGTAGTAAGAGACAAACTCTTTGATAATTATTTTTTAAGAATTACTTCAAATTTAATTTCTCATACATATAAAGTTGATAGCAATCTCTTGAAATGGTGATCCGTGAGAGAATTTTAAATCTAGGTTGTGCAATTGACATAAATCATTTAAACTTCACATTCTCTACGAATTTAAAAGGAAGTTCATCCATAAGAATCATGTAAGTTAAAGCATTTCTAATGCAATTTGATCAAACCTTTGTGTGCTAAGAGTGTTTTCGCCTTATTGAACACTTGAATTTGATTAAAGGTTCAATTCTGTTTGGGTAAGGTCAAGCATATATGGGTGTTTTTTGCATATGACCATATGAGATTAAAGTGCGGTAGTGCCATTTCTAATATGATGAGCAAGAAGTTCTTTATCACGAGTAATTACATCCTCCTTAATGTCTTTATTTTCATCTTTAAATTTGGTGAAATGATCTCATACAACCGACCTTTGCCTCATTTACTTTTCTCTTTATCTTTGTGTTCACTTGTGTGTTTGATGGAAAGCCGAAGTTGTATCTGCTGTTGGCTCGGGATGGATTGAAGTTGCAACTTCGGCATCAACATCCGAGGATCCCAACATCTATACAAATTCATGAATATATTTGATTAGAAGTATTTCTTTAATATTAGAAAAACTTATTAAAAATTCAACAATCGATATTAAATTTCTTTCTTGCACGATATTATAAAAATATACTTTTCATAACGAGTATGAAAAATAATTATAAGAATAATGTTTTTTACATATTGATTTCAAAACTCAAATTAAAAAGTAAAAGAAATGAGCAAAAAAAAATTATATATATTTATTTCAAATCTACTTCTTTCTATTACACAAATAAAAATCTAGAAGCTCCAATAATCGAGGAACATGTACTATTTTAGGGACCAATTAAGGACACTTGTAATTTTTGATACTTTGTTAAGAATTAATGAATAATTAGAGGACTAATTTGTTATTTGGCCATCCAACTAATTATATTAAGAGAGAGCGAGTCATGCGTGTTCATTAAAAGTGGGAATGAAAACCACCAAATTAATTGAGGACATTTGCAACTTGATGATGTCTTTCGTTCGGTTATGCTCATACTTATGTGGAAAGCTTGGTTTTAATCTTCTAGGATCACTTATCTATTGGTTTTAATGTTTTATTAACAATTTGTAGTACCTTTTATTTCTCATTCTTTATTCAATTATTATATGTATGTTTTTCTTTTTCTCTTTGATAATTTAAGTCAAATTAATTGAATTCAATACCATTTTATATTTATGATCATATGATTTCATAAATTGAATTCATTTTATATATAAAAAAAACACATCACCATATATATTTTTTTTAATAATTACATGTTAGTTTGCGTTTTTTCATCTGTTTTTCAGGTATTATTTTATTGTTTTTTAACTTACTAGAACAATTAAAAAAGAATTGGATAATTTTACTATTTTGTAATTTAAGATGAGTTTTTTTTTTAATAACATAAAAAGAAAAAAAAGCACCACTTCTCAAGTAATAGCATAATTCTGACGCAAGGTAGCTTTTACAAATTGAATATTATGAAAGAATTGATAATGATCCAATGAATTCGTACTGTTCATTGTGCTTGTATTTATGGGAGTTACAGAGTTTAAGTATGTTACAAAGTTTAGAGTTCATATTTACAGAGACTTTCAGTTTAGCTAAAGTTGCTATGTATAGGGATAATCACGAGAAGGATAACTACAAAAGGGAAGAATAAACACAAGAGCGGTGTTTGTCATTTATCTTTATCCAGGCTGGGCATGTGGATTGGCATATGGGTGTGTGGATGAGGCAGTAGCTGTTGTTTGTGGCTGGCTGGGCGTGCATATTGGCATGTGGGTGCGTGGCAGTAGGTGTGGGTTTAGGCAATGGATTTAAGAATGTGGTACTGTCTTGAGTAGCAAGTGACACCAAAGTTGCACTTGTTCCAGCATGATATAGAAACACCTGCTCATCAAACAAGACATGATGTGAGATATAGATTTTGTTTGTGATAAGATCATGACATTTGTACCCTTTATGTAATGTACTATATCCAAGAAAGACACATCTACAAGTCCGAAGTGCTAACTTATTTTTGGTATAAGGATTTAACAAAGGGTAGCAGAGGCACCCAAAGACATGGAGCATCTGATCATAATTTGGTATCTGGTGGAATAAGACTTCAAAGTGACTTTTATGTGCCAATCTGGAGGTCGATAAATGGCTAATGGAATAGACAGAGTAGCAAAAGCTTGTTTCCAAAATTTAAGTGAAAGTGAGGTGTGGTGAAGCAATGCTCATCTTGTTTCAATGATATGCCGGTGTTTTCTCTGAGCACCTATTTTGTTCAGGGGTTTTTGGACAGGGGTTTTTGGACATGAACTGTGGTGTGTTTTTCCATTGTTAGATAGGTATTTTGTTTGGCTTTGAAACGTCCCTCCCCAATCAACCTGAAATGCCTTAATTGATTTGTCAAAAGATTTTTCAACAACATGACGGAATTTGACAAAACAATTAACGACTTTAGATTTATATTTAGTAAAATAAACCTAGAAATATTTGTTGAAATAATCATAAAATAAAACATAATAATAATTGTCATTTAGAGATGGAACAGGAGATGGGTCTTATAAATCGAAGCAAACTAGGTCTAAAGGTCTAGATGTTTAAAAAGATGACTCAGGTAAATGTAACTTATGAATTTTTTTAACACTACAAGCATGACAGAGAGATGTAGAATCTTAAATAGACACATTAATAAAAGACTGACGAAGTGCTTGTTGTACTGTTTTGAATTATGCATGACCCAAACGAGCATACCAAATAGATAAGGAACTCAAAAAGACGTGGTGAGCTGCTCAGAGACGGATTTATTTGCATCGATTACAGCCCATCGTTAAGCTGTCTTGTGTGCAAAATCTACTTCGTATGGATATCCTTCACCAAAAAATAAGTAGGAACAAATTCAAAAGAGACGTTATTAGATTTGGTAAAAGCACTCGCTGACAATAAATTATTAGAAGCATGCGGAACAAGACGAATGTTGTCAAGTGAGAAGTGTGTGTTATTGATTAAGAAAAGGGATGAATCAGTGCGAGTAATAGGAAGAATTTTATCATTGCTGATTGTTACTTCCTCGAGACCGGTGTACTCAGAATGGATGCTCATGTTTTCCATATCGGTTTTGAGAGGGTGCATGGCTCCGGTGTCAACAACCGATAACTGAGAGGTTTTGTGGCTGGGCTGTTTGGATGCTAGATTGGATTCGTGCTTGGGTGAGAAGTGAGAAGGGTGGCGGTCATGGTGTTAATTGGGAGAGGGGCATTGGTCAGCATGGTGTCCAGTTGTAGCATGTAAGTTGTGCTTGCGTGTTTTTTTCAGCTGCTTGATAGACAAACTGGGATCTGCCAAAACTAGTTGCTTTGCTCTTGCCACGGTAACAATTTCTGCCACGTGATGGAGTGAACTCACGGGCAGAGAATTGTGCAATAGGGGGCAGAGAATTGTGCAATAAGTCATCATAGGAGACGGGTGTAAGTCTGGCTTCAATGTTCCTTACGAAGGGACGATATGCTGTAGCTAGACCATGCAGAATGTAATCAACAAGGTCGTTTTCTGTGATAGGGTGCTGTAGGGCAACGAGTCGGTTGGAGAGTTCTTTGGCACGCAACATGTAAGTCGGAATATCATCATTCCACTGTGATAGCTCGATCAGACTTGTGCGCAGCTGGCACACTTGTGTTCTAAAGTCAGATGAGTATACTGTTGCAAGCTTGTTCCAAGCTTGCAATGGGCCGTGTTGATTCTACCGATTGGGTGACGAGGCTGGCAGAGAGAGAGCTCACAATCCAGCTAAGTAAGATTTGATCTTGGGTTTACCATTCAGCATAAGTGGCGTCTGTTTCATCAGGTGGTGGGATGCTGCCATCAATGTGATGCGAAAGCTTGTATCCTCTTAATAACAGTAAGAGTTGTGTCTTCCATAGGAGATAATTTGCTGAGGTAAGTTTAATGGATAATTGGGGTGTGATGTTGGGATAATTTGTGTTTGCAGTAGTACAGGTTGCTGGACTTGGTGAGGTATTAGCGGTTGGGCAGTAGCAGAATCGGCCATGGATCAGGTGAAGTTGACGATTTGAGATTGGAATGGATGATTTTTAACACAAGGACGCTGTTGGAGAAGAGGGTGTTTTGGGCCTGGACCGGTTTTAATGGAGACATTGCTGGAGGATTTTTGTGACAGGAGTTTTAATGGAGATGCTGCTGGAGGATTTTTGTGACTGGATCTGTTTTAATGGTTGGGTTTTTAAACCTCTTAATGCTCTGATACCATGAAATAATTGATAATGATCCAATGAACTCATACTGTTCATTGTGCTTGTATTTATAGGAGATACAGAGTTTAAGTATTTACAGAGACTTTCAGTTTAGCAAGAGTTGCTATGTACAGGGATAATCACGGGAAGGATAAATACGAGAGGGAAGGATTAACACAAGAGTGTTGTTTATCCTTCATCTTTATCCGTATCCTTATCAGATTATTAAGTAAACAACATAATTCTTATATAAAGAGGAAAGCAAATTTCTATAATAAGTAATTTCAATTATTATTCGAATTGGGTGATATTGAACAATATTGATTATAAAGAGGAAAATATGTATGTTTCTGTAAAAAAATGTATAGAAAATTAACCAAACTGGGTAGAGTTTGGAAAATTTACTTCTTTCTAATACTATAATTGCAGTGGCGGGCAGAAATGTGCCACAGGGCCAATTGCTCAAGGAATAAACTCACTCAAAGAGCTATTACATTCTTTTTTAGCTACTAATTATGTTTTTAAACAGCTATTGGGCTGAACAAGGCCTGAAGCAGCTCCACCAACATTGCTGCATGAAGCTTCAGCTTGCTGATTCTTGTAACTCAGCTTTACATCTTCCAATTTGATACCTGTGCACGGATACTTTTTGCTACAATCAAATTTCACTGCAACTTCTGTTGCCGATGATCCATGAATGTCTTGGTAGGTCACATCGCTAATTTTCACACCAGAAACCTGTTTGACGTACAAGAAAATAGAGAGAAAGTTTTAAGCATCTTTTAGATTTTGCCATTCGAAATTTGAATAAAAATAGTACAGAAAGTTGATTTGGGTACCTGGCCAGGGCAATTCTTCCCGCCAGGGCAATAGTTCTGGTCGATTACAATGGGATTTTGGACATTGTTCATGACTGCATGTTGGAAAAGAATATTTCTAGCAAAACCACTGCTAGGCCTTGCCCAAGACTTGATCCTCACTCCATTTTGAGTACCAGTAAAGGTAGCGGTTTTGACAGTCACATTTTGCACCCCAGCCTCTTGAGATTCCTTGCCCAAACTTCCAATGCTACAACAACAATGTATGCATTATTTTAGTTCTCATAATTAGCAACGCATTGAATAGGAATGTAGAGTTCATGATCATGAGGTTATGATTTCCTCAACTACCTGATTCCATGGCCAGGTCCACATGCCATATTTTCAATCCACAAATTGGAGGTACCAGGGCCAATTGATACACAATCGTCACCGGTTCCAATCCTAGAATTCAAGATGGTGACTCCGGTCGATGATTGAACGTGAATACCATCTGTGTTAGGGCTATTGCCAGCGGCAGAGACTTTCACTCCTTGCACTTTGACATTTTGGCAGCCAAGGATGACAATGTGGAACAATTGGCTATTTAGCGATGCCAATCCGGTGATTGCTATGTTTTTTGAATTGGAAAATTCAAGTGACTGCACAATATAAATAAATTAACAAGAAAATTAAGAATTTGAAGACAGATTGCATAATTAATATTCAGTCTAGAGACCAAATTGTAAGATAGTTATGTGTTGATGCATGTGATTAGCATACCGTTGCGCCGTTAGGGCAATCCTTGCCAGAATTCTTGCATGACCACAGTCCGGCACCTTGTCCATCAAGAGTCCCTCCAGATATAGTAACCCCATTAACTTGCTCAAACATTAGCCAATTGTTAGCATTACCGATGACCCCATATTTTGATGGAGCGACTAGGGTGCCATCTATACGTAGCAAAATAGCATTATTCCTGCAAGGACCCTGAAACCTCAATTGACCTAAAGAGAAACTCCCTTTAGGAACAGAAATTGTGGCTGGCTGTGTAGAGGCACATGCTTGTGACCAAGCAGCAGCGAAGGCCTTGGTGGAGTCAGTTTTTCCATCAGGTTTTGCTCCATAACTTAGCACACTATATTGTGCTGCCTTTGCTAAAGGTGAGGAGGCAAAGGAAATGAAGAGAAGGGTAATGAGAAGAGGGATTGCCATACTTCTTTCTGGTTTTGGATAATATATGAATCGATGCAAAATGAAGAGAAAGCGAGACTTAGTTGTAGAGTATATAACTTACGTGAGATGTTGAAGCATGCATTCAGAGAGGTGGTATTTATAGGAAATTTGGATAAGAAATATGCATGCACGCATCACCGCCTTCCCCACCAACTTCCCCCACTTTATTTCCGCTGCACTGTGCACTACTGTGTCTCTTTGCTTCTACAGCAAGTTCAAAGTCTTGAAATCCTATTCTCAATCTCTAGCTCTTCGATCATATAGTTTATCATTTCTCGTACACATTATATATATTTTCTACAATATGCCATTATTAATTAATTAGTCCATTTACAAAAATTTATACTCAATGAACGAAAGGATGATCATGTGCATGCATCATTGATTAGAAATATGGAATATAGAGTATATTTTGGGTATTTGAAACAATAAAGCAAAATCCAAATATTCACTCTTTATGAAAAAGGAGTGTTTTTAACAATAGTTAAGCTTTTAATAAGTGCTTTAATGACATCCCTTAATAAAATCAGCATAAAGATTATGGTTCCGTTTTGAGTACTGTCATAATTATGCCAATTGCTCTACATTTTATTTATTTATTTATTTATTTATGACAAATAAAAGGTTTGAGTTGTAGCTTATTAAGAAGTACTCCTGTTAATTAATTGGATGGGTTTCCGGCGCATTGTTTGTGCCGATTTTAAAAGAAATCTTGGAGAATTAGAACTCTTCATTGCTTGATTACCAGATTAAAGAGATATCCTAAATCCACATGCATTTGAAACTTTTTTGGATGAAATAATTGGAAAGAGACCAACATTTTCAGCCAATTCTTTCTGTGTCTTCAAATTTCAACCTGGAAAAGCACTAGGCACTGCGCAGCTGAGCTAAAAGGGGAAACAATTAGCTGAAAGGATGGAGAAAAGGATAATTACATTAATACACGTAAATGGACACCACTATTCTGGAGTAAGACCTGCCTAACTATGCCATGGAACAAACAGTACAATTTTACTTCCTTGTTCACATTTGCAATCGCATTAACTTTTCAACTTCCTGAATTCTGATCCACAAGTTACATATGAAGATGGGAATTAATTAATCACTTTTGACCTTGGGTTATCAGAATTATGTAGTAAATATCTTTTGACCTTGGGTTACAGTGCCTTAAACCCATCATTTCTAAGCATCTTAATTAATGGGATTGTTACAATAATTAATAGCCTCTTTTCTTTAATTGTTGCAATTGAGTTAAATCATTGCTCCTCCCAATTTGAAGATGAGATCTTGAGTACGTAATACACAAGGAATAATAATATTATTCAATTTACTTAAGAATAATTAAGCTTGTTGTGCTCACATGTATTCGCCAACAACCAAAATTCCTAGCTGAGCTTGACCAAAAGACAGACAAAGAATGGGCTTTTGTTATGTTTGAGAACCCAAAACATGTATGTCTTGAGTCAATGTCTTCTCCACGCGCACGCACACATAAAAACACATGTATAACAGCAATGTTTGATGTGTGAAAGCAATTTTGCTAATGCCTTGTTTTAAGGATTCCCTGTTTCAAGCAATTTTTGCCAGAGGCAGCATGTGATGTATGTGTTTGACCTTTCTTACAATTTGATTGTTTTCATGGTGAAGGTCAAATCGCTTTATGTTCCATACTTCATATATTTGAAAAAGACTATATAAGCAAATGGTACGTACGTACGTAGCAATTGTAAACCCTAGCTAGCTAGCTGCTTCCAAAAATTTCTCAATTTCTTGTCCTGTATATACAAGTGATTGATTAAACTTCGGACAAATTCATACTTGAAACTGATTCCAACTAAGTAATCACGTACAGTGACAACAAATTTCCCTTGAATGGGAAGTAGCCAACTCAAGTAACCAGTTTTCCACATGGGGTTTCTTGTCGTTTGGTGCAATATATGTATGTATATTCACAGCATAGGTTGCTGAGAAACCACAATATACATCTTGACAGAATGGTTGTTGATCAATTAGATTGCTCATTTCTATATGTGTGTGTAAATGAAACTATAGATACAGGTCCCCTGCATGCCATGTTTAATAAGACAGTTGAAAAAAGAAAGCCCAATGTGAGGAATTACTTGAAAAATTATACACAATTACTGAGTCATATATCTATATGATCAATTAGATTGCTCATTTCTATGCATGATAAGTTAGTTTGATATATACACTGTAAATTCACGTGTCAAATAATCGTCTCACTTAGTTTGATATATACCTGTAAATTCACGTGTCAAATAACCGTCTCACTTAAAAATTTAAATAGTTAGATGAAATTCTAAAATCATATAATTTATATTATTTTCTAATATATTTTCTTAAATTGATTATTAAGCTAATAAGATTCTGATACTATATTAAAAAAATATATATACATTTTACCTAAAAACTTAATTAAATTATCAAATAAAGTTTGAAAATATGAATTATATTATCTTTTAAAACACAAATTGCACAACCCAAACAACAAGGCATGCACACCTTTACTATCTCTCTTTTCTTTTCTTTTTCTTTTTTCTTCTGTAGCAAGTAAAAGGAGGAGGAGGGGGAGCAGCCAGCAACAATCTCATGATACATGAACCTAGTCCATTCACGTAGTGCCCGACTTGTTTGGGTGCACATGGTTTATTGCTTGGATGAATGGGTTGCTTTCTCCTGGTCAATACATGCCATCATTCGAAATTACCTATCTAATCCAAATCATTAATGTCAAGGTGTTGAGTCAACGAAATCCAGAATTAATTAATTGCTTTCTATTTATTTCAAGATTTTTAATTTCTTTTTCTTGTTATTACGTACGTGATTGGCAAATTTTTCAACTATTAGTGATTGAATGCCAAAATTAATTAATATAGAAAAACTTGTCAATGGATGTGTGTACTTTTCATTTTCTTCTTACCTTGCACATGGCAGGCACACCTTTAGTATCTCTCTTCTCTCTCTTTCTGAACATGGAACTTGGATATTGTTGGTCACAATCAACACAGAATTAACAATATTGGTTTCCCATTATACATCATGAAGATACGCAAAGCCTTACCTAAGCAGCTGCAAAATTAAACTCTTAATTACTCAACTAACTAACTATCATTTCAACTAACTTCATCACTCTCGAAATAAATAAATAACTTCACGGTGTACTGGGTCCCCAAACAAAGACATTTTCGATTGAGTCCTCCATCTAATGGATAATATTACCTAATTAACACTTGACTTGAGATTTTGCCTTTAAAATCATTAAATAAAGGACCTATTTGTCTTAAATGGTGGCATTTTTCTCATTAATTTCAATGATAGGGAGTTAATGGGTAAAGTTAGAATAGATGGAGGACCCAATTGGTAATTGTTTTTGTTGTGGGGGGGGGTTGTGAATATGTCCTTTTTCCCAAACAACCGTACACATATTAGATTAGTGGTAGTGGATTTAAAAATATAGTTGGTAATATTAGTAGTGAGTAAATTATAAATTAGTCACTTTAGGTTTAAAAACCTAATTAATTAGTCCTTTTTTTTGTTTAAAAACTAATTATTTAGTCCTTGTATTCTTAGATTTTCTTGTAAATGAATTATTTATTATTATTATTATTATTTAATAAAATAAGTAAAAAAAATAACTAAAAATATGGAAGGATTGATGATAAAATGTCATATTTTAAAATAAAATAATATTAAAATTAAGTTTGGTCAACAAAAATAAAAGAGTTTACTTTTTGAAACAAAAAGAACTAATTTTTTTTTTTTAATAAAGGGAATAATTTATAATTTACTCTAGTAGTAGTAGTAGTAGTAGTATTTCAAACTTGAAAGTTGAAACCAAATTCCCTCCTCTTTTAAATTGACAAATGATGATTAGAGAGAGCTTAGCTTAATTAGCTTCAAAATCGGCAACATTCCCGGCGGCAACGACTCCGGATTTCCTCCACTCCACGCCTCACATGGAAAAGGAGACGACAGCGTACACATGCAAATGCAATACAACGTTCTAGTTCTAATAATATGTCTCATCATCTCCCACGTAAGCCACCACCATTTATACCAATTTTATTTGGACCAGAACTTGAAGATGAAGAATGTGATTCTTCAAACCTAGCTGGCTGTAATCAAATCAACTAGTAGCCAAATTCTAGAATCCGGCTAAACTAGCTAATTGAAATTAATTAATGTAGAGTTAAGTTCTTCATCATTATTAATTAGTATGTTTGCTTTGGAATCTTGGGTTTGAATCCAATATCGAAATACAACAATAAAGCAATTTTTTTCATGAATGCACTAGTTGAGATCGGGAATGAATTCGTCTCGATGTGTAAAAACTAGAGTATATAAATTAGTTCCTCTATTTTTTAAAAACAAATTAATTATTTTTTAAAAACTAATTATTTAGTTTTTTTTACCAGTGCTAGTCATGTTTAATTTAAAATTATCATCTTTTCTCATCAATTATCACACACACATATAGATTAAAAAAGAATGAAAAGGATTAAAGTACAAAACAATTTAAAAATATAAAAAATTAAACGATTAGTTTTTAAAACAAAGAGGACAAATTGATTTGTTTATCAAACTAATTATTCACAATTTACTCTTCAAAACTGACTTCTAGAGAAATCAACATAATTATTAAACAGAGAATGCAAAAAACTTGATCTTTATTTTCTCATAATTTTGAGTTTTTTTTTTTAGTTCTGTAGAAAAATATCATAATTTACAACCAATGTTTGCACAACAACTTATCACATGGGCTATGTTCATTTTTCTTCCTCAAGTGAAGATTCATAGCTTATAAAACTGCATGTGGCCGTACATATCATCCCTATAAGTACAAATAGAGACGTGCAAATAAACAAAGTTCAAGTTTATTTGACTTATTTAATTAATTAGTAATAATAATTTGCAGTTGACAAATATTCATTCAAGCAACCTTAATCTATCCCTAGCAACATTTTTTTTTTTTTTTTTTTGAAGAGTGGATTTCAAGCCACCATAAAGCACTCCTCCCTATAAATATATGCCCTAACTGCCATTTTCGTATCATCCAACTGAACTGCTAGAAATTCATAATTAATTGTTTCATGATGGCTAAGTTTGCTGTTTCTTCTCTAGCACTCTCCTTCTTCTACATTTTTCAACTATCAAATGCAGCTTCTACAACCTATAATGTGATCCAGTTTGGTGCAAAACCAGATGGCAAAACTGAGGCAACGCAACCTTTTCTTAAGGCATGGTCAGCTGCATGTAGCTCAGCCACTCCATCCATAATTTCTGTGCCTAAAGGAAGGTACTTGCTAAAGGCAGTAGAGTTTAGAGGTCCATGCAAGAACAAAATTACGGTTCAGATAGATGGAACCCTTGTAGCTCCTACAGATTACCGTGCCCTAGGCAACTCAGGCTACTGGATTTTGTTCATTAGGGTTAATCGAGTTTCTGTCTTTGGTGGCAACCTTGATGCTAAAGGTGCTGGCTTTTGGGCTTGCAGGAAATCTGGACAGAATTGTCCTGTTGGAGCTAGGGTAAGTAAATATATATATAATTTCAATGAAATTTAAAAATCAATTTAGTAATTCAACAAGTTGCATTATGTATATATTTCCAAATGCTAGTGATCAATTATATATGTAAAGTTGATCTCCACATGGCCAGCAAAATTTCAGACGGCCACTCCTCCCTTAATCATGCGGTCTTTTTCCAATAAATTTTTGCTGAGTTTCAGCTTCACATGTTAATGTTAATTAATGTATTTGTGGTTATGTATTTAATTAATTGCCATATGTATGTATATATATATATTTTGATGCGAAAGTATTTTTGGCAAAAATTTAAAACCTCAACTAAATCAATAGTTTAATGTTAATTAATGCATTTGTGGTTATGTATTTAATAAATATTTTTGAAAAAAATTAAAACTAATTAATGTGGTTTGTGTTTTAACGTGAAATTACTTTCTTTTGTTAATGCAGTCGATAACATTCAACTGGGCAAATGACATCGTCATCAGTGGCTTGACATCCATAAACAGTCAATTAACTCACCTTGTTATCAACAGCTGCAACAATGTTTTGGTCCGAAATGTAAGGACAATTGCTCCCGACCAAAGCCCTAACACTGACGGTATTCATGTCCAATCATCTGCCGGAGTTACAATCACCGGCAGCACTCTTCAGACCGGAGATGACTGCATATCAATTGGTCCAGGCACTAGGAACATGCTAATGAGCAGCATTAAGTGTGGCCCTGGACATGGTGTCAGGTAACAATTATTAATAATCACGTCAGAGCGTTTTCACGACCGAATCCATTTTGAATTTGATAAATGCATTGCCTCTAAAGTATATGCTTGTCTATGTCATATAGATTTACCAGTTGTTGATTGGAAATTGAAAAATAATATTCGATCGGAAGAAACAATTGAATTTGAACGTTCTACCTATAATCATCATTAATTAAATTAAATTACATCCATAATCGTAGTTTGATTGCTAAATTCGTAGTAATTGAGTGGTTTCTGATTTATATATGTTTGAATATTTGTTGTGAATTGAACAGCATTGGAAGTCTAGGCAAGGAATTCAACGAAGATGGTGTAGAAAATATAACTTTGACAGATTCAGTCTTCAGTGGATCAGACAATGGCGTGAGGATAAAATCATGGGCCAGGCCCAGCAAAGGATTTGTGAGGAATATTTTCTACCAAAACCTCATGATGAAAAACGTTGAGAACCCAATCATCATTGACCAGAATTACTGCCCTAATAACGAAGGTTGTCCTCGACAGGTAATTAATTAATTACAACAATATTTAAGAATAGCTAATGTCTTTAATTAATTAATTAATTCAAAAAAATCTAATTAATTTGTTTTATGTTTAATTTAACAGAGTTCTGGGGTGAAGATCAGTGAAGTTACATACAAAAACATACAAGGAACATCAGCAACAGCAGAGGCAATAACATTTGATTGCAGCCCTAGTAATCCATGCAGAGGAATCAAATTACAGGACATAAAGCTTAGTTACATGAACAAAGCAGCAACATCGTCATGTAAGAACATAGGTGGAACCAGCAGTGGAGTGCTTATGCCTGAGAGTTGTGTTAATAATTAATAATTAATTAGAGTAATTAAGATCGATTGGTTGATCCTTATGTATATACAGGATCGATAAAGTTGATTATGTCTCTTTCGTTTTTAAGGGGTAAAAAAAGAATCGGGTGGTGTTAGGTTAATCATTTGGATTAGTGGGTGAAACACACCATGTGTAAGCAGCTATTAATTTAAGCTAACACGATTGAGTGTGGCAGTAAATCCCACTGATAAAAATATTGTTCCCCAGTAATTATAGGTATTGGATTTTGTATTAAAATATATTGAATTTAACGTGATCTTCCGTAATTCTGTTGTCAATTTTTTTTTCTCAGTTAATTGGAAATATATATATGTGTGTGTAATGTTTCATTGCGATTTTAGAAACTAATTAATTAATTAGAAAAACCATTTTGATTGTTTAAAGATCGATAAAATCTCTATCAAGCAAGATGTATTTATCTCAGGCAATTATTATTTTTTTCGTTAATAGTTAAATTTGTATATATTTATATAATAAGATAATTCTTCAATTTTTTCTTATATCTTTAATTGAACAAATTTTATTTTTGAATATATATTATAATTTATTTCAAAAAAAAGATTTTCAAGTTAAATTATTAGAATTACTTACAAGATTGGCAAACCTTTTATTTTATTTTCTTGCAAGGATTTTTTAAAAATAAAAACCAATCATGTAGAAATTGAATGAATAATTCTGATGGCTTAATTTGAAAATCAAGACCAAGCGATAAATTGAAAATTTAAGGTATTTCAAAAATAAAATTGACACAATTGAAATATATATATAACAGATTTGAGAATTTCTTTATTATATAATGATAGATTGAGTTATTAAATCTTTTTTTCCTTGACAATAAAAAATATTCCTATATTAATTTGCACATAATTAAAATTAAAATTAATTCTTCATCTCGTCGCTTTTAAAATTGTATTCTTCACATCATATTATGTATTTAAAAAAATATATATTTTCTTCAATGTTTACTTTAAAATTGGAATATAGAAAATCAAGAAATAATTAAATAATTATTGATAATAATTGATAAGAAATAATTAAAAATTAATGTGATATATTTTAAATAAAAAGAAGATAGAGAAAAAAATTATTAAAATATACCGAGAGAGACTTATATAACGAGAGAGCGAGACGAGTTCGTGAGAAGGAAAATGTTTTTCTCTTTTGAAACTGGTAAAACATTTTTTTAAAATTATTCTATCATTTTTCGTTGATTGAAAATCATTTTTCATTAACTTTTTTTCTGAATGTGAAATAAACACTGAAAGAATAAGAAAAACAAATTCCAAAAACTTGTTTTTCTCCAAACAAACACATTCCACGATCTATCTCCGTGTGTTGTCAAGTGAGATTGTGCCGAATTTGGAATGATGTCAGGCTAATTAGCAAGTCTTGGTCAAATGGGCAAATATATAGTTGTTTTATCAATCCCCCTCCAAGTTTGACTACAAATGGGTTCTAACTTCTAACATAAGCTTCCTTTGACCATCTTTCTCTTTTAGAAACGTGTTATCAGACTGAAAATGAAAAAAACCAGTCAACATATTTTCATGTTTCTCTTCTTCTGTTATTATCTTTTCTACATTAATGCATGGTCGTTCATGTTTAATAAAATAGTCAGCTATAGAACAACAAGTTATTAATTCAAAATATATAATTTAAATCTTAAAATTATATTTATTTAAAAAATAAAATTTATTATTATCGTCTCCAATATTATTCATCTTGTATTTAATATGGATGGGGATACATAAAAAAAAGGCCGGCTACAGATTTCTTTTCACCAAAAAATTTGGTCAAAATTTGAAAATCCTTTTAATCTTCTTTCACCTTTTCAGATTCTTTTTCTTGACCCAATTAAAAAGTGATATATTTGGTCAAATAATTTTGGTAACGCAGACTATATATATATATATATATATATATATATATATATATATATATATGATAATTCAACTTCTCTTGCTTAATTGAGATCCTGATTAGCTGGTTTGGTACGGCCAATAATTAGCAGTTGGTTTAGCTAGCTTGCTTAATCACGGGTCAAAAATGGGTTCATTTTCAAAGAGATTGAGATGCCCTAGCTAACTAAATTCCAATTATAATTAAGGTCTAGACAAGTCACCATCGATCTCTAAACAAATTTTAGGTATACGTCAACTCACATAATAGTATATTGATAATTTGCTTCATACTATAATATTATTATTATTATTATTTTCATGATATTAACAAAAACAAAGAAATAGACAAAAGGGTACATCTTAATTACGATGAAACACATGTATAAAAATGTTTTAAGGTATCGTAAAATTACGTACAAGCATTGAACCGATAAAAAAAAAACACAATCCAATCAATTTATGCATCAATTAAAATTATTATTTTTTTAAAATATAATTTATATATCGATCCAATTCATTTAAGAATTAATCTCGAAAGCTAAACTTGAAAAATAAGAAAGGAATTAAATTTATTTAACCAGTGGATTAAAAATTTCTTTTTGGATGCCGAATTTGCCTAAGTTCTAATATAAGAAAATGATGCCAGGTGTGGAGGCTTGTCCAAGTGGATGCTTGCCGGTTTGGACTTGTCCTGTTACTAAAGGACAAACAGTCGTGGACTTGCCTGCAGCAAATGTTCTCTCTCGATTATATTACGTAATTAACAATTTCTCCTCATTTTCCCTTGGATCCAATTGGATTATCTATAATGTTTATTTTTTTAAAAAAAATAATTATATAAATTGTTTTTTGGATAATGATTCCCTTCCATGTGCATGAAATTTTTTGAGTATATAACAGTTATGATGGTTTCACAATTAAGGTGGCAAAATCTGATCATAGCCTCTCCTCAACTAGGATTTCTGTCTTTTTCTTATGTTTGGAAGATGTTGGCCATGAATTAATTTTATCTTATATGTTAAGTTTGTAATTTATTTTTCTAGTAATATTTTCAAGTTAGATTATTGAAATTAATCATTTGATCTGGACATAAAAAAAAAAAACATTTTATTTGTGCAAAAATATTTAGAAAATAAACAATAATTATGTGTAAATTGCGTGACTTATTCTAAATGATTTTGTTTAAAATCTTATCAAAAATGAATTAAAAATGTAATATATATTAAAAAAATAATTCAGTTAAAAATATAAAAATAAATAAAACAAATTATATTATATAAAAACAAATTGAACTGAACAAAAAAAAAAAATCTATTATTTTTGGCAAAGCAAAAGGTAAGAAGGTTTCTTATAATTCACCACCTTCGAATTTCCATTTATAAATTAAAATAAATAAATAATTAAAAAATTTTACCTTGATCGTCAAAGAATTCGAGATTAAAATTATGACATTATCATGTGTCATGATATAAAGATTATCGAACCATCAAAATAATTTTACCATAATTTTTAGATGATTGGCTTGAGATACAACCAGGTTGTTTTTTTATGATTATACATACCATCCATAATTTTTTTCTAATGTAATGAATCAAGAATATATTACATGTCATCTAAAGGATACAATAAGTTCAATCACCTTATCGTATCTTAATAAATTTATTCTATTTATAAAACTTAAAAATTTAAATAAAATTAACACCACTCTTATCCAAAACATATAACTAAAAAATTATATGACTTTTTTGTTTAAGTGGGACTATAAAGAATAAAACAAATAATTTATTAGATGGTGTTATATATTTTTCTCTTCTCATCAAAGTATCTCTTGCACAATTTGTGAAAAACTTGGCTCGTGGACGGGCACACACACAAACGTTTAGCAAATTAACTTACTTAAAAAAACATATTTTTTAAAAATAAATTGTCCATTATGAAACTGTTATCAAAATAGTTTTACAAAAACCTACAAATCTAATTAAAACGGCTGCCGTAACTTTTAATGTTTTATCAAAAAAAAATTCTAACGGACTACATACATGTTTTTCACACACAAAATAAAATAAAAGTTGGTCAACTCACATAATATTATATTGATAACTTGCAACATACTATATTATTATTATCATGATATTAACAAAACAAAGAAATATACAAAAGGGTGTACCTTAATTACCATGAAACGTATGTACAAAAATGTTAGAAGGATTATAAAAAGAATTAAATCGATCAAAAAAAAAAACAATAGAATCTATTTGTACGTCAATTAAATTATTTTTTAAAAATATAATCTTTAGATCAATCTAATAACTTATCTCGAAATCTAAACTTAAAAAATACAAAAAGAATTATTTGTTTATAACCATCGAATTAAAACTTGTTTATATATATATATATGTGTGTGTGTGATTTGCCTAAGTTTTGACATAAGAAAATGAAAAGATCAATTGCCTAAAAGATCAAAATTCAAATACCATTAGAATGTAGAGAGGTCCAAATATATATAGAAACTTGCCGGTTTGGACTTGTCCTGTTATTAAAGGACAAACCGTCGTGGAACATGCCTACAAATGTTTTCTCCCTCAATTACATTACGCAATTAACATTTTCTCCATTTGGGTTCTCTCTCTCTCTCTCTCTTTTTAAGTAATAATAATTATATATTTGGATATTGATTCCCTTCAATAATCTGATTATAGCCTTTCCTTAACTAGGATTTCTGTCTTTTTCTTATGTTGGAAAATGTTGGTCATGAATTAATTTTATCTTACATGTTAAATTTTTTATTTATCTTTCTAGTAATATTTTCAAGTTAGATTATTGAAACAAATCATTTGATTTGGACATTAAAAAAAAAAAACCTTTTATTTGTGCAAAAGTATTTTAAAAAATAAACAATACTTATATGCAAATCACAGGACTTATTCTAAATGATTTGATTTTAAAACCTTATAAAAAATTTAATATATATTTGAAAATAAAATTAATTCAGTTAAAAATAAATAAAAGAACATCATATTACATAAAAACAAATTCAACTGACTAAAACAAGTCATAAAAAAAAATATTCTTTTTGGCAAAAGCAAAAGGTAAAAGCTTTCTCATCGTTTACCAACTTGAAATTTCCATTTATGCTCTTAAAAAGTCAGGTAAACGACATGTTTTCCACACAAAAAAATGATCACACAATAAGTTAAAAGAATTCCAATTTTACTTTTACTTTTACGTTGTCACTGAAAAACAAGATAGAGTCTGCTGATCGTTTGAGACAAAAAGACTTTCCGCAAACAACAAGTGAGCCAAAACGGTCGGTGGAGGGGATGAGATTGGACAAGAACAGAATCACACACATGTTTTTGTTCTTTTTTTTTTTAAATCTGTTCAATTTGTCAGTTAGCCATTTGCTAGTTTTACTTTTATGAAAAAAGCTTTTATTTTTTTATTTTTTATTTTTTTTATAGACGTTGTGGTTTGCTGGTTGCCTCCACCATTTATAAGATATTTTGAGAAAGTGGTTTTGTATGTTTATGATGTAGACAATACTGGCGGCCAAATGATAGGATGAGTGGCCACAAAACGTTGTTTTTCAAAGAATATTTTGTTTTTTGTTTTTTTTTTTAAAAAAAGATGACTGCTTTAATTTACTTGGTTGGCATGTGAATTTACTTTTTTAAAAGGAAATTTAGGTAAATTATTTTTAAGTGAATAATGGTAAAATTTATTGCCTAGATACAGCGCACCTATATAATTGTTTTTTTTTTTTTTTAAATATCTCTATCTATTTTTTACGTTGTTTACTCATGGATATTCTGTATTCTTAAAATACCATTGCAAGCACACCCAATAAAAGATTTTTATGTATAAATCGTCTAACTAATTTCTTATATTTTAATTTAAAAAATTTATCAAATAATATATTAGACCCTTAATATATATTTAAAAATAAAATTTATTTAATTAGAGATATAATGTTATATTAAAGAATCATTTTGTGATATAAATATAGATAGATTAAGTCGTTAACCGTTGTTATTGAATATTTTTATATCTTTTCTTACCTTGAAAGTAAATATACCGAAACTAAATACTTATAGATGAACAATGCTATTTATCATGAAATTTTTTACAAAAAAACAAAAAAGATATGAATATGTTAATTAAAATTTATTTTTTTAGTTCATTAAATGATGTATCGACATGATATAAGTTTAGATTTATTTAATGAACGAATAAATTGAAAGATATTAAAATAAATAAAAATATCGATTTAGATACAATAGATAAATTATTATTGTTGATCGTGTCTATATCTGTACTAAAATGCTAATACAAATGAAGTTGTCAGTAAGATGTTACATTATTTCTAATATTTTTTGGGTCAACAATAATGATGTATTGGCAGAGTCAGTAATCTAGGAAGGTAAAAGACAGTTAAAGCTTGTTCTCTCTCTGTATTGAATACTGTTAAGGCTTTCTTTCATGATAGTAAGTATAAATAAAGCAAGTGCTAGTAAATCAATAAAGCCAAAAAGATTCCGTTTTTCGTAGTTCACTTAGGATAAAAGCATCCTTGGTGGGGGGGAGAGAGAGAGAGATGACCAAAGCTGGTTGCTGATGTTATTTTGTCACTTTCAGCTTCTTGGAAATCACTTGCTTGGGTTTTGATTATTTTATATTGTGGAAGTTGAAAGTTTCAGTTTTTTGGATTTCATTTCTCACATCAGGTATTGAACTTTCATTTCACTTTCTGGGTTTTCTGTGTTTGATCGATCGATTATCATCTTGACAGGTGAGAAAGAAAGTGTTTTTTTAAAAAAATCTACAGTGGATGGACGCTGTTCAGTTTGTCTTATCAAGTTCTCTTATCACCTCCAAGAAGTGGTTGATTGTTTCTTGTAATTTTGAAAATTGGGTTTTCAAGTGTATACAAAAACTGTTAGTATTTCTTAGGATCAGATAGACTGAGGTTTGTGTGAAATTCATGTTTGATCATCGTGAAATGGAAGTGAGTTCTTGGCTTTAGAATCCATAGAATTAAGATTTAGAGGGTGACAAAGGAAGGGGTTTTTTTATTTTAGAGTTGCTCATTATTGGGCATTTTTGTGGATGACCATGGAGAAATGAAAGTAATTTCTGGGTTTCAAATTAAAGAATCAAGGTTTCAGTTAGAAGCAAGGGATTGAAATTTTTGAGATTGGTTGAGAAGTCTGTGAGGTACTGTGTGTGACCATGAAGAAACAACGCAGCTTCAACGGAAGAATAATGGAAAAGCAGCAGAGTTTTCGCGGATTAACTGACAAACAGAAAGTGTTTGAAAAGCAAGTCAGTTTTCATGGAATACCAGAGAAACAGAAAGCGATGGAAAAGCAACCTAGTTTTCGTGGTTTAAGAGAAAATGGGTCAACTTCTCATGGGGTGATGGAAAAACACCCCAGTTTTCGTGGAGTAGAGAAGGGTTTTCGTGGATTTCTGGATAAACAGAAGAGTTTTCGTGTAGTGATGGAGAGGCAGCTTAGTTTTATCGGTGGTGGTGAGAGGAAAAAGACTAGAGATTCACCTGGAAAGCGAGGTGACTCACAGATTCATTTGGCAGCGCGTACGGGGAATTTGAGTAGAGTTAGAGAGATCCTTCAGAAGTCTGATGGCAATGATTTGAAGCTTCTGTTAGCAACGCAGAATCAAGAAGGAGAAACTCCTCTTTACGCAGCATCAGAGAATGGGCATGCTGCAGTTGTTGCTGAAATGCTGGAATACATGGACCTGGAGACTGCATCTGTTGCAGCTAGGAACGGATATGATCCATTCCATGTGGCTGCAAAGCAGGGTCATCTTGGTAAGAAATCATTCTGATTTTGCACTTTGGAATCTTTTTTCTCCATTAACATTATTTGGTTGTATGTTATTGAATAACAGTTGTTAACTCACTTGAGCTGACAAAATGGCTTCATTCTTTCCATGTATCATTTTTCCTATGATTTATTCTCATTCTTTGCATGCTATCAAATTCTTTCATGTACTGACAAGAGAAGAAGAACCTAGTTAAGTATTATACAAATCATGTCCATAAGATAATAGAATTCCCAATTTCGTGAGATATGTCAAATGTTTTTCATGTGGGTTACAGGTATTCTGGTCAGTAACTAGCCTGTTTGAGGTTCAGAGCATTAAATATGGATGCTTGTACCCAATAACGCGTGAATTTCTAGATTTTAGAGTGATTAGCGTGAAATTAGAACTCAATTTAGTTTCAAGATTTCTCTTCTCTAGTATTTTTGTAATCACTGAATTTAACTACTTGTGTGTGGATGTATTTCTCTCTTGCTCTTTCTGCTTAGGAATCTTTAGGAGAATTTCTAGCATTGTTTCTTTTCCATCTGCAACATAAATTGAGCATTAGGGTCAAACTCACTGGGGGCAGTGGCTTGAATCCTTTTCCTCCGTTCTGTGGCTCTCAGCAGGTTTTCTTGTTTGTATGATGTTGCTAGAGTTTGCATTGACTGTGAAACTACTGCAAACATTTTTTATCCGGTCTTGAGACTAGAGGTTGTGTTGAGGTGTAAACCAAGACAGACAAAGTTTGTACCTTGGCTATTTGCAATGCAAGATAAATTGTTCTGCTTCTAGAAAAAATTTAGGTTGTCACTTATAATTTTCTTAAACCTTGCAGATGTCTTGACGGAGCTTTTGCGTGTATTCCCCAACTTGGCCATGACAACAGATTTATCATGTACAACTGCTCTACACACAGCTGCTACTCAAGGGCACATTGATGTGGTCAATCTTCTTTTAGAAACAGATGTAAATCTTCTTAAGATTGCCAGGAATAATGGCAAGACTGTCCTCCATTCAGCTGGAAGGATGGGCCACTTGGAAGTTGTGAGGTCCCTTCTAAGCAAGGATCCAAGCACTGGTTTTAGGACTGATAAAAAAGGACAAACTGCACTGCACATGGCTGTAAAAGGGCAAAATGAGGAAATCGTGCTGGAATTGCTAAAGCCTGACCCCTCAGTTATGCATGTGGAAGACAATAAGGGAAACACAGCATTGCATATTGCAATAAAGAAAGGCCGTGCACAGGTACTTCCTCATTTCTTTATCTTCCACCCTTTCTATTTAGCTTGTTATGTCTCAGAGACTACAGCAATGCAAGATGTCTTCCTTGATAAATTCTGCTCCATCATACACATTCCATAGTGAGACATATGTTGTTGATGCAAGAAATCTGGTTTTCATAAAAACTTGGGTTTTCTGTAGATAAGATGAAAACTTTTAGTAGATTTGTTATGATTATGGCTTTCTCACAGATCCGATCCTGCCTACAGTTTATTTCTTTCACTTTCTTTAAATTCAAACAACTTTCAGAAATAATGAAATGCATTATTTGTAACTTTTGTTTGTTATACTCAACACTCCATTTCTCAAACAACATCGTTACCAATTTGCATAAATGATGTCAAAATGCTGATTGTTTGGCAATATCTTATAGAGTTGGCTATCAATTGCAATGTCCTATTTTGCAATATGAATTTTCAGTGAAATCCTCAGGGATTATTGTATGATGCATAGGATGGACTTTAAGAATAAACCTTCTAATATCTTATATCCCTGTCAAAAGAAGTGTTTTCTTCTGATGAGAATTTTTGGGAAGTTGATTGATTGTGAAAACAATCTCAAAGGAGACTCGTACTGAAAATAATACATAATTGTAGGGGGAGTATCTTGCGACTATGATTTGACAAAAAGTAAACTATTTATGATGGCATTATTGAGATCACATGTTGTAACCAGATAACATCATGTTTTTCTTCACTTGCCCTCTTCAGTTCTTTTTTTCCCCCTTAGTCAAAAGATAGTTTATATTTGTTTGGCAACCTTAATGAGATTCATCATTTAATTGCAGAATGTACGTTGTCTGTTATCAGTCGAGGGTGTTAAGATCAATGCTATTAACAAAGCTGGAGATACCCCACTTGACATTGCAGAAAAACTTGGACTTCAAGAGCTTGTCTCTATTTTGAAGGAATTAGGGGCTAGCAATTCCAAAGACTGTGGAAAGCCCCCAAGTTCAGCAAAGCAACTAAAGCAAACTGTCAGTGACATAAAACATGATGTCCAGTCCCAGCTCCAACAGACCCGTCAAACTGGGTTCAGGGTGCAGAAAATTGCCAAGAAGCTGAAGAAGCTACACATTAGTGGTCTCAACAATGCAATAAACAATGCGACTATTGTTGCTGTTCTCATTGCCACTGTTGCTTTTGCGGCCATTTTCACTGTGCCTGGCCAATATGTTGAGGAGAAAACTGAGGGGGCAGCAATTGGGCAAGCCCGTGTAGCAAGAAATCCTGCTTTCTTAGTCTTCTTCGTATTTGACAGCTTGGCATTATTCATCTCTCTGGCTGTCGTTGTAGTCCAAACATCTGTTGTTGTGATTGAACAAAAGGCAAAGACACAGCTTGTGTTTGTTATTAACAAACTCATGTGGCTCGCCTGCCTCTTCATTTCAGCGGCGTTCATTTCTCTAACTTATGTGGTGGTGGGTAAGAAATCCAGGTGGCTTGCTTTCTATGCAACGGTCATTGGTACCATAATCATGCTCGCTACGATCGGCTCCATGTGCTATTGTGTCATTTTACATCGGATGGAGAAGTCAAAGTTGAGGAATATAAGGAGAGACAGTAGGTCCCGTTCTCATTCTCTGTCTGTGGCATCAGATCAAGAGATTTTGAACAGTGAATATAAGAGGATGTATGCACTCTAAAGACATTAGGATTTGGAGAACTGAAACAAGGATTCTATGGCCTATTATTTCACTCTATATATGAAATAGCTATGCTCACTCTGGTGGTTATACAATTTAATATCAGAAGTGGAGCTAAGGTGTTGATTTGCTTAATACTAAGAGACGAATGAAACACTCGACAACTGAAAGGAAGTCCTTCATCTCCTCACTCTGGCTGTGCATGGGCTTCCGAGAAAGCTTCCACGACAGGTTTTGGTTTCTTTCTCCTGTAGGTTGCTCTGTGGTTTCCTATTGGATGAGCTCAGATCTGGTCTGAATTTGGATTTGATGACTGCTTACAGATTTGATTGAAGCTCCAAGCAGGTATAAAGGTGTCAATGACTGATGCTGTGCAAGGGTCTGCTTGAACTGTATGCATAATATGTAGAGAATGTAGTAATAACAGGATCCCTCTAATTAATGGAGAAAAGCTTTACCACATGGAAATAATTTTCTATCCCTGTTTTGCCTGTAATCAGTTTAGTTGGAATTTTTTTTTTTTTTTTGGTTTAAATTTAGTCTACCAGGTAAGCTAAAAAGATTCAGCAATGGAAGGATTTACGAACTCCAGATATTAAAAGCAAGAAAGAGAATTGATGCTCATTTAGCTCCTAGCTCTTAATCTGCTGCAACAGGTGAAAACAAAATGCCAAATAGTTCCAAGCTGACAAAAAGAGAACTAGCATTTGAAAATTTGCAACATTTTTACTGCAATTTTCGGAAGACCTATTCAGTACAATAATCTTTGATTTGATTACAGTGCTTGAGTTTTTTCTTCTCTCTGGAAAAGAATGAGGTAAAGAATTCTCACCTGACATCAACATATGCAAACATCATAAACAAAAAGAACCTGTTTTCAACTTGATGAGATGTAGACCATTGTCCGTGATTATTTACATCAAAGACTTGACGCTTGGTATCGGATTAAGTTCCCTCAATGCTGTTTCCAGGTGATGTGACTATTCCTGCCCAATCTATAAGACCTCGCTATCGTTTCAAAAGTTTCGGAAATCATCAACCACATCAGAGGAACCACTTAGTTGTCGAACGTCAGACCGGTGAACCGAGCCTCCTTGGCCTCTCCGAGAACTGTTTGATTTAGAGTCAATGCGCACTGTCTTGGCTGAGTAGCAGTGTCGAACAACGATTTGGTGACTATGTGTCTCCGTTGCATTACTGCCTTGGATATTCACAGACAATATAACTTCCTTGTCTCGTGTGTCTTCAGACCACCAGTTTTGCGGGATTCCATCAACCAGCTCTTCTAAGGAACGGAAATCTTCATGGTGTACTGCGACTTCCACAAAGTGGTCTTGTTTGATTATGCCTGCTGCTGGTGTAACCTATATCCAGACAATAAGAAAGATAGTTCAGAATGAAAGGAAAAGCTCCATTTGAATCGGATATGGAAAGAGTGGTTCAAAACAAAATGAATAAAGCTGAAGAGGGGGTTAAAAGATTCAGATAGTATGAACATAAACTCTTCAAGATTTACAGTTGAAGAAGATCATTCTGGACAAAATGTCCTCGTTGCGTTGCCAGCCAACTTGCTGGCCATGCATGGACTGATACTGCTGTGTGGCTTGGGTTCAGGGCAGTTACTTTACAATCTGATTTTATAAACTTGTATCCAGTTTTAAAATAAGAATAGTACCTCGAGCCATCTTGGAAAGCCATACGAACCCCGTGAATGATAAGTATTCTCCTCTCCATCGTCACTGACAGTGCACACACCTTCACAAGTAATTCTGAATATAGCTTTTTCTTTCACATCTTTGTTGGTGATTCGCAAGATGACTGTGTCCTGGCTTTGCAGGCGGATATTGTTGGTGCTTACAGTGGTTTCTGGCACATAACGTAATTGTTCAAGGATAGACCTGACTTTCTCATTAGACCTGAGAACCTCTCCATATTCTTGTCTCCTCACTGATCTATCAACATGGGCAACTTGAACGTGGAACTTGCAGCGGACAGGTTTGTGATCGCTCTCTATGACATCCATGCAAGCTTCATACCTTTTGAACATGAAAATCAAATATCAGAATACAGAATTGCTTGTAAGGGGAAAGGAAGCATCAAAATTATCCCATAAACCTACTGTATAACTGATGAGACTACAGGGCAGTCTAAACTGCAATCAGACACTGGAGTTGATCGGTTGTCACGGTATATTATTCTGTCACACCAAGCTGGAATGCGCTTTTTCTCCCCGGAATCATATCCTGTGGATAAGACACATAGTAAAAATTCTAAGTTGAATGATATATCGGAATATTTTACAAAGCAAAGGATTAAGAATTGGAATATTGTACTAAGGAAATGAATAAGAATTCATGGGCAAACTCAATCAAGGTGATCTTTCAAGATTTTCTGGACAAGCGTAAGCTCATTCCCAGCACTGCGAACCGTCTCAACTAAAGGGATGCAAAAACTTGTAGCATTTCTGCTGAATTTTACCTGCTAAACCTGGTTGGTTTCTTGCAAACTTGTAAGTAGGAGGGAACACAATGACTGCCTCACGCATTCCTTGAAAAACTTTCCCTGCCTGCATCTCTGCTCTGAGCTGATCCTTTTCTCTGAGCCAATCAAAGCTTCTTTGTGAAACGAAGTCTCTTGCCTCATCATATGATATACCAAAAAGCCGGTAATTAAAATCACCAAGAAACACCACCATATCTGCTTCAGCTAAATCAAGCCTTGCTTCTTCATGGTTGGCACTCGCAGCCTGTGAAAGCCCCAACACCTTGTAACTCATAGGTCATACCCAAATAAAGATTGTCCTAGCAACTATAAAATGGTCATAAGAACGTACATTTGTACCCTTAACCGTATGACTTGCAGTTGCGACGCCAGCTGCAATAGATAGGACCAGTGGGAAGCCAGAAACATAAAGCATCCAAAATAAGAATGTGGAGAAGGCAAGAACGCAACAGAAAAACAGGAATCGCACCATACCAGCTGCCGTAAGGTTTGATGTCCGACCAAAGGACATATTTCGAAAAATATGATCAAAATCGGCATTGCGCCGATTGACTGCTTCCAAATGTGCAGCCAAGTGACAGTTAACAAAGCACATTATCCTGTCAAGAACTCTAATTCTCAAACCTACACCTCCCTGCAAGGACAGATTTGTCAACGATGCTAGAAAATGGTACACAGAAAATGAGATGGTTTTATATATTGAATAGAGACTGCACAATGTCAGGCAATACCCAGTAATGGTCAAATAAGCATTATGAAGGTAGACATACGAACCTTATTACCAATTGCACGTCCAAAGCCACATGGAACCGCTGCAGCATCAACATCACCAACATGTTTTCTGAGATTCTTTCTTACCCTAATTGAGAACTCACAATATAAGATGTAATAAACCATTACAGTGATGAACTCTTAGGACACGAAGACAGGATTAAGATGAAGAATGCTTCTTCAAAAGAAGGAAAGATTAACTGAAGCTTTCTTCTGAAAATAACAGGTTAAACCTGCAGCACGCACTAAAGTTACAATTACTCACCAAAGAGATATGAGCAAGCCTGCAAGTTGCCTGGAACCCATACGTTCAAAAGTTGTTCCTTCATCCAAGGCTTTTCCTATATTGTCCAGCCACCACTGCCCAATGTTACTCCCTTCAAGTCCTACCTACGAACAAGCAGCAAACAAAATAATGTGCAGAACAATATAGAACAAATCTCTTCAACTAAAAACAATTTCCCTTGCATTGAACATAGTTGAAATTCTCTATATCCAAAATCCAGAGTGTTGATTTTTCTAAACTCTAGAGATGTTTATCTAGCATCAATTTTTGTGATTATACAACTAACAATTCACTCAAACACCTATATATATATATATTATACATCAACTTGTCATGAAACTACATTAGTTGCTAAAAAAAAAAAGATAGAGAATGTGAACAGAAACCAAATGATCCAGTCCAAAGAAAGTTAATCAACTAGATCTTACAGTTTCTTTTGCAGCAGACATTGCAAGAAAACCTGCACCCATCTCTACTTCTTGCAACCCGACAACAATAATGCCAACGTCTGATGCAGCAGAACCTAACCATGCTTTAAGTGCATCCTGGGATGCTCTTCCCTGTCCAACATTCCATGTGCCAACTAAGATTCTGAAACTGTTCTGTCTTGTATACATTAATTCTCTCGATGCCACTTCTGATCGTACTATGTTGTCAATAGGTCCTGGAGAAGCAATACTCCATCCACGTATGCCACCATGATTCGCCAAGCTAAAAACATATCCATTTCCAGCTGCCATTTTTAGTACAGGATTACTGTGAGCAATCCATGCAGAAATCATTTTTCCCTCCAGGTCCAATACTTGGATAATACCGCTCACATAGCCAACATATATATGTGTTCCGAAAGTGCAAAAACATTGAACAGCAGAAGAATGATAACTAAATTCTTGTAAACGATTTCCATTCCCATCCCACTGCACAAGAAGGCCATTAGGACATCCACTCCAGATCATTCCATCAATGGTCAGCACTAGTGCTTCTGTTCTCTTGGTATCGTCTACAAATGCTCCTGCTCCCCTGGTTGCAACTCGGCGAACAGCATCTGCTGCTCCCATTAAAGCATTACGTGAACGTTGCAGAAAGCCCCCTGATTTCTCCTTTTTTGATGGGGCTACAAATTTTACCTTCATCTCATCTTCTACTGGCTGATCTTGCTGCTGAACTGATGGCAGGTCAGCTCGATTCTCGATGTGACCCTCAGTATTGAATACCTTCAGAAGCTCCTTTGTACGAGCATCCCTGCAGAAATGTAATGGTTATAGAGCTTCACATGTAACTTGAAGCAACTTGTGGCCGGGCATAGTCTAACGGTATCCACAATTTCCAAAAACTAAACATTTATCAAAAAACTTTAAAGAACTCATGACATTCTAGGGGGTTCAGAGAGAAAACAATACCAAATAGAGAAGGACAGAGGCTGAGCACACCAAATTTTAGCTCTAACATTGTCGGCTAATAAGAACTTTACATCTGAAGAAGATATGCTGCAAGCACCGTTTACAGTGACTTGGCTCCTGAGGTCAATGCAAGACCTCTCCACCAATAAAGCAGCCATGTGTTTTTCCTCTGATGAAAGAGAGAGAGATTTCTCAATGGCATCCCAGGGCCAAATCCTAATAACACCATTCTCAGCACCTGACCACAGATCACCTGCATTTATCAAAGCACAACCAAATTTGAAGCCAGAGCGATGAAAAGCAAAAACATGCCAAATTTATCTAAGGTTTTGGCAAGTATAACAGATAAGAAATGAGTACCAAGAGATGGGAAGTACTCAACAACATTAATTGGCAATAGTGATTAATTAATCAAAGATCATGAAAATAAAATTAATTGACTATAGCTCATGTCTTTCAATTCCCTAGCATTTTTTAATCATATTTCAGATACCATGCCTTAACCCTACATGCCCCAAGAACATAGTGTAATATTAGACTGAAATCTAATTACCATTTTCCGAAAAGAAAAATAATAAAATAAAGAAAGCTAGCTTACCATAAGAACTCATGACTATAGAAAGAACGGGACCCTTATGAGCCTGCCATGATAATCCTTCCTTAAAATGACAATTATCGTCATCCAAATGTTGATCCATTTTCCAAGACCTAATCTTCCCATCTTTATGCCCACTCCAAACCAATCTATTAGCACTGTCAACAATTAAACACATTGTAGGTGAGGTATTCACCGACTCGTAAAATGGTGCAGCGTCTTCATCACCCCTTCTCACTCTCCCACCTAAACCCCAACCAGCCTCAAATGCATTCTCGAAACTCCAAAACCTTACCCCACACTCCTGACCAGCCCACAACTGCGTGTCGGTACAGGCAATGTTTCTCAGAAACTTCCCCGCTTGAGTTTCTCTTAAAGGATGTGGCCTGAGTTCTAGACAATGTGGCCGTCCACCATGCACGGCGGAACGTGTTGGATACTTGAAGATTCCATTCCCACCACCATTTCCAATGAACTCAGGCAATGGCTGGAATTGCCTGAGTTGATCATCCTCAGCACCAACAAAGAAATCTTCACCGCTCTCACCGCGAGAACGAGTGGTGTTGGAAGGAGAAGAGGAACGAGGGCAGAATTCATCGTCGGAAGACGAGTCATCATAGTAACACTCAGAAACCACAGGTCTAGGGATGTCATCAAGGCTGTGTTTTCTACCTTTGTGGTGTCTTTTATTACCAGGTCCTGAAGAGGTGGCACGGAGCTGCTGGCTATAAGAATGGATATTTCGCGGGGGTAGAGGGACAGGAGATAGGCCTTGTAAAGCCTCTTTATCTTCATCTTCAAAAAAAATGTTATTGTTTGTATCATGATCCATTGACGATCATGAAGATGGCGGTATATATATGTATTGATGAGATAAAAAAAAAAAAAAAAAAAAAGGGAAATATTCAAAAGAAAAGTTGGGAAAGTGGGAAAGGTTGAGAAAAGAGAGATTGAAAGGTGAAAAGGAGAAGAAGAAGAAGGGAAGAATGAGTCTAAAGGAAAGGATCCGAAGGAAAAGGAAAGAGGAGAGCACGATGGGGTGTTGTTCAAGAGGAAGAGGTAGAGACTGAGAATAGAAAGAGCGAAGAGACAGGCATATTTTGCTGATTAGCGTACGGACAGGAATATTGGCATTGCTTTCCTCGCCTTCTGTTGATATAATTAGCTAGTTTGGACTGCGTAATCACTTAATTGCAACTTAAATTAATCTTAATCCCCCCCCCCCTCTCTCTTTTTTGGTTATTTCTTATAAAATAGTGTTATTCTTTTAATAGTATAGCTACAAAATTGAATTAGCATTACATGAAAAAAATATATATATATTTGCAGGATCATTGTCGCTTGATTTGTATTAAGAAGAAAATAAATGTTGGAATTTAATCTATCAATATAATTGGTTTGGATCCATAATGAGCATAACCAGCATGATGCTCCAATATCCCTTAGAATGTCGCAATTCTCATAACATATTGTTCTGAAAGTTAAACCATATCTAATAAGCTTGCTTTCAATATCTTGATAGGATAATTTAGATTATTCACAATGTAGAATCTTAGGCTCAATCCATTCTCAAAACAGGTTGTGAGAGTTGAGACTCATACCTCAAATCCTCATTCTAGTGATATACGTGACTAGATGAATTTGAAGGGCATGATAGTGGTAGTCAGGCTACGTCTGTTGATCTCAACTCATAGTTATGATTGACGATATCGATGGGATAGGAAAGAAGAGGATGAGATTATGATCACTAGCTAATAAATGAACTTTAACATAACAAACATTCACACATATATAAAATCCCAGAGGGTAGAAGATCTGAAGTTGATAGTTGATGCTAATGGGATTGAAGATGTAAAAGTAACAAGCTATCGTATAGAACATTCACATTGCATCAGAAGTAATGAAAGAATGATTGAAGTGAATCTTATATAGCAAAGCGATAGCTATGGTATTCCTTCAGAAACGATCAATCATATCGACATCCAAAGTGCTCTCCTTTCGAGGAAATGACGAGGAAAACATCAAAGTAAGGATTGGGTTGCAGACCTCTTCCATCTTCCAAGTTTCTCTCTTCCCTGCAGAAATGCTCAAGGAAAACAACATTTCTTAGGTATCTTCCCCTAATTATCACTGTAATACAAATTCATTTTACGAAAAAAATACCAAATAATCTTATATACTAGGAAAAAAATACTAGTAGGAAAAAGACCATTACAAGCCAGAGCCAAGTATATAAATCAGACCCACTAATTAAAAATCTCTCTTGCAAATAAAATGAAAGTGTGCGATGCATTATATTGTCATCGTATCACGAATTGGATGGGGATGTTAAATTTTCCAAATGCCTTTGCCTATTAAACACATCAGATTTACTTGGTAAAAAATAACTTCAAGGTTCCGGACTTTAAGGTCTCAGACTGGAAGGAGTCCTTCCCCTGGACACTTCATTGGTTCATCGATCCCTATCTATCTTTTATACCCATAATCAAGAAATGAATGTCACTAAAGCTCCTGAATATAAAATTTAGATAAAAACAATAAGTAGTTTGCAATATGATGATCAATTGAAAATACATTAATTTGAGAAATCAGCGGCATTCAATGAAAAGCATGACCATTTTTGCAAGCAGGAAACCTGTGAATTAATCTTAACTAGAAAACATTGTTAATGTACCTTGCGAGCTCCAATGGAAAGTTCATTATCAACAAGGGTTACAGCCTTGAAACCCATGGGATGCAACACCTCTTCATAACTAGGAAAAGAAAACATGATAAATTCACTCTTGTAAGAAGATAATAGAGTGTCAAACTAGAATTTTATTGGTTACGGTAATAAGATCAGATATCAGAAGAAAAAAAAATGAAGGTAGAGAAGTACTCAGAGACTGATACTTTATATGGGGGTCCACCAACATGATCACTGATCTGCCAAATGGTTTAGATTTCAATAGAACTATCAGCCCGTAGTTATAAGAAAAAGATAAAGAGGATCACAATAATTTGAGCCGATTTACTGGTATTTAGAATGGATTTAATAATCACAAGAACAAAGCCATCCTCCATTTGTCCCTAATAACTCAAAATTCAACAGAACACGGAGAAACTAGAGTATTTTATAATGATGAGTCAAGTTTTTCTTGCTTGCTTCAAAGAAAAAGAAAAGGTATTGTTACCAAATGGAAAATAAACTACAAAAACATATAAGGAGATAAAAAGATTGTTACTGGAAAAATCAATGTTATGAGCTCTCCATCAGGTTTCAACATTTCTTGAACTTTGCTTGCCCATCTTGATCTCAACCCTGGTTCAATAGCACAAAAGAACCTGCATGTTTTCAACAAGCATGTTAAATATCAAGCAATCCTTCTCACAGACTAAACAAGACTATCACCAAGTTGACTTACGTATAATCGAAAATGAGATCAAACAACTCAGGAGGTTGCCAAGTGAAGAAGTCTGCCTTTAAGAACGTAAAGCAACTTGAATTTGGTAATGAGGAAGAAAGCTGTTTCAAAATTATTTAAAGAGAGAAATAACGTTAGAAGCGAAGAAATAACACTAATTAAAACCATGAATCTCAATTTCTAAACTTAAATCATCATTCTAATCAGAGACCAAATTAGATTCCAATGATACATGTACCAACTTTCTGTTACACTTGATCAAGGCTTCTCATGATTCAATAGGAGCCAAAGAAATTTAAGTAGATATGCCTTTTTAGTTTTTACATTGAATTTCTTTGGGAACGGGAGGGAATTAATTTTACAAAAGATCTGAACTTCCTCTATTGTTCATATTGCTTAAATCTGATCATAATCACAATGTTATGGGCCCTTGTGTTCGAGGAGATGGCCAGCAGACTGCTCTTACCTCTACTGCTTTCTCAATGGCCTTGTGTGAGATGTCTAATCCAACAACATAGCGTTCAGGGCATGCCATTGCTACCACATCATAACCCTACACAATATTTGATCATATAGCTAGTTTTAAGATCACATCATACATAAGGTGAATGAAATTTAAACCAAGCAAAAAAAGGGACATAAACACGTATGAGAGCATAATTATACTGAAAATGTAACTTACAGAACCACATCCAGGGACTAAAGCCCTGCCCTTAGGAAGGGCACCAGTCTGATGAAGATGCAAGATAATTGGTGTTGGGCGTCCTAAATCCCATGGTGTCAATCCCTGCTCCCAACAATTCTCCCAACCACCTAGATTATATCATTTACTGACATTATGACATATCTCTATGACCATGATGTATTTTGGACTCGAAACAGACAATAAAATTTGAGACACAAAATCACATGATATCAAAGTCAAAAGAAAAGGAAAAAACACTATGATTTCTAGGCTTTTCCTGCAAATTTTCTTCACCCCAATTGGAATTTGAAGCAAATTTGAAATCTTTTAGTGGAAATAAGGTAATTCTTTACAAGTAAGAAAGAAAGTTACCAGAAGACTCGGTGGTTAGGAGTTGTTGTATTTGATGAACCTCAGGCTTGAATTGAACATTACCCTCTCCCGCCTTTTCTCTTGGCTCCTTTCCTTCTACTCTCTTCTTGTCCATCCTCAGGTTTGTGGCACCAATCCACAACTTTCTATATGGAACAGCTGCTCTAGTGATTGATGATGATGGTGATGCCAGTGGGAGAGAGACCCAACAGGAGGAGGAGAGGAGCCTCATGATAAAACGTTGTACTAAAAAGGCAAAAGCTAGACTTATGTTTTGGGCCTTTTGGGTTTCAACCGAAGACCTTAAATTAGGCTCCTTCTGCATAAAGCCCATAACTTTATATTTATTCTCTCTTTCGTCAGTGACTTGAGTGAGCTATAAAAGCCAGTTCCTTTTCTGCAGGGCTGCTCCTGCTGCAAAGAGCAAGAGCAACAGGTAGAAGAAGAATGGGAGTGATACAAGAAGGGAAAGTGAGTGGATTGATACCAAGCAATGAGGGTCTTGCAGTTCATTATCCAGGCTATCCTTCTTCAACATCTGGAGCTATCCAAACTCTAGGAGGAACTGAATCAATTCTCAATGTAATTAAACAAAAAAACTTCAAATCCAATTACAACCCTTTATTTGTCAGATTTTCTTTTTTTTTTTTTTATTAATAGTTAATGCTGTGAATTTGGCATTTTAGGCACGTATGTTATTTGAAAAATATCTAAAAAGAAGAAGTCCCATTAATGATGCAAAGCAAGAAACGGATGAGTTTCATGTTGATATTGTTGCTAGAATACCAGAGGCATATTACTTTGAGGGTTAGCATGGGACTGTCTTCTTTCATTTTTGTTATTGAATAAGGAATAAAGTCTGATTATTTATTTGGGTTTCTTTGGCTTTGGGAATTTTTTTTTTTAGGAATGGCAGACTACCGGTATGTTGTTCCATTCATGCTGACATAGCCAGGAGGAAAAGGACTAATTGGAGTGAGATGGAACCACATTTTCAAAGTATATATATATATATATATATTGCTTATATTTGTAATTAAATAAAACTAGTAAATTGCTTAATATTGGGAAAAGTTGTAGAAATCCAAATCCAATTAGGATAAGGATTCTTAAACCTGCAACATAATTGTACTTAATTAGAATAGGAAAATCTGTAACTATTTTTGTTTTAGAATTAAAAAACTTAATAACTTATTTAGGACTAATAAAATATTTAAATAAAAATACTATAATTTCAGATTTTTCGATAGATTTGAAATTATTAAAATACGATCTTATCAATTAATCAAGTTCCCAACTAAGTTTCCATCATTAGCCATGTGCCAAATCAGTGCTTAAGCATTGGAATTATTCTTAGAAGTTGCTTTTTTTGGTTGTTAAGACGCAATTAATGGTTCCATATTTAATTAGAGTTCTTTACGTATTTACTTTTCAAACTTTTTGAAACTTTTGTATTTAAGGATATATATTTTATGTATAATATTTTTTTTTACTGTTTGAGTATTTGAATTTTTTTAAAAAAAATCGATGGAGTGATTCTATTAGAATCCATTGCTTGATCAATGCTATTGTTCCTGTGTCCAATTGGCATCTTTAATGAGTCATGTTAAATCTGTTGGCTTCCTAATATTGACCATGTAAAACTATTTAAATAAATTAAAAAAATTAATATAGGGTTTGTTCATGAAAAATAAAATTAAAACAATTGACATCAAATGGTTGTTTTGGTTTGATTATAATGAAGGTTTTGGGGATTTAATTGTTATGATTTTGGGTTGTAATTAAATATTGGTGAGTTTTGATGTGATCAATTTTATGGGGAAAAAAATTCTTTGATAAAACTTAGTATAGAATTATATCTCAAATTTCAAATTTTATAAAAATAATTAAGTTTGTTAGCCTTTTAAATTAGAGATAAAAATTTATTTAATTTAGTTTATGAGCAAGTGGAGGAAATTCAATGACTCTTGGTTTTGCTTTCTTGTCTTACTTTCTTTTAATATGAGCAAATTTATTATTTATTGTTTTGTTGTTTTAATTTTTTTAATTTTTTATTCGGTGGAGTATGGCCTATATAAAAATGCAAAATGGACGGTTAATGAAAACACTAGCAATTAATTAACTGAAAACATTGGATTAATAAAAATCTTCGAAAGTTAAAAAATTCAAAAGGAAAGAAAACCTAAAATTGAAAACACTCGATTAAAAATAAATTGAAAAATTCATGCATGCTAGGCGAGAAATTTATAATACACAAGGAGTAACTAGTGACATGTACGGTAGTTACTCATTGGGCTTATTTTGAGGAGAAAGATAGAAACACAAAAGAGAGAGAGAATAAAAAAATTTGAGCGGACGTGAAAATCTTCTTATCATTTTTAGTGGGTATGGATGTAATTTCTTTTTTTTATGTGTCTATCTCTCTTCTTAAAGTAGATCTAAAGAGTAAGCTATCTGTATATGTCACTAATTACTCTTCGTGTATTATAAAATTTTCCCATACTAGGCTACAAAAATTCAATGACGAAATCATAGAGAAGCAACTCTGTTCAACGAAGAGCAAAAGAATGGATTTGATTTCAAGTCTTTTGACTTAATTCCTACGTGAATCTTGAAAATAGACACTAACAACTCACAAATCATGATTCAAGCGAGCAGAAGAAACTGCCTCCAGCTACGAAAATTCATTTTTAATTAGTTAAGATAATTAATTAATTAAATATTCTTCACTGCATGCGAAGATGTGCATGCAACTATTTCTTTTAAACAGTCAACAAGTTTCCTTAGCCTTTTGAAGTACGTAACTCTGGGGCGGCTTACATGTGTTACGTTGAATCCATTTTTAATTAGCTAGCTAGCGACTCCTCGTCAATTTTCTTGAAAATCTGCTAAAGAGATTGTTTTATTTTTTATTTATTTATGTTTCAGAATATCTGTGAGATCAAAATTTTAAATAATGTATTTTTTAAAAAAATATCAATAATTGATAAAAAAAACTCTTTCTTTAATTTCATGTTTTCACCAACAAAAAGTTAATATTCTTTATATTTTTTTCTTATACGTATAAATACTTTGAGCATAATTTTTTTTTGTTACATGAAAAATATTTATCTTTACATAGAATTTACCACATGCATGTCAAAATTTTAAGAGTAAAATATTTATATTAGTATTATATATTTTTTTCATAATTTTTTTAAACTCAATTGCTAATTAACTTAATGAGTTTTTCTTTGATTTACCAAATTAGTTTTAGATAGATTTTCTCTTTAAATTAATATTGATTCTATATAATGTAGGATTAGATTTGATAATTACCGATTTTAATAAAAAATATATTTAAAAAAAATATGAATAAAAAATGCTAAAGAAACTCGTTAACAGGATGGGTTGAAAATTTATTTAGATGGGTTCAAAATGTATTTATTGTGCTTTATTTATTGTTGGATTGTGATAGTGATTATAAATATTAAGTAAGTGTAATTTTATATGATAATATTTTTAAATGTTAACAATAAATTCTATAATTAAAAATGAAAGCTAATAATAATTTGGAACATTCAATCACTCTTAACAATTGCTTCTAAAGAAACTCGCTAACTGGTTCTTTAATTAAAGTATTAAAAATTAAGCAACTAATTAAGCTTAATTAATTGTTTTATAACTTTTTCTAGCATATATATATATATATATAAACGTCTAGAAGTCTTTAATTTTGATACTTAAATCCCTCTAAAAACAATGGCCATCATATAGAAGATTCAATGCTACATCATGCAAAGGAATGTTACGTCAAGATAATGATATAACTTGAACAAAAGTAGTAGTTTCCAACTTGATAAATATGATTGCCTTCAAGATACGTCCAGAACCAAATTATTCTCTAGTAAAAAAAACTAAATTATACACGCTTTTTTAAAAAAACCTTATCTCTTCTTGTATACGATATAGCTAGTTTGACTCTGTAAATGATTTTTGCTCAAATCCGGTACGTTTTCTAGTGATGTATGTGACTTAATGAATTTGAAGAACATGATATATAGTTGTTGTCAGGCTACATTTTTTTATCCCAACTCATAGTTATGATTCACGATATCGTTGGGATATGAAAGAAGATCGAGGTTGAGATTATGATCATCAATAAATAAACTTCAACAGAACAAACATTCACCCATATCTGCAATCCCAGACAGCTGACAGTAGAAGATCTGAAGTTGACAATTGATACTAATGGGATTGAAGATGTAAAAATAACATGCTATCATATATAACATCAGAAGTAATGTAGGGCCTTAACTTTTTTTTTAATTAAAAAAAAAAAAAAACAATTCCATAGGGAAGAATTATTGAAGTGAATCTTATATAGCAAAGAGATAGCTATGGTTTCCAAACCTCTTTCAGAATCTATGAATCATATCGACCTTCAAAGTGCTCTCTCATGTAAGACAACTCAAGGGCTGTTCTGGATTTGAGTTTGGAGGTTGTTTAGAAGTGTTCACTATGGAAATTAATGAAAATTATTTAATATTATTTGCATTCTGAATATTGAAAAGTGCTATAGAAGTTCAAACCCAATTAAGACAAGAATTCTTAAACTTCCAACATAACTATACTTAATTAATTAGAATATGAAAATATGTAACTATTCCTATTTTAAACTAGGAAAGCTCAATAACTTTAGGACTAATAAAATACTTAAACAGAAATATTACAATTTCTGATTTTTCAACAGGTTGGAAATTATTAAAATACTCTTATCAATTACTCAAGTTTCCAACTAAATTTTCCATCATTAGCCATGTGCCAAATCAGTGCTTGAGCATTGGAATTATTCTTAAAACGTCTTCTAAAGACCTTTGGGAGCTGCTGCCAACGTGCCCCATCATCGTCAAATTAAGGATTGGGTTGCAGACCTCTTCCATCTTCCAAATTTCTCTCTTCCCTGCAGAAATGCTCAAGGAAAACATCATTTCTTAGGTATCTTCACCTAATTATCACGGTAATACAAATTCATTTTAACTACAAAACATTGTTAATGTACCTTGCGAGCTCCAATTGCCATTTCATTATCAACAATGGTTACAGCCTTGAAACCCATGGGATGCAACACCTCTTCATAACTAGGGAAAAAAAACATGATAAACTCACTAAACTTTCGAACTAGAATTTTATTGGTTATGGGAATAAGATTAGATGGCAGAAGAAAAAAGAATGAAGGTAGAGAAGTACTCTGAGACTGATACTTTATATGGGGGTCCACCAACATGATCACTGATCTGCCAAATAGTTTAGATTTCAATAGAACTGTCAGAGAAATTAACTAGTGTGTTTTATAATGATGAGTTAGGTTTCTGTTGCTTGCTTCGAAGAACAAGAAGCATATTGTTGCCAAATGGAAAATAATCTACGAAAACATATAAGGAGAGAGAAAGATTGTTACTGGAAAAATCAATGTTATGAGCTCTCCATCAGGTTTCAACAATTCTTGAACTTTGCTTGCCCATCTTGATCTCATCCCTGGTTCAATAGCACAGAAGAACCTGCATGTTTTCCACTAGCATGTTAAATATCAGGCAATCCTTCTCACAGACTCAACAAGACTATCGCCAAGTTGACTTACGTATAATCGAAAATGAGATCAAACAACTCAGGAGGTTGCCAAGTGAAGAAGTCTGCCTTTAAGAACGTAAAGCAACTTGAATTTGGTAACGAGGAAGAAAGCTGTTTCAAAATTATTTAAAGACAGAATAATGTTAGAAGCGAAGAAACAACACTAATTAAAACCATGAATCTCAATTTCTAAACTTAAATCACCATTCTATCATTCATTTTACTTTAACAATATTGTGCACTTGTGTTTGAAGAATTGGCCAGCGACTGCTCTTACGTACCTCCACTGCTTTCTCGATGGCCTTGTCTGAGATGTCTAATCCAACGACATAGCGTTCAGGGCATGCCATTGCTACCACATCATAACCCTAAGCAATATTAGACCGTACGGCTAGTTTTAAGCTCACTTTAAACCAAACAAAAAAAAAAGTAAGAGAGTACAATTATACTGAAGACGTTGACTTACAGATCCAGATCCAGGGACTAAAGCCCTGCCCTTAGGAAGCGCACCAGTCTGATGGAGATGCAAGATAATAGGTGTTGGGCGTCCTAAATCCCATGGTGTCACTCCCTCCTCCCAACAAATCTCCCAACCACCTAGATTACATCATTTACTGACGATATGACATATCTCTATAACCATGATGTACTTTGGACTCGAAACAGACAATAAAATTTTAGACACACAAAATCACATGATATCAAGTCAAAACAAAAGGAAAAAACACTATAATTTCTAGGCTTTTCCGGCAAATTTCCTTCACCCCAAATGGAATTTGAAGCAAATTTGAAATCTTTAATGGAAATAAGGTAATTCTTAATAAGAAGGAAAGAAGGTTACCAGAAGACTCAGTGGCTAGGAGTTGTTGCATTTGATGAGCCCCAGGCATGAATTCAGCATCACCCTCTCCCGCCTTTTCACTTGCCTCCTTTCCTTCTTCTCTCTTCCTGCCCATCCTCACGTTTTTGCCACCAATCCACAACTTCCGTCAAATTTTAAAATGCTGAACCAGTAAGTTGCTTCATTATATAAAACTCAACAAGTATATTTTTCTAATGTTAGATTCAATTTTTTTTCCTCTCTAAAATCTTTTTTTTATATATATTTTTTTATATTGAATAATAAAGATCTCATTGATTTTGTTTTCACGTATTTCAAAATACGATTTTGAATATTTTAATATTTAAAACTATTGATCCTAAACATAATTTATAAGTCACCACATTGGTATCAATTGCTTAACACCTTGTATTAATTTGTGTCTGTTTATAATGATGTAATCTAGGTGCGTAGGCTGACTAAAGCAATGATCCCTTCAAACATAGAAATCTCAAAAGCATCTCTCTACCTGAAATGTACTAGCCCCATCTTGCCTGAATTCTCTACTCTCCATCCTACCAACAGCAACTTCCAAAGAAACCTCAACAGTCCCCTGTCTTCCCTCGATTCGAATCCAAAAAAAAAAAAAAAAAAGATTTCTAGTTAGACTTAATTTTTTTTTCCTTTTTTACTTCTCTCTCTTCTTTGTATCTATTATTATTTTTATATTCAATAATAAAGATATCATCAAACTAATTATATATATATATATATATATATATATATATATATATATATATATATATATATTTGTAAATAAAACTGGGAAATGTTTGCTTAGTAAATTGCTTAATATTGAAAAAAGCTTTAGAAGTCCAAATCCAATTAGGATAAGGTTTCTTAAACCTTCAACATAATTGTATGTAATTAGAATAAGAAAATCTGTAACTATTCCTATTTTAGAATTGAAAAACTTAATAATTTTAAGACTAATAAAATATTTAAATAAAAATACTATAATTTTAGATTTTTCAGCAGATTTGGAATTATTAAAATACTTTTATCAATTACTCAAGTTCCTAACTAAGTTTTCCATCATTAACTATGTGCCAAATCAGTGCTTGAGCATTGGAATTATTCTTAGAAGTTGCAATTTTTGTTATTAAGACGCAATTAATGGTTCCATATTTAATTAGAGTTCTTTACGTATTTACTTTCCAAACTTTTTGAAACTTTTGTATTTAAGGATATATATTTTATATTTTTTTTACCATTTGAGTATTCGAATTTTTTTATAAAAAAAAAAAAAAAATCGATGGAGTGATTCTATTAGAATCCATTGCTTGATCAATGCTATTGTTCCTGTGTCCAAATGGCATGCATCTTTAATGAGTCATGTTCAATCATATGGCTTCCTAATATTGACCATGTAAAACCATTTAAATAAATAAATTAATTAATTAATACAGGGTTTGTTCATGAAAAATAAAATTAAAGCTATCGACATCAAGTAGTTCTTTTGGTTTGATTATAATGAAGGCTTTTGGGATTTAATGGTTATGATTTTGGGTTGTAATTAAATAGTGATGAGTTTTTATGTATTCAACTTTATGGGAAAAAAATTCTTTGATAAAACTTGGTATAGAATTATATTTCAAATTTCAAATTTATTATTTATTGTTTTGTTCTTTTTTATTTTATTTATTTTTTACTCGGTCGAGTATGGCTTATATAAAAATGAAAAGTGGACGGTTAAAGAATGAAAACATTAGCAATTAACTGAAAACATTCGATTAATAAAATTTTTGAAAATTAAAAAAAAAAATTCAAAAGGAATGAAAAACTAAAAGTGAAAACACTCAGATTAAAAATAAATTGAAAAATTCAAGCGAGCAGAAGAAACTGCCTCCAGGTACGAAAATTCAAACCATATTTAAGAGAGTTGATCAAATATTCTTCACTGCATGCGAAGATGTGCATGCAACTATTTCTTCTTTTACTTAACGTAGCTTTTTGAAGTACGTAACTGGTCCAGGACAAGAGCATGTTCAGGATCTTAAAGCTTCGACAACAATTGATGCATGACATCTTAGTGGGTTGTTCTAGACCTGAGAGAATTGCAGTTGATAGAATCGTAAAAGCCACACCTAAGAGGGGATTAAATCACAAGATCAAAACCAAATTACTATAAATTATTTGATATTATTGTATTCTGAATATTGAAACATTACATACATTACATACGGTAATTATAAAGTTGAAGTTCAAATCTAATTACGATAAAGATTCTTAAACCTTCAACATAATTATTCTTAATTAGAATAGGAAAACCTGTAACTATTCCTATTCTAGAATACCAATACTTAACAACTTTGGGACTAATAAAATACATAAAATAGCAACACTATAAATTCAGATTTTCCAGCAGATCTGAAATTATAGTTTTCCATCATTAACCATGCACCAAATCAGTGCTTGACCGTTGGAATTATTCTTAGATCGTCTTCTAAAGATCTTTGGGCCTGCTGCCAACAAGCCCCATCATCCTCGATTAGGATTGGGTTGCAGACCTCTTCCATCTTCCAAGCTTCTCTCTTCCCTGCAGAAATGCTCAAGGAAAACATCATTTCTTAGGGATCTTCACCTAATTATAACTGTAATACATATTCATTTTAAGAAAAAAATAACAAATAATCTTATATACTAGGAAACAATACTAGTAGGAACAAGACCATTACAAGCCAGAGCCAGGTATATAAATCAGACCCACAAATTAAAAATCTCTCTTGCCAGTAAAATGAAAGTGTGCGATGCATTTTGTTGTCATTGTATCACGAATTGGATGGGGAGGTTAAACTTTCCAAATGCTTTTGCCTATTGAACAAATTTAAAAAACAACTTTAAGGTTTCAGACTTTAAGGCCTCAGACTGGAAGGTGTCTTTCCCAGGACACTTCATCGTTCCATCCCTATCTTGTCTACCCATAATCAAGAAATGAATGTTTCTGAAACTCCAGAATATAAAATTTTGACATAATCAAGAAACGAATGTCTCTAAAACTCCTGAATATAAAACTTGGATAAAAACAATAGGTAGTTTGCAATATGATGATCACTTAAAAATAAAATAATTTGAGAAATAACTAATTTTAACCAGAAAACATAGTTAATGTGTACCTTGCGAGGTTCAACTGCAAGTTCATTATCAACGATGGTTACAGCCTTGAAGCCCATTGGGTGCAGCACCTCTTCATAACTAGGAAAAGAAAAAAACATGACAAACTCACTCTTGTAAGAAGATAATAAACTGTCAAGCTAGAAATTCATTGGTTTAATAAGATTGGATAGCAGAAGAAAAGAAAATGAAGGTAGAGAAGTACTCGGAGACTGATACTTTATATGGGGGTCCACCAACATGATCACTGATCTGCCAAATAGTTTAGATTTCAATAGAATAATCAGAGAAACTAGTGTGTTTTATAATGATAAGTTAAGTTTTTGTTGCTTGCTTCGAAGAAAAAGAAAAAGAAAAAATATTGTTACTAAATGGAAAATAAACTACAAAAACATATAAGGAGATAAAAAGATTGTTACTGGAAAAATCAATGTTATGAGCTCTCCATCAGGTTTCAACAATTCTTGAATTTTGCTTGCCCATTTTGATCTCATCCCTGGTTCAATAGCACAAAAGAACCTGCATATTTTCCACTAGCATGTTAAATATCAAGCAATCCTTCTCACAGACTAAACAAGACTATCACCAAGTTGACTTACGTATAATCGAAAATGAGATCAAACAACTCAGGTGGGTGCCATGTGAAGAAGTCTGTCTTTAAGAATGTAAAGTAACTTGAATTTGGTAATGAGGAAGAACGCTGTTTCAAAATTATTTAAAGAGAGAAATAAGGTTAGAAGTGAATAAATAACACTAAAACCATGAATCTCACTTAGATTCCATGGATACACGTACCAAATTTCTGCTACCAGCATACTTTTTCTGTAACACTGGATCAAAAGGTTAAATAGGAGATATAGAAATTTAAATAGATGTGCCTTTTTAATTAGTTTTTACATTGAATTCCTTTGGGAATTAGTTTTACAAAAGATCTTCATTTCCTCTGCCATTCATTTTGCTTTAATCTTATCATAATCACTCTACTACCTTCAATTAGTTATGTGCGCTTGTGTTCGAAGAACTGGCCAGCAGGCAGCTATTACCTCTACTGCTTTCTCGATGCCCTTGTCTGAGATGTCTAATCCAACAACATAGCGTTCAGGGCATGCCATTGCCACCACATCATAACCCTAAGCAACATTAGACCGTATGGCTTGTTTTAAGATCACATCATATGCAAGGTGTAAGAAATTTAAACCAAGCACAAAAAGTAAGAGAGCACAATTATACTGAAATGGTAACTTACAGAGCCACATCCAGGGACTAAAGCCCTGCCCTTAGGAAGCGCACCCGTCTGATGAAGATGCAAGATAATAGGTGTTGGGCGTCCTAAATCCCATGGTGTCACTCCCTGCTCCCAACAACTCTCCCAACCATCTACATTACATCATTCACTGACAATATGACATATCTCTACAACCATGATGTACTTTGGACTCGAAACAGACGATAAAATTTTAGATACACAATATCGCATGATATCAAGTCAAAACAAAAGGAAAAAAAAAAAAAAACTATGATTTCTAGGCTTTTCCAGCAAATTTCCCTCACCCTAATTGGAATTTGAAGCAAATTTGAAATCTTCAGTGGAAATAAGGTAATTCTTTATAAGAAAGAAAGAAAGTTACCAGAAGACTCGGGGGTTATGAGTTGTTGCATTTGATGAGCCCCAGGCATGAATTCAAAATCACCCTCTACCGCCTTTTCACTTGGCTCTTTTCCTTCTTCTCTCTTCTTGTCCATCCTCACGTTTGTGGCACCAATCCACAACTTCAGATTTCCAGTAAGGTTCAATTTTTTTCTCCTCTTTATATATATATATATATATATATATATATATATATTCAACTCCCTAAATTTATTTGATGCAGGACCCTTTGCTGAATTAAGCAATCTATTTAGCATGGGAGGAATAGTTTAAGAAGAGGAGAATATGACTTTACCAATAAGAAATCAAAGAGCAAAAAAACAAATGATAAAGCTAGGGACCATTTTTAGATAACTGAATAGGCTTCCAAGGTATTTGGCACCCTACATTCCAAAAAACCTGCATGAAAACAAATGATAAAGCTAGGGACCATTCTTAGACAACTAAATAGGCTTCCAAGGCATCTAGCACCTCTTAATTCCAAAAAACCTGCATAAAAAAACAATTGATAAAGCTAGGGACCATTCTTAGATAACTGAATAGGCTTCCAAGGCATCAGGCACCTCTCCATTCCAAAAAAATCTGCATAAAAAAACAATTGATAAAACTAGAGATCATTCTCAGACAACTGAATAGGCTTCCAAAACATCTGACACCTCTCCATTTCAAAAAATCTGCATAAAAAAACAAATGATAAAGCTAAGAATGGTCCCTAGCTTTATCATTTGTTTTTATGCAGGTTTTTCGGAATGGAGAGGTGTCAAATGCCTTGGAAGCCTATTCAGTTGTATTCTTAGACAACTGAATAGGATTCCAAGGTATCTGGCACCTCTACATTCCAAAAAACCTGCATAAAAAACACATGATAAAACTAGAGATCATTCTTAGACAACTGAATAGGCTTACAAGGCATTTGGCACCTCTCCATTCCAAAAAAATCTCCATAAAAAACAATTGATAAAGCTAGGGACCATTCTTAGATAACTGAATAGGCTTCCAAGGCATCTGGCACCATTTCCACAACAAATTTTCTTATCATGAATCAATCACATGATTTCGTTGTTATGTTATCGGTAGGATTTTTACTCCAAACAACCACCTCCTTTGTATTTTCTGTGCCGTTTGCGTTTTGGTAAATGTTTTAACTGGATGAATAGAGCGATTAGAATATTGAATTGGACAATTTTGACAGATTTCTTTTGGCGTATTTATTTTTCAGTTCTCTTTTGCTGTATTTATTCATTTTTCAGTTCTCGTTTGTATTTATTCATTTCTGTTTAAAATCAAGTTGCCACTATCTTTTACGATAATTGTGTTGTTTCATACAGACGTCAACATTACCTGACAAAATCAATTGTGAGAAATAGGATCAAATTTGACAATCATTATATTGTTCCTTATAATAGAGAGCTATTGATTAGATACAAAGCTCATATAAAACATTCAAATTTGTTGTCAATCTATGCTTATAAAATATCTTTTCGAATATTTTGGTAAGGGTACTAACAAGGCTAGAATGGTTATTGAGAAAGAAAATATTGACGAAATTAAGGCTTACCTCAATTTTCTATTCATTTGTCCATATGAAGCTATATGACATCTCTTTCAGTTTCCAATTCATTTTCGTCATCTTCCAATTGAGCGCCTTCCAATCCATTTGCCGCTATAGCAATCATTTGTTTTCTCAAAAAACGATTCACTTTCTTCTGTCATCAATAGATCGGGAATTGAAAAAACTATGTTGACATAGTAGTTTTTGGCGCAGCAGATTTGATGAAAATGCTCGGAAGCTATTTTGACATTACTTTCCTTGTCTTTTGTTGATGTAATTAGCTAGTTTGGACTACTTAATCACTTAATTGCAACTTATTCTGAAAAATCATAAAATATTGTTATTCTTTTAATAGTATAACTCAAAAAGATTGAATTAGCATCATATAAAAATGTTTTTTTGCAGGATCATTTTTGCTTGATTTGTATTAAGAAGAAATATATGTTGGAATTTAATATATCATCACTGTTGCTGCAAGAGAAGATCCTAACCCATTGCTGTTTAAGTGTCCTTTCATAGAACATTAAACGTGAATTTGTTTCGTGGACAAACATATAAGGGCAATACCATTTACCAACTATAACAGCGTCAGAGGTCTCCTGAGAGACTGGAAAGTTGAATTTTGGAAGGCATTCTCTAAGAGAATGTTCAAACATATAGATATTTGGATTCATAATGAGCATAACCGGCATGATGCTCCAATATCCCTCAGAATTTCGCAATTCTCATAACAAATTGATCTGAAAGTTAAACCCATGCCTAATAAGTTTGCTTCAATATCTTAATAGAATAGTTTAGATTATTCACAACGTAGAATCTTAGGCTCAATTCATTCTCAAAACAGGTTTTTGTGAGGGTTAGGCTCATACCTGAAATCCTCAAACTAGTGATATATGTGACTTAATGAATTTGAAGGACATGATAGCGGTAGTCAGGCTACATTTATCTGTTGATCTCAACTCATAGTTATGATTGACGATATCGTTGGGATAGGAAAGAAGAAGTTTGAGATTACGATCATTAATAAATGAACTTCAACAGAACATTCACACATATATATATGAAATCCCAGACAGTAGAAGATCTGAAGTTGATACTAATGGGATTGAACATGTAAAAGTAACAGGCTATCGTATAGAACGTTTACATTGCATCAGAAGTAATGTAGGACCTAGCTTAACAAACTTTTTTTTAAAAAAAAGAAAAACTAGAGTGTTTTATAATGATGAGTCAAGTTTTTGTTGCTTGATTCAAAGAAAAAGAAAAAGTATTGTTACCAAATGAAAAATAAACTACAAAAACATATAAGGAGATAAAAAGATTGTTACTGGAAAAATCAATGTTATGAGCTCTCCATCAGGTTCCAACATTTCTTGAACTTTGCTTGCCCATCTTGACCTCATCCCTGGTTCAATAGCACAAAAGAACCTGCATGTTTTCCACTAGCATGTTAAATATCAAGCAATCCTTCTCACAGACTAAACAAGACTATCGCCAGGTTGACTTACGTGTAATCGAAAATGAGATGAAACAACTCAGGAGGTTGGCAAGTAAAGAAGTCTGCCTTCAAGAATGTAAAGTCGACATTTTGTGTCTATCTATGATGATGTAATCTAGGTATGTACGCAGACTAAAGCATTGATCCCTTCAAACATTGAAATCTCAAAAGCATCTCTCTAACTAAAATGTACTAGCTAGGCCTCTACCTTCAAAAATTGAAATTTCAAAACACGTATTTTTTTTTTTTTCCTTTGGTAACTTCTAAACTTACGACCCTGAATATTCGTAGACTTTTCTTATTCCAAAAAATAAACAGAACACCCAAATTGAGCCAAACCCCATCTTGCCTGAATTCTCTTCTCTCCATCCTACCAACAGCAACTTCCAAAGAAACCTCAACAGTCTCCTGTCTTCCCTGGATTCCAATACCCAAATTAACACACACACACACACATTATATATATCCACAAAAAGTTCTAGTTAGACTTAATTTTTTTTCTTTTATTTCTATCTCTTATTTTTTTATATCCCACTGAGAGTGAGACCCAAGTGAAGGAGGAGAGGAGTCTCATGATAAAAAGGCCTTTTGGGTTTCAACTGAAGAACTTAAATTAGGCTCCTTCTGCATAAAGCCCATAACTTTATATTTATTCTCTCTTTCTTATGAGACTTGAGAGAGCTATAAAAGCCTTTTCTTTTCTTTCCTTCTACTGAAGGGCTGCTCCTGCTGCAAAGAGGAAGAGCAAGAGCGACAAGAAGAAGAAGAATGGGAGTGATAAAAGAAGGGAAAGCGAGTGGATTGATACCAAGCAATGGGGTTTTGCAGTTCATTATCTTGGCTATCCTTCTTCAACATCTCGAGCTATCCAAACTCTTGGAGGGACTGAATCAATTCTCAAGGTACTTCAACAACAAAAACTCCAAATCCAGTTACAACCCTTTATTGTCAGCTTTTCTTTGTGTTATTCGTGATTAATTGTAATATTTAATGCTGTGAATTTGGCATTTTAGGCTCGTAGTTCACAATCTAATAAGTTGGAACTGTATTTTGGCCCTGAGGATCCTCCATACTCAGAGACACTATTGCTTAATTTGTTTTTCGGAACACAACTAAAATAAAATAGCACTGCATCGTACGTGGGGACCTATTTGTAATTTTCTCTACTATGGTTGGTGGGCATATATCCTGCTCTGGATGGGTGCAATATCTGCTGAAGCTTTTCATTTTTGGACACCGTTTCGTAGCCATCCAGGGTGGCAACATTTTAGCTACCATCTGTAATTGTACACTTACCTGCAATGTTTTGTGGGAAGTTATTTGACTTACCGAATTTAAGGTTGGAAAAAACTGGAATATTACATTTCATTTCAACTCCGATGTCCTCACGATGACATGGTTTACCTCGATAACTAGTGTCTCATTGCTTTATTTATTTATTTTTACCAGAAAATTCAAAAACGTTGCCAATGCTTAATTACTTTCGGTTCGGCTAACGAATGCATAAATGATATTGCCTTGAATCGGGCAAGAGCATGTTCAAGATCTTCCACAATTTGACCTTTGATCTTCAGCTCTTCAAAATTTTTCATATATTCATTAATAGTTAGGTTGTCTTGTGGTAAAAAATAAGGTGCCTCGCGAATCTTTTGAACATAATTGCCTGGCCTGTGCCTTTCCATAAGATTGGCTTTCATCTCAAACCAATTAGTGATAGGTATGTCCCAATCCACCTATGTTCATTCAACACGATATTACGAAATCTTGGATAAATCAGCAAGTTTCACAAAACACTGCCAATGACATTACCAAGAAAATAAGAGTTGATGCTCCTGATTTGAAAGGAAAGACAGATCCTACATAAACTTTTGGTCAAAAGACTTCAAATTTTGTATTGGCGTCATCGACAGTCACCATGATTTAAGAATGCTAAAAAAAAAAAAAAAAAAGGGCTTCTAGGATCTTAAAGCTTTGACACCAATTGATGCATGACATCTTAGTGGGTTGTTCTAGACCTGAGAGAATTGCAATTGATAGAATTGTAAAAGTCACACCTAAGAAGGAATTAAATCACACGATCAAAAGCAAATTACTAGAAATTATGATATTATTGCATTCTGAACATTGAAATATTACATACGATAATTATAGAGTTGAAGTTCAAATCTAATTAGGATAAAGATTCTTGAACCTCCAATATAACTATTCCTCCTAAGTAGAATAGAAAAACCTGTAACTATTACTCTTCTAGAACAGGAATACTTAACAACTTTGGGACTGATAAAACACATAAAACATAAACACTATAATTTCAGATTTTCCAGCAGATCTGACATTAGTTTTCCATCATTAGCCATGAGCCACATCAGTGCTTGAGCATTGGAATTATTCTTAGATTGTCTTCTAAAGACCTCTGGGCCTGCTGCCAACGAGCCCCCCATCATCCTCGATTAGGATTGGGTTGCAGACCTCTTCCATCTTCCAAGCTTCTCTCTTCCCTGCAGAAATGCTCAAGGAAAAAAATCATTTCTTAGGTATCTTCACCTAATTATAACTGTAATACAAATTCTTTTCAAGAAAAAACTTAACCAATGATCTTATATACTAGTAGGAACAAGACCATTACAAGCCAGAGCCAAGTGTATAAATCAGACCCACAAATTAAAAATCTCTCTTGCAAATAAAATGGCAGTGTGCGATGTATTTTGTTGTCATTGTATAACGAATTGGATGGGGAGGTTAAATTTTCCAAATGCTTTTGCCTATTAAACAAATTTAAAAAACAACTTTAAGGTTTCAGACTTTAAGGTCTCAGACTGGAGGAAGTCCTTCCCTGGACACTTCATCGTTCCATCCCTATTTTGTCTACCCATAATCAAGAAATGAATGTCTCTGAAACTCCAGAATATAAAATTTTGACATAATCAAGAAATGAATGTCACTAAAACTCCTGAATATAAAACTTAGATAAAAACAATAGGTAATTTGAGAAATAATTAATTTTAACTAGAAAACATAGTTAGGGTGTACCTTGCGAGCTCCAACTGCAAGTTCATTGTCAACAATGGTTACAGCCTTGAAGCCCATGGGGTGCAGCAGCTCTTCATAACTAGGAAAAGAAAAAAAAAAACACGATAAACTCACTCTTGTAAGAAGATAATAAACTGTCAAGCTAGAAATTTATTGGTGTAATAAGATTGGATAGCAGAAGAAAAGAAAATGAAGGTAGAGAAGTACTCGGAGACTGATACTTTATATGGGGGTCCACCAACATGATCACTGATCTGCCAAATAGTTTACATTTCAATAGAATAATCAGAGAAACTAGTGTGTTTTATAATGATAAGTTAAGTTTTTGTTGCTTGCTTCGAAGAAAAAGAAAAAGAAAAAATATTGTTACCGACTGGAAAATAAACTACGATAACATATAAGGAGATAAAAGGATTGTTACTGGAAAAATCAATGTTATGAGCTCTCCATCAGGTTTCAACATTTCTTGAATTTTGCTTGCCCATCTTGATCTCATCCCTGGTTCGATAGCACAAAAGAACCTGCATGTGTTCCACGAACATGTTAAATATCAAGCAATCCTTCTCACAGACTAAACAAGACTATCACCAAGTTGACTTACGTATAATCGAAAATGAGATCAAACAACTCAGGAGGTTGCCAAGTAAAGAAGTCTTCCTTTAAGAATGTAAAGTGACTTGAATTTGGTAATGAGGAAGAACGCTGTTTCAAAATTATTTAAAGAGAGAAACAAGGTTAGAAGCAAAGAAATAACACTAATTAAAACCATGAATCTCAATTTCTAAACTTAAATCACAATCCTAATCAGACACCAAAGTATCCATGTACCAACTTTCTGTTACCAGCCTACTTTTTCTGTAACACTTGGGCAAGGCTTATCAGGGTTAAATAGGAACTATAGAAATTTAAATAGATATGCCTTTTTAAGTTTTTACTTTGAATTCCTTTCGGAACAGAAGGGAATTACTTTTGCAAAAGATCTTAATTTCCTCTATCATTCATTTTGCTTAATCTGATCATAATCACATTGTTATGTGCGCTTGTGTTCGAAGAACTGGCCAGCAGACAGCTCTTACCTCTTCTGCTTTTTCAATGCCCTTGCCCGAGATGTCTAATCCAACAACATAGCGTTCAGGGCATGCCATTGCCACCACATCATAACCCTAAGCAACATTAGACCGTATGGCTTGTTTTAAGATCACATCATACGTAAGGTGTACGAAATTTAAACCGAACAGAAAGAGTAAGAGAGCACAATTATACTGAAATGGTAACTTACAGAGCCACATCCAGGGACTAAAGCCCTGCCCTTAGGAAGGGCACCTGTCTGATGAAGATGCAAGATGATAGGTGTTGGGCGTCCTAAATCCCATGGTGTCACTCCCTGCTCCCAACAACTCTCCCAACCACCTACATTACATCATTTACTGACGATATGACACATCTATACAACCATGATGTACTTTGGACTCGAAACAGACGACGAAATTTAGACACACAATATCACATGATATCGAGTCAAAAGAAGAGGAAAAAAAAACTATGATTTCTATGTTTTTCCTGCAAATTTCCTTCACCCCAATTGGAATTTGAAGCAAATTTGAAATCTTTAGTGGAAATAAGGTAATTCTTTATAAGAAAGAAAGAAAGTTACCAGAAGGATCAGTGGCTATGAGTTTTTGCATTTGACGAGCCCCAGGCAAGAATTCAATATCTCCCGCCTTTTCACTTGGCTCCTTCCCTTCTTCTCTCTTCTTGTCCATCCTCACGTTTGGGGCACCAATCCACTACTTTCGTGAAATTTCAGAATACTCAACAAGTAACTACTTTACATGCATAATAGGTACTTCATTATATACATATATATATATATATATGATGTAATCTAGGTGTGTTCGCAGACTAAAGCATTGATTGATCCTTCAAACATTGAAATCTCAGAAGCATCTCTCTACCTAAAATGTATCATCACCTTGTGTTTGTGTCTATTTATGATGTAATCTAGGTATGTTCGCAGACTTGAGCATTGATCCCTTCGAACATTGAAATCTCAGAAGCATCTCTCTACCTAAAATGTAGTAGCTAGAAACATTGAAATTCCAAAACACTTCGTTTTTTTTCTCGGTAACTTTTAAACTTACGACCCTAAATATTCGTAGACTTTTCTTATGCCAAAAAATAAAAAGAACACCCAAATTAAGCCAAGCCCCATCTTGCCTGAATCCTCTTCTCTCCATCCTCTACAAAACTAATTTGTCTGAAGGAAGAGAGAGCAAATAGTGCCAATGGATTCTTTCAAACTAACAAGGTTGTTTTCATTTTCTTGCATCCTTCTGCATCTAGCTTCTCTAACCATAGCTCAATCTGACTTCTTGTACCATTACTGTGGAAATGATGTAGGTAACTACACTACCAAAAAGAAACCTCAACAGTCTCCTCACTCCTGTCTTCCATGGATTCCAATGCCCAAATTAACACAATATGGGATAATTAGAATTTTTTTTCATTAATTGATAACGTGTTTATTATCCTTAAAATTCCAAATTGTAATTTTATCCTTTTTCTCAATCGAGTACACCATTTTTTTTCTAGTTTAAGAACATTAATTTTTTCAAAATTGTCAACCAAATACTTTCATTATTTTCTTCATTAATTAATGCATATTTGAATACAAAATTATAATTTTATACTCCTTCTATTGAAAAAAACTTTATCCTCAAATTATTTTACTATTTTAAAATTTGATAAATAATTAAAAAATTATTTTTTATTTCTAAAATTTCAATCTAAACTCAAATACGTTTTGCTGTTTAAAAAAATTAAATTATGTTTAAAAGTAAAAATTAAAGAAAAACACAATTGAATCTTAATTCTCAATGAACAATTTCACGCTTATGTTTCTTTCAATTTTCACATCCAAAACCTAACTAAATTTTTTTTAATAGCAAACGTTACTAAGTTTAGTTTGAGATTTTATAACTAAATATATATATTTTTTAATTCTTTGTCAAATTTTTTATAAAAATAGATGAGAAAAAAATGATAATTTGGTATTTGGACAAATCATCAATTAATAGAAAAATTGACAAAAATATTTGATTGATAATTTTTTTAAAAATTGATATACTCAATCTAAAAAAATTAAAGTTCATAACTCTATTGAAAAAAAAAGTAAAATTATAATTCATTATTTTGAGGTTAACGGATATGACATCTCTTAACGAAAAAATTGAAAGAATTACTTAATTGATAATTTTGAAAAAAATTAGTATATTCAAACAAACAAATGAAAATTTATGTTGAAATTGAAATACTTATATTGTAATTATCCCATATATATATATATATATATATATATATAGAAAGTAATAAATAGAATTCTCTTTAGGCTTAATTTTTTTTCTCTTTTATTTGTCTCGTGGACATGACTAAAGGACATTTTTAAGACTAATTCTTTTTAAATACGGCTAAAAAATATTTTTAACGCATGATTTTAAATATTTTAAAAATATTAGCTACAAAAATCAAATGTTAGACTTTATTTATAAGTTAATACTTTCTTATCAGCGAATTACCACCTTTTACCTTTTGTTTGTGTCTGTTTTGTTTGTAGAGTAACGTACCCTTGTTACTACACGAGTAAAATTCCTCTACAACTGTCTATATGGAACAGCTGCTCCGGTGGTTGACGATAATGGTGATGCCACTAAGAGTGAGACCCAAGTGAAGGAGGAGAGGACTCTCATGATAAAAAGACCTTTTGGGTTTCAACTGAAAACCTTAAATTAGGCTCCTTCTGCATAAAGCCCATAACTTCATATTTATTTTCTCTTTCTTATGAGACTTGAGAGAGCTATAAAAGCGTCTTCTTTTGTTTCCTCCTACTGCAGAGCTGCTCCTGCTGCAAAGAGGAAGAGCAAGAGCGACAAGAAGAAGAAGAATGGGAGTGATAAAAGAAGGGAAAGTGAGTGGATTGATAACAATCAATGAGGGTTTTGCAGTTCATTATCCTGGCTATCCTTCTTCAACATCTCGAGCTATCCAAACTCTTGGAGGGACTGAATCAATTCTCAAGGTACTTCAACAAAAAAACTCCAAATCCAGTTACAACCCTTTATTGTCAGCTTTTCTTTGTGTTATTCGTGATTAATTGTAATAGTTAATGCTGTGAATTTGGCATTTTAGGCTCGTAGTTCACAATCTAATAAGTTGGAACTGTATTTTCGCCCTGAGGATCCATACTCGCATCCTGTGTCAGGAGAGCTTCGCTCTTGTCATAATATGTTATTGAAAATATCTAAAAAGAAGAAGAAGTCAAGTCCCATTAATGATGCGAAGCAAGAAACAGATGAGTTTCATGCTGATATTGTTGCTAGAATACCAGAGGCATATTACTTCGAGGGTTAGTATGGAACTGTCTTCTTTTATGTTTGTTATTGAATAAGGAATAAATTTTGATTATTTCTTTGGGTTTCTTTGGCTTTGGGAATTTTTTTTTAGGAATGGCAGACTACCAGCATGTTGTTCCAGTTCATGCTGATATAGCCAGGAGGAAAAGGAGGAATTGTAGTGAGACGGAGGAACCACGTTTTCAAAGTAATATATATAGTGCTTATATTTGTAAATAAAACTGGGAAATTTTTGTTTACTAAATTGTTATTGTTTGATTTTGTAGAAAAATCTGGTCTAATGGATTTGGGTCCAGAGGATGTGATGATGCTTTTGCCTCCACTTTTTTCTCTCAAAGATGTGCCAGAAAATATAGCGTAAGAAGTTCTGTTTCTTAATGTGTTTGCCCATGTTGTTTATTTGATGTTCTAGCTTTGTTATCAAATTTTAAATGGAGTGCTTTGATTAGGCGCCAAGAGAGAGGAAGAACATAAGCTGTTAGAAGGGATTGATAAGTGTTTGTTTTGGGGTCTAGATTGCTAAATAATTGTTGTTTGATTTTAGTTAGCTTTCATGCTTTTCAGATTAAGACCACCATCAACATCAAGTTCAAGAAAGAAACAAGATGAAACTCCAGAAACTCTTCCCAAGGTATCGAATAAAACATTAACTGTTTTTTCCATTCATCAATGAACTAAGGTGGGTTGTAAATGTGGATTCATGGCATACGCAGAGATTATAAGATTAGCTTGTAACCTCAATTTGTGATTTAGATCTCATTACATTTACTTTGATTAGATCTTACCAACAATGCATCATGCTAATATTAACAATTTTGTTACTTTCCATTGGGCAGATGACCTTTGAGCCAGCACTTGGTATTGATTTTAAAGATGTCGAAGATATCCTGATGTTAAGTGGCTTTTGTTTCATGAGTAATTATGCTTTCAGGTCCTTTTATCTACAATTATACTTCTATTAGAACACTGTTTGGTATTTATGGCCTTTCCATTGCTTATGAATTTCAAGAGAATGGGAGAATTTTTTTTTATGGGGTTAACCATCCTTCCAATGATCTAACGGGTGGTTTCTGCAACTTTTTGGATTGGTTTTATCTCTTTAAGTTGTGGTGGTGGACCCCTTTATTTTTAGTAAGTGTTTCTTTTGTGTAGATCACATGTAGTGCATTTCATTTTACGTAGACCTTTTGTTCGTTCCACTTAGTTGAATTCTGGATTATACCCATCAGGCATTAGCAGTAACTATGAAGCATTACATTGAAACTTGATGATGGAAAATAAAGGCACTTAAAACGTTTCAACTTATATCCTACAAAGTCTTGTTCGTTTTATTTGGCAGTCCTTAGCTTTCATACAGGTTCCTAAGAAGATAAATTGGAAGGAATTCATAACAGAAGGCACACCAATGTGGGAGTGGCAGATGGCTGTATCTGAACTGTTCGAGGAGCGGCCTATATGGCCCAAATATTCACTGATTGAACGCTTGCTTGATAAAAATCTTAAATTTACCTATCAGACACTTAAAAGGTATTCTGCCTCTTATTGCTCATAATTCTTTGTTGGGGTTGATCAAGGTTACTTCATTTGGATATTTTCGTGCATGTTGATTGGTTTGATTTCATGTGAGTAATCATCTTTCATTTGTTTGATCTGGCAGGCTTCTGCTCACGGTCGGATACTACTTTTCTGGTGGACCATTTCAGAAGTTCTGGATCAGAAAAGGATATGATCCTCGCAAAGATCCCGATTCTCGCATGTGAGAGCTCTTATTTTCTTAGCACAGATCCTTTCCTTTTTTTTTTTTTTTTTGTGGCATTTAATGCATTGGTCAGTTGGTTTCTTTGGCATATGAATTGAAAAAGTCTTCATTCTCCTATTAGCTATTCGAAAAGCTGGTTCATTGAGAACCCCCATCTTAGAGACTATGAAAGAGTTGTGTCCGCCTCCTCAGGATGAATTATGAATCATGATCATCCCCACAAAGGAACTGCTTGTTCTGTTCCTTTTCATCACCTGAAGCAATCTAAACCAGGATGTTTCCAACATTATGGCCTAGGAAAGATGTATCTTTCTCCAGTCAACAGTAATTTGGGAAGCATATGATGTTTGTGGGCTTCTTTGTGCTGATATTACTGGTCCAGGTTCAAAATTTGGGTCTTCATCTACCAGATTTCTAGATTAGGCTTACAGCCTTTGGCATTTTATGTCATGTTCCCTTTCCTTCCATGTTGATTGTTATGGTCTTGCAATTGGTTCTGAATGTGTAGCTAATCCTTTTTCTTTAGCTAATCCCTTCTTTTGGTAGAGAATCTTAGTGTTCCTCTGTCATGTCAGAGAAATTTCTTTTCTACTGGAAAGAGAAGAACTCATTATCATAGTGAGTCACTCACAAGTGAACAAAATTTGAAATTGAGCTGCTCTTAAGTTCTAGTTTATTAAACTTGTTGAACGAGTTTGCCTATCAGTATGTTTTCTATGTAGTACTTGTGAGGTGCTTATCTGAATTGGAGAAAGGCGAATTCTGTGTTTTACAGATGCTCATCGATGGTCTTTTCTTTTAACAGATATCAAAGTGTTGGTTTTCGAGTACCACCCGAATTAAAAAGTTACTGTGATGCTAATACTGCTAAAGGGTAAGTATAATATCACACGTTTACATTTCATCATAGCCATGCTGAAATTTAAAATAGTTTAATCTATTCCAACTGGAACCATTTAAACTGATAGGCAAGTCTCTGGCCTGTTTTTGAAGATAGCTCAAACTATTAGCCTAATGTAGTGCAATAGCTTGTTGCACCATTAAAAAGGGAATGGTCAGAGCATGGCAGAGCCAAAATGGTTGGAAAAGCAGGGCAGTGCCATCACCATTTCACGTGTGCAATTACCTAGCAGATTGATACATTCACAGCGCACCCACTAGCATGACATGGCATCTTCTGGTTCCTGTCATACCTCAAATCTTTCAAGAAAGGCAAACCCAAGCTAAAATGCCCATGTTGGGTGCATTGTTGCCATTGATGGTATCACAGAGCCATATAACTAATAGACTATCTCCTTTGATGTGCACCTATGCTGAACTGTCTACTGTAGTCACCTCTGACCAAAACCGTACTGTTTCCTTTTTAGATCTCTCCACATCATTGTTGAATGTAACTCATGGTTGACAACTGATATGTGCTGTCCAGAAGGGGCTCATATGCTCCACAGCTAGACTGTTTACTTGTGTCGCTCTGAAGCTCATCCAAATGCTGAATGTGTACCCATGTGACTTTGCAGCTTGAAGAATAGATGGGAGGATTTATGCAAATTTCGAATGTTTCCTTACAGAAACCAATATTCATTCCAGCTGTATGAACTTGATGATGATTACATTCACCAAGAGATACAAAAGCCTCCAAAGCAGACAAGTTGCACTGTGAGTTTTTCATGTTGGCCATGTTGATATTGAAATTATATTTGTTTGCGCATGTGTTTTTTCGAGCTTTTAGCATAATAGAGTGAACCAATGTGCACATATCTATATGGGTGCTGCATCAAATATGAAAATATGCCACATGTTTCAGTGTGATTCTCTTCATTTCTAATACAAATTCCAGAGTAATATTCATCATATTGTACTTGCAGAAATTTGTTATCATATTGTACATCTCAGTTCTCAGCACTGCTTAAACTTGTGGCCTTTTACTCTATTTGATCATATCGTTAGACCATTAAATAAACAACAGGGGCTAACACAATCCCAAATGCATTAGACCAGGTTTTTCTACAATATCAAACAAATAAACAGTTTACTGTCGGCAGAAAATTTCCAGGTTTTAGATACAAATGTAATATATATATATATATATATATATATATAAGCAATTAATTTGAAAATGTGGCTCCTCTCCATTTCACTGCAATTCCTCCATTTTCTCCTGGCAATATTTGCATGAACTGGAACAGTGTACCGGTAGTCTGCCGCTCCTTCACAAAATTCCAACAGAAAAGGAAAACCCTTACAAAGAGTCAAACTTCATTCCTTCTATTTGGTTCTTTAAATCAACCTCTAATGATTGATTATCCATGATGTTTTGTTTGCATCTGCATGTCTTGGGATGAGGGTAGTTTGGTGGGAATCCATGACTTCTGTAGCATATCATGAACAGGAATAAAAATTTTCTTATGGAAGCAACTTATTGAAGTTCATGTTTTTATCTAAACTCTGTATGTAGTTGTATGTTTTTTTTTTTTAAAGATCAAATTTTGATGTAATTTAGTTGATAGTATGAAACAGGATGGTTCTCACAACATGTGCATTATAGTTTGAGACTGTGTGTAAAGGTGAGGTTCCTATCAATATACCCAGAAACTGGTGCAGAAAAATTTCTTAAAGCTGCTTCTGAAAAATTTATGAAGTCAAAGAGAGCGTGCATATACAAAGATGCACCAAAACCAGTTCAGGAGGAGCACCAACAAATTAATGGAGGTTCGAATTAACACCTGCACTTGTTGTTTGTCCTATTTTGCTTTAGACAGTAATATTAATGTGCAGTTTATCTATTCCTATTTTTTTGTGTCATCCTACACTTTATAGATTACTTTCATGTGTACAAATCTGTGAAAATCTCAAACCATTATGATTTATGACCAAAAGTGATTTTTCAGCTATTATATTTTTCAAACATTTATATAAGCATTTTCTAGCTTGTGATAGTTTTCTTTGCACATTCTTCTTCCTTACCTCATAAATATTCACTTTTTTTATTCTTTCCTTTCATTATTCTGCGCCTTACTGCTGAAATCCTGGCTAAACTATCTGTAAAGGTAGTTCTTCTGAATGATGCTATGGTTGCAATGGTTAGCATAAGGCCACTGTGGGAATGTGTGTTTGGCTGTTAAATTCTTTCCTGCTTGGCTTCTCGGTTCAATTTAAATCATGAAACCTTAAAAAACATTGATGCAGAAGCTGTAGATGATGAAGCGAATGAAAATCAGCTCGATGTTGATGATGCTGAGGTGGATGAACTCGAGTCTGATGATGGTGAAGAGGAATTGGATATAAGCGGAATGGATTTGGTAATCAAATGTCTTCTTTATGCTTTTTTATGTTTAGTTTCCTTCGATAAATCATTTTGAAGTTTGCTTATTCTTTTTCTTTGCAGGCTGCTGAGGCTGATAATATTTCATTGAATTCGATTTCACGTATCCTTGTATCATTCCCATCCTTTGTTTTGTTTTACATGTGCACAAAAGAAAAAGGAAATTTATATTATCCCTCTATAGCAATTCTTTTTCTTGAAACCTGCCCGTAGTTTATGTATCCTATACATGCCTGCATCTAGATATGGAGAACACCTCAACAAGCTATTTGCAACAACTCTTGGGTAGTTTTCCACCGACGGACACCAATGGTGACAAAAAGCAAGATGATAACAGTAGTGATGGGGAATATCAGATATACGAGCAGGATAATGATGAAAATGACCTTGATGATGATGATGATGACGATGACTGACCTAATCCCCGAAGCTCTACGTAAGTACAAGGTTGGTTTCCTTCCATTTATTTTCATTCTCTCAAGCTGAGTTATTTAGTTTTACTGCTTTCACTGAGCCTTTGCATATTAATACCAAGTTAAACTTTTAGCAGTAATCTTACATCAAGGGAAGCTTGACCATCTTAGTCCTCTGAAGCCAGACAGTTCTTGTGTCGCAGCTCTGTTATGCAAAGCCTTGAACTGAAGCAGTCGTGCACCTACTAAAACTCGCCCGTAACTAGAATTCATATGGATCTTATGAGAAACAATAGTTAAGTTGGTCAGTCACAAAAGCAATTTTTCCTGTTTTTGTAAGTTATCACCTAATTTGTACAGCTCACTGATTCAATTACTGTCATAGAGAACTTAATGGAGTTGAAAGGTTGTCTCGAGGATTCGAATTTCACATGTAAGGAACATTGTTCATGTCTGAAAATTCTGGACATTATGGCATTGGCTTCGCCTGGTGTATATGAATCTAGGATGACAATAGTGGAGAATTTTGCTTTTTCACTTATCTTCGGTTGAAAAGTAATTCCATAACCACCGTAGTTGCCACCACATTTGAGGGGTTTTCTTGTGGTCGTGTTCGTGGTTTACATGCAAGTTGCAAACTTTCTGAAATTATTATGATTCGAGCAGTTAGTATTCAGGTCAGATAACCAGTTGGATGCTCTCAATACAGAAGATCCAAACGCACGAGAATCTGTTCAATTGAAATGTCTTCAGTAACATATTCTACACTGAGATCAATTTGAGACCAAACCAACCAGCTTTGGTTTGTTCACGCCTAGACGTAATAAGTTAAGATTAGCTTTGGGCCGTCTGAATGTAGACAAATTCAAAAAGAAGCTTGTGTAAAACGAGTAGCTTGTCTCCACAAGAACCTTCTCTTCTGCACTAGCAGTTTTTCTGTCACTTATAGCCAATTTGATCCAGTAGCAACAAATAGCTCCTTTTACTTTTTCTTTATTTTTCAACAATTTGTTAAACCTACTAAATTTTGGCAAAGAAATGATCGAATAACAGACTTTCCTGCATGATAATAATGCCAATAACTAAAGGATAGCCTTCAACAACTTGCCTTGGGAAAAATCTCTGGAGGAGCTACCTTTCGCTAGATAGCCAATCTTAACTTTCACACTCAGAGACGAGAGAAATTTTTTGCAAAGAGAAACTATGAACCAACTGATGTAAAATTATGTAGCATTATTACAGATGGGCATGACCCAGAACTACTCAAGTGGAACCCACATTTGACAGAAACAGGAGAGTTCCATCAACAGACCATACTACTATATGTCCCATCTCTTTTTAACACGGAACATTAGTGCCGAAGTTCTGATGTCATCTTGTGGCACTTGCAGCATAAATTGGACTTTCATCTTCATCGGAGCAGTCTTTGCATTGCCACCTTCATCTCCAACCTAGAGCATTGAGATTGTGCATCATAAGGTCATATATTAACACCTCTTGAATTCCATACACCAAAAAATAAGAAACAAGGCTGTTTAACATATACTAAGTTGCTAAAAAGGGGTTAGGATCCTCATCTTGAATTCCTATTTCCTTCTTCCAAGTACCATGGCAACCTAATTCCTATAAAGTTACCAACTTTCCAGATGCACTCTTACGATACTTGGTAGTGCAACAGTAGCATATTATGTTAGTTGTTCGTAGCCATACTCTAATGTAATTACTGTCTTTTTTGGGAGCTAAAGAGCCAAAACTATATACATTAGAAAAGCGGGGCTAAATCTATACAAGATCATAAAGGCAAAACTTCAAAAATGCCATGTCAAAACATCAAATACACTACCCTCTCTGCTTGACCACATATAGAGAAGCAACTGTTCTGGAGCTCTGATTAGGACAGAACCATTTTGTCATGTTTTTTCCTTTGTTATAAAGATTTGTAGTTACAGATAGAGATGCAACTGTTCTGGAGTGGTTATGTAACTACAAATCTTTATAACAAAGGCAAAAACATGACAAATTGGTTGTCCTAATCAGAGCAAGCTTGCAATCAGTTTAAATTATCATTAAGAGGTAGGAGACTAATAATATTGACTGTCACTTTATGCAAGCAAAAAATTGTGACACTTGCCCAATAGGTTAAGATATAATTACAAAGAAAGGCATATAAAGATGACACCCGTCAATAAAATTAGAAGTTAAATTTCATCATTTGAAAAGCAAGGGTTAAAAAGTTTAATAAATAGGAATGCTTACCCAAAGCGATGCCCAGCCAAGACGCACCTCTGAATCATAACCAGCTTTAAGTTTGAAATCCTTTCCATAGGTGTGCTTGTACACAGTACTCCAGTTGTTAGTATCAAAATTGTACCAGTAGCTGCACCACACATTAATACATAATGACCCACTTGAGAAACCACGTTAACATAGATGAATATCCAAATAAAACAATCATATTGAAATCTGATGAAGAACTTTCATCGTCTCTTCAGTTCCTTGAGAAACAGTGAATCAAGCTACATAGCAAGTCTGCAGATGAGATATGATACTCGGGTTTGTTCTCCCTTTCTCCAGTAACTGGAAAGATTGACATTTATCCCTCTTATAAGATATCATAAAAAAGAAATTATTAAGGATGACTGCGGTCATGCATTCATTTGTAGGAGTAATATGAGACTTGAAACAAGGACTTCAGAGTATCGAAAGAGAGAGAGAGGATCCTCCTCCCCGGGATTTGGATAAAAATTGTATAGAGACTGTACCTCAACTTATTGGAAGGAGTGAACCTACGCTTGAATGCAAACGATAAAGCATTTGAAGGCAGTGAAATGCTGGGGACAATAGAAAGTGCCTCATCCTGCAATGAATTCAAAACTCTTAACAGCATATCCTATATATAGGGCAGGGCACTATAAAGACACCGAAACAACACACAAAGCATGCCACCAATCCAGAAATAGCCAGGAATGAGACCACCAGAGAAAAAAATTCTCATTTAGATAATCCAAGATCCATCCAAAAGTTCTATTCATTTGTACAAGCATAGCCCAGAGACCAGTACGAGTGGACGCCCAGGCAATCAATAGGACAACACAAAAAAAATAAATAAATAAAAATCATAGTGAAAGACTGAGCCAAGAGAAAACCTTACCTTGTAGCAGTATCTCAGTTTCAAATCTTCATCACTAAATTGAGCAGTGCAGATGCCATTCATTAACTGACTTTTGACAACTCCACTAACTGCCAATGTTCTCCTTACTTCCTCATCTTCTCTCTCCTCCAATGAAACTTCACCAAGAGGGAACTTTAGTGTTGCCCTCGGCTGCAACAACAGGAAGACCATTTATGAAAACAAAAGGAAACAAAAATTACAAAAAGAAACCATCTTTTCTCTCCTCCTCCAACCCCAATCAATATCCCAATTCAAGCCATAAGCCAAAATTCCTCCGTTAGTCACCAACCAAGTAAAAATTCAACAGAAAGTAATAAAAAACTTTCAGGTCCCCAACAATTTCCCAACATTGAAAATGTTAAAATATTTAACATCAACATGAATGAAAAATGGCGCTGCTTAGTACTTACCACACCAACAGTTGGAACCGGAGATGAAATTTCAAGTGCATAACCAGGATCACCCAAGTCAGCAACCATTGCCACCTCTCCATGTTGTGCCTAGAAGAAACAACAACAACAACAACAAAAATCCATGTCAAAAAGAAAAAAAGAAAAAAGAAAGAAAGAAAGAAACCCACATTAAAGAAACAAAGTTAAAGTAAAAAAGATTGGACCTTGACATCATGGGCAGTCTTAAAATGCAACTTAGGACCAAGATCAAAGGAACCCTTCACAAGGGCATTCTGTTCTTCGGGGTCATAATGAATGGAGAGTAGTTTCGAAGTGAAAGCAAACTGGGGTTGAGAGAGTTCACCCTTGTTGTTGTTTTGAAAAGAAAATTTGAGCTTTGCAAAGCTGTCAAATAACTTGCAGGAAACTTTGTGGAAGAACAAAGAACTGTCACTGTCAAACTCAGAGGTCACTCTAAGTTTTGGTCTTTTTGAAAGGAAGCAAATTTTAGATGGTGGTGGAGGTGGAGGTGGATCTGCATGTTGGATTGGTGGGACCATGTGATTAGGGTTTGATGGAGGAGGAGGTGGATCAGAAGATTCAGCCATTGGTGTTGGTGGTAGTTAGGATGATTGATATTTGATTCTCTCCCAAATTTTGTTGTTTTGTAGAAAGAGAGAGTGAGAAAGAAACGTATCGAAATTTTTGGATTTTTAAGGCGGAAATTTAGAGGGGAGAGCTTTTGGATTTTGATTTGATTTGGGAGATCCAATGGTCAAAATCAAAAATTGAAACCTTTTTGTATAAACTTATTTTTAACCTCCTTAGATTAAACAAAATTTCGCTTTTAGTCCATATAGTTTAAATTTTATCACTAATATAACCTCTGACCTGTTAAAAGGTTTTAATACAAGCTTTGGTTGTTACACAAGCAAAGAGAAATTTTAATGATTAAAAAAAATGGTTTGATCATTGGTTATTTAATGATATTAACCTTAATCTTACTAAACGATTATTTTTTCATCGTTTTTATAAAATTTAATTTTTTTATGAGATTTATAAGCGAATCCATTCATTGTTATAGAATTCGGTTTTGAATATTATATCTTTTTATTTTGAATTTTTTATTTTTTGTGGACATTTAAAAAAATAAAACAATTAGCTATTAGCTATTCATTTTGTACCACTCGTAATCCCAATTTGCTTCGCAATTATGGCAAAAACTAGTCAATATTCATTATATATTTATAAACATTTAATTTTAATTTTAAAAGAGGAGAAACAAAATCTAATACAAAATAAAAGGATTAACAAAAATTTAAATTGTTTTGTTACTCCAACCTATTGCCAAGATGTTAAGAATATCAATTGTTAGATAAAGGGATTAAATATCATCTACATATTTCCTTATTAGTTTTTTTTTCCTTTTTAATTACAAAGTCCCTTATTTTTTTTATTAAGGCAATTTTTTTTTTTTTGGTTAAATAGTTAAGGATACCTAGATAAGGCAAGATGGCTACCTGTCATGTATTGGTTTGTGGGAACTCTAGTCTTGGGTAATTGGAAACTTTACTTTGTTCAAAAGAAATTGCTATTTAAAAAAGGAAAATAGTAACACTTATCTCTCGAAAGGAACAATCTCTCTCTCTCTCTCTCTTTTTTTTTTTTTTTTGAAATGCTCGTTTTCTCAATAAAAAATTGTTTCTTATTTTATTTTTTAAAAATAGTTTTTTTTTTCTTAAGTCTGTCTCCTCTTTATTCGAAGAAATGATAAGGACAAGAGTCTATTTTATCCACATAAAACTTATAAAATGATGATTTATTATTTTCATGGACTGTATAATACTTAGTAATTCTCCAAAATGTGAACATAGTATTATCCAAACTATGTATTATATTTTAAGATTGGACCATCCTATAGAAACTGATAATTAAGATTATTTATTTTGATATTTAGGATTTTTCATATCTTAAATGTCATATCATGTATTATGCATGTTCATGGAATCATTATAAAGCCAAACACAACCTAAAAATAGGAATAATTAATACTACAAACCTTTTTTTTTTTTTTGTTAATTAATTTCTCAAACTAACTCTAATTGTGTATCATTGATCCAGCTAATTATATGGATAAAAAAAAATTACAAGTTGTAGTTAAAAATATATTGGACTAACTATGTCTATTAGCTCTGGCCATTCTCATTCTCAATCTCATCAGGTCAATTAATTACCGGGCAATTTTATATGCATCAAGGATTTGTTTCATAAAATAAAAATATAAAAATATCAATGGACAAAATTTGGAAGAAGTAAGACTGTAAGAGCGGAAGGTGAAAACTTTTGAAACTATAAGGGGTAAAATGCAGTTTAGATTAACTATGAAAATGTAATAACATAAGAAACTGGCCCATGCAGGTTTCGAACCTGCGACCTTCGCGTTATTAGCACGACGCTCTAACCAACTGAGCTAATAGGCCATTTCGATTTAACTTGGTTCTTATTGTTAATTGTATTAGCTATTAAAACTGAAATCGCGTACCAGTTCTCGTTCAAACGAGAAGAAGCACTGCAGGACTGGAATTCTTGAGCTTCCCTTTATTTTCTGATGAGTCGAGACTTATTGACAAATGAAAAAACCCTAGAAAGGGAGAGCTCAAACAAAATAGTGAGAAGCCTTCTATTGCAGCACCTGCTTTTGCGACGCCAAACATTTTGAGCAAATGACTTTATTTCATGCTTTTTGTTAACCAAATGCAATGATCATTTTGCTAATTACTAAGCTAAATGTTCTTGCAAAAGTTGATTTTCTCGTTTGACTTCAACTACTACGTTATCCGCTACTCATCATATTCCCATAACCAGTAGAGGGAAATTATTATTATTATTATTATTATTAATATTTTCGTGTACAAACTGGTTAGTTTAATCGCAGACGCAAACAATCACAACAACCAATATAATTTTTTTGTTCTGAAGCAAAAACATCCACATGGTTTGGATTCTCTTTCGGATAGGCTCTGAAAGGAGAAAAAAATAATGATGGCTTCGTAAACATATTAACAATTATTAATATATTCAAGAATTTTACTAATTAAACCTAATAATAATAATAATTTTAAACAATTGTTAATATATTCAAGAATTTTGCTAACTAAACATAATATTAATATTAATTTTAATAGAATAAAATTACTTGATGACATAAAACCCTTAAATAATACCAATACGGTACAACAAAAACAAGAAATGCCCAAATCCTGACCGATACGGTACAACAGCCCTTATTTGAAACTATGGTTTCATGGCTTTTTAAAGGGCGAGGGAGAATAGGCATTAAATGAACAGCTTTATTTGATATTTTGAGTCTTGCATTTTATAAGTAAGGATTAGTGAGTGAAACCCCCCACAAGGGTTTTGTTCTTTTCATTTCTACATCATGCAAAGCTAAAGTTTAAAGAAAGAAAGGAGAAAAAGAAAAGGAAGGGGAAGAGAAGAAAAGAAAAGAGAAAAACTGTCTTCAGAGCATCCATGCCCAAATGCAAGAAGATACCAACATGAAAAAATACGGGACCCGTGTAGATAAATTAACCCCTGACCCTGAAGAAACTTCTACAGATGGACAGCCCTTTCTAAAACCCCTGCCGCCATCAACAACATATTTAGAAGACGACTTACTGCCCCACCCCAACATAAACTTACATGCACGTCTATTAGAATCAAAACTGAAGTATGTAGAAATACCAAGTCACGCAATATTAACAGCAACTGGCTTCCCTCGACCCATTGCAAATCCCCTTGTGCCATCTGGCATCCGGGGCCCAGGAGGCTGCTTGCTCATTGTTGGATGCTCACCAATAACCAGATTATTTGAGGGGGAAGTTCCTAGATGATTTCCCCGGTTATTGTGATGGTACTGACCTCGCCCACGACCCTTGGCCCGCCCCTGCTTCGCCCTTTTTTGTGCGTACCTTCTTTGTCATTCGCATGATCCTCTCCCTGACCAATTAAGAGGATGTCAATCAACCAAGTGCTAAAAACATTATTTTGTGAGATGATAAAACAAGGATGCTTCAAAAATGTGAAAATGAAGCAATCATTTTTCCTTTTTTTTTTTTTCTTTTCAGGAAAAAAAGAAAAAAAAAAATCTAGGATGCTTGCAGTTCTGTTGGATAATGCATGTAAGACCATGATATAAGGATTCCCCTGTAATACCGAAGACTGATAACCTTATATCATGCATGTTCACATTCGATGAATTTTGCTAATACTCACAGAATGCTCGTGTGAATGGGCATCATGCTGCTGGGATAGATCTTCTGTCTGTTTTTCATTTGGCATTTGCTCAGATGCAGAAACCTCATCTTCCTCAGAATGCCCTTGACCATCATGCCCCTTCTTTCCTCGTGCCTGGGTGGATTTTGTCTAAATGATGGAAGAAACAAACCCAAATCAAGGGACTAAGCTAACTCCAAAAATATAATAAAAAACTTGCAAATCATTTACTGAAACTGATGGAAATAAGTGTTAATTTAAAACATTTACCACACAGGATATTTGAACTGCCAATACCATTAAATGGAGCCTCAGGGTTTTAACACCCACCAAGGTTACATACAGAGTAATAGATTCCAAATCCTATACATCTCCACTTTCCCCTTTTTCACTGCACACTTTTAGAATACTTGGCTATTTCAGTAATTACTCTCTCAACCCAATCTTTTTAATATGAATCATTAACCCTTCAACATAAACTGTCAAATATGAACAGTTTAAACCTTAAATGGTTCGATTAACTTCAATGGTTTAGAACCAAATTTGAATAGGATAGAATTCACAAGCATGCAATACTAAGATTTAGAACTATTTCATTAACAATTGCTTCCTCACTGATTTGACATAATCATATTCAAATATTTTTTTAAATCATGGTGGCATGGCACTTATAAGTTACAGCCTAAGCTATCACATCAATCAGTTTCAATAGGTTGGTAATAAAGTTGGTATCTCTAGCATTATTCTTTACAAACACAGAGCAGAAAAAAAAAGGGTATGAACCAAAGATGAAGACAATGTTTTGGTATATACCCCACGCTTGAGCATTAACCGAACCCTAAGACCACTCCTCCAGTTTCCCTCATCATTTAGCTCAGCAACCTACATAATAGTATGTGCACTTAATTAGTGCAGAGGGAAACAGACGTTGGGAAAGCGCACACAAACAAAGCGTGGAAAAACAAACTGCTTACTGCTTTCTCAGCAATCTCAACTGTCTCATATTCCACAAATGCATGCAACTGCAAAACATAAAAGCTTAAATGTTATAATTTTCATGTTTATATGACAAAAATAATCAAGAGAAGATTAAAAAAAAAAAAGCTATCTGCTAAAAATAAATGATGAATGGTAAAAAGAAAATGAAAGCATTAACAGCCAAAGCAAAGCATAAGCATCTTCCCTTGGCACTGGGGCCATACTGTAATACACCTCTTGGGAAAACTACAAACTTGTAGGTTATTCTTAATAGTTAACTAACCATAACTTTGTGCTGGCAACCAAAGATAAACAAAAATGCAGGAGTCACCAACTAGATGCCAGATAACTATCAAGGAAGACACAAGTAGACCTTCCTCTAGGTCTTTTTTCCTAGGTAATTTTAATAGCGTTTATCTAAAATATTTAGTATTTTCTGCCAGTCTCCGTCTTTGTAGATCAAATTCAAAATCATGTTACATTCCATATTTTTTTTAAAGTAAACCTTTTTCTATCCTTTTCTGTTTACTGTTTTGCAACTCCAATGATAAATGGTTTACCTCACCAAGAGAAAGAAACACATGGTGATGTTGATAAAAAAGGATTAGAAGTATGCCAAACACAACTGATATGTAGGTCCGCGTGAATGTACCTTGTTACTGAAATGCATCCCATCAGCTTTTGCAGATCTAGATGCTGAAGAAGCACTACCACCAGAAATTTGAGGTGGACAGGTACGAATTGTCTTCACACTGAAAAAGGAAAGGTCAACAGAGTGAAATGTTTAACAAAATATTGTATCTGGCATGGTTCACATGAAAGCTAAACCATCTAATTAAATATCATTCTGAACAGAAATAATCTCAGTACCTCCCAACAGCAGAAAATATCTTCATGAGGTTTTGGTGGCAATGATCCTCTGGCAAATTTTCAGCAACAACTATACGAGACTAGAGATCAAGGAAAGTGTTAGACACAAAACCACAAATTATCTCTCTCTAAACTATCCAAGATTAGAGATTAAGGAAAATATTAGAAACAAAATCACAAATTTTATTTCTCTAAACTATGAATATAAGACAAAGTACAAACTTACATGCATCCCACCAAAGAAATAAGGAAATAAAGTAGCATTATTGCCAAAAATGATAATACCACATAACAGAAGGAAGTGGGTAAAAGAAAACATACTTGCAACTCCTCAACATCTGACTCGGTTAGGGGATGCTGGCGTCTTACTTTCTTTCCATCCTCACTAACTACCTGTAGGATGTGGTGTCCAAAAACATTACACTGAGGCCAACAAAAACAACTGAAATTAGTTGCACCAAGAAAATAGTCTATGAAAGAGCTTACAAGCTTTGTTGAGTTCCGCAGAATGGTAGCAAGCTGAGAATTACTGTTTATGGCAGCTTTAACCTTCTTAAAGGAAGAAACAACAGATATTGGCACTGTATTAAAGCAAACTAGGACTTAGAATGGGTATGAACAAATAAAAATTCAGACGACCAATTCTGACATAACAGTTGGGTAGACAATATTAGCACAAACACACAGACATCTAAATGGACTAGCTTCCAACAACATAAGAACCTTACTTAATTATTGTTTTAAGTTCTTTGGGAAAAGTATGGGGAAAAAACTAATAGAGTAGAGATGTTTGACAAAATGCAAGGATACAATGCACATAAAGCTTCAAGAAAAGCACCATTTTGTCGTTTCTAGGTTCGATGTTTGATAAATAGCTTCAATTATAACTTATCAAGGGACTTTTTTAAAAAGAGTATGTACCCTCCAAATCATTATCAAGAGATCAAAGCAAGAGAAAGTAGCTGGTTATCAAGGGATTGTTTATCCAATTGCTATCATAGCTACATTTTCAACAAGAGTATGTACTCTCCAAATCATTATCAATAGATCAAAAGCAAAAGTAAGCAGTACTAGGCACAACTTTAAAAATATTCATAAGTAGACAATGATAAAATTGCACTCAAACTATAAAATAAAGCACAAAATGACAGAAATTAAAAAACCATTACCATATCCTTCAGGATCCTTGGTAATAAACCTCATAAGATGATCTGTAGTGGCCAAGTTCAAATCACTGAAATAATACTCCACCTGCAAATAGTTAAGAGTAAATGCCAATCAAAAAATGGCAAAGTTAATTACAGTACCCTATATGAAACCAATGGTATCTTAAATCATGTTTCTATCACTTCGATTCACCCTATTGTCCGCCTACCACCTCTCTCATGATTCCTTGCTAGTACTACAATTTACCTAGCCCTCCACACCAATTATCTATTAGTCACTATCAAATAAACTCAGTTCATCAACAATCTAACTAGATTATTTAGCAGCAATTATTATTATTATTATTGGTGATGTCATGCTTTTTGGGTGCTTTCGATGGTTTTGACATCTTCACATCAAAACCATCCAAAAGCACCCCATTTGAAACTTTTACAGTCCAAAGGCAATTTGAAAAGCACTATCAAACGCAGCCAATAGGCGTTGCCAAATAGAGCTTTACTCCACTTCATCGGAAACTTAAGTTTGTGATGATTCTGTTTTCATGTCCACTATAACATCACAATTATAGGCAAAATATTTAAGACTTCTACCATATCCATTAGCATTGGAGTTACATCTTAAGCCCCCACTATTTTCCATAATAAATAAGATTAACTTGAAATATCACTGAACTTAAGCACTAACCCTAAATTTGAAGAAAGAAAAACAATTTCAACAACTTGAAAACTACCTGATTTAAGAGCTTATTCATGGCTTCATCAGCTTTACTATCACTCTTCGAGACATGATCCGAAGAAGCAGCTGCAACTTTATTCACAGCCACCTCGACCTCTTCGTCAGAGTGCTGATGCACCTTTTGGAGTTATGCTGTTGAAGATGCTGGTTATGATTTCGTACCGGAACATACTGTTGATGCTGATTGTGATGATTATGGTGGTGGTGGTTATGACTGTTGTGATGGTGATTATGATGGTGGTGGTGGTTTTGGACGGGTATGACGTGAGGCAAAGGTACAGGGCTGTGAATCGGGACGTGAAACGGAGACGGTGGAGGATACACATGCATCATGGCGGCGGGAGGAGGCGGAGGAGCAGGGATCACGGCCAATCGTGATGGATTTTGTGGTTGTGGTTGAGGTTGAGGTTGGGGGCGCGTGGGAACAAAGGCAGGAGCTTGCGCGTTGAGTTTACTAAAGGATACATTACGAGAAAGCGAAGGATCAGAAGAAGGAGAAGAACAAGAAGATTGATCTAGGGATTCAGGTACTGATTCTACTACTGCTACTAATTCTTCCTCTTCTTGAATTTGTTGCGCCATTACTAATTTGATTTTGGTACTGGTTTAGTTTAATTTTAAATTTTACGGATTGGATTGGTGGATCTAGGGTTTTTAATTTTAATTTTTCAAGGGACGGGCTCTGGGTGAAGGGCGGAGGAGGTAGTCTGGAGGGAAGACAATGGAGAGGATTTCTCGGTTTTACTGCTTCATCTCCGCTCCTATTTATACTACCCACTCTCTTGCTTCTTATGGTGAAACTTCAATTTAGTCCCTATCATATTATTAATTGAATCTTAAACTTTTTAATTCTTGTCAATTTTGTCACAATTGTAATTGACATCATACAATGTTGCCCCTCTTCCCTCCAAAAAATAGAGTTTATATTTCGTAAGTCCAATTTGTATATGCTCGTTAAATATTTCTATCTCAAACTTTAAATTAAACTTCCATAGATTTTGAATGTTGATCTACAATGATTTAAAACTGTCTTCATGACTGATTAGGGTTTATTTTGCACATTGAACTAAAATATTTACCGAATGCTTGTAAATTTTATAGAATCTTTTAACGTTCATTTAAAGTTGATGAATGAAGGGATCATTTAATTTTGATGCCGTCTAGGGTAAATTGAAAAACTCAAAAGAATTAGGACTCAATTGACAATAAATCAATACACTAGGGGATAAATTGAGGCTTTTCTATCCATTATCCACCGCATGTGGACCCCATTTATTATGCTCATTTATCTCTTTCATCTGCTGACATCTCAGTTTAGCTTAAGCATCATGGAAATAAACCTTGTTTAGATCATCTAATCTCTGCTCTAACATTAATTACTCTGTTCATAAGAAATAACGTGTGAAGGGAAATCAGACACACTTATTTCTTGAGTCAAGCCAAGGTTGCATGTCCATTTCTTGTTGGTGTGGTGGAAGGGATGAAGATGATGAAGCGGCCATTGTGTGTTTGTCTTCTTCTTGTGTGCTAAAGCCCACAAAATGGATAAAGGTGGGTTGTCTAAACTTTGTACATGGCCTCATTTTATACCTGATAATCATGACCATGATCATCATGATTCCTTTCTTGATAATCATAATTAGTGGTGGGCTGATCCATGTCTTGTGGGGCCTCTGCTGATTGCGATGGCTTTAAATGGGGCCCACCAAAAGGCTGTTTTGGATATCAAATCCACAGAAATCCCAGAAGAAAAGTAACCATAGCATGGGAAACAGGAACTTGTTATCCAAGTTAAACATGTAATTAGTCAAGCATAACAGTGCCACGTATTTTTCATCACTCAAAAAGATTCGGTTGATATAGGTTCTTTGAGTGTAAAATTTAGAAAGCTAGCGATCAAGAAAACTTTTGATGGATTTGAGTGCTTTTCTCCATCAGCCATAAGTGATTTGGATCTGGTAGTTTTCCAGTTATTGTCTGGGTCTATGATCTTGTTCGGTTGAAGGAAAGACTACTGCTGAGCTTGGATCACCGAAGCATGGCTGAGCTTTCTATTTCCTCTTTATTGATTCGAACTTCTGTCTGATAGCATCCCAAAAGGCTGGTACAGCGATATCATCAGGTATTTCCTTGAATGATGGGAGATAATTCACATCCACAATGACATGGTCTGCACTGCCTTCCTGAATCTGATTTTTTTTTCCCCAGTGAAACAGACAATTGTTAAGACATGAGAGGATGTAAATTCGCATCAATTTCTGAGATATATACCATACTAAACTACAAAGACGATAGAACAGATGCATCTGCAAAAGATGTAACCCACTGAAATGGTTGGGGTCGGGGTTTATTATATGTATATTCCAGAATTCAGCTGGCTTCTTATGATGCAGCCCAGAGAAGGCATAAGGAAAGAACATAGACTGAGCGACCGTACACCAGAAATATCAAGAACAAGCACGCCTAGCAAAATTGGCTCCTGTAAGAATTTTGGATGCTAATCTAATGCAAGAATAGTGAAGCATTTCACGGTGATATTTTCTCATTAAACATCTTGGGTTTCTACCATGATTAATCACTCATCGAGCATCGAAAATTAATCAGGACTTTGACTGGTACAAGATGTAGACTGCAAAAGATATATTGTCAAGAAAGCATTACTTACAACAACATCGAAGCCAAAGATGGTAAGATCAAGTTGTCTTGCAAGCCAATTTGCAGCATCAGTGACTAGCTCAAGATCAAAAGAATCAATATTGGTCTTGAAGGAATCTGCAGCTGTAGAGTGCTCAGTACCGGTTGGTAGAGATTTTAAGCTGCGGAGGTTAAGCACAACATTATCAAAATTGAAGCATGTGACATAATCGTAACTCAAGAAAGCAGAAAGCAAAAAAAGAAACTAGATGCTACCTGTCGAAGAGTAAAGGTCCGAGTTCATTTCTTTCAGATGATATGGTCAAGACATCAACATTCGGTATAGATTTCTTAACTGCATAGAAAACTCTCTCCCCCAAGACATAAATCTTGAATATAGTAGATGAATGGTCCACGTACTCCTGCAATGCCAATCAAACTTTTCAGAATCAGAAGGACAAAGACATGAAACTCAGCAGTCAAAAAGAACCTTTAAATGGCTCAACCACTGGGCAACTCCTCTGACCAATGGGATTCGAAAAATATTTCAGTCTTCATGTTAAATTACATTTAGCTTATTGGAAGCATGGTGTAAAATTCTGTTTTATCTATGTCAAATACAAACACTAATCAGTGTTTAGCTGTTTCCAGTCAAGCATACACAATCAGTAACCATACATTGATTCATATTTCTGTAGTGCCAGAATACAAGACCAAAAAGTCAAACCAAACTTGGCCATGGTAATTTTGTGCCAACCTGAACAATTGCTGGAAGAGGAACGTCTAAATCCTTAAAATCTTCAACTCTAAAGGTGATTGCCTGCAATGTGAGAATTAATCTTTTTTAAGACAGGAAAATTAAGGAACTAAAAATCATTACAAGTCCCCAAGTAATGAATCAAAAACAATGTCCAAAATGTCAGAAATTGCAATAATGTGCCCAGGTAAACCCAAAATGATGGAGCTGGTTAATTTGGTCCGTTCCAAATCACGAACTGATCAGTAACCTAGGACACTTATTCAGACAGCTGGGGGCTGAGGCAGACCACATGAACTACTCTATATTCAAAATTGATAGCAGCTCTAGGAAACTGACTTTACAATTATGAACAAGTCTTTCCAGCACTTAAAAATTGGAGAAAATACACGAAATGTTGAGATTTCATTATTAAGGAACTTGCGTATTGAGTCCACAGAAACAACTAAGTATTACAGAGTCCCTGTTGCATTAAAGAGATGAAAACCTGGTTAACAATTTTGATCCTACAGTATTATACTTTGCAGTCAAGCAAATTCTTACCATACTGTGAGCATCAGCTACTCCACAGGCAACTTGAGGTTTCACTATACTTGGAAGAGATAGTTTAGCTTCAGACAGACTTTGTGCCAAATCAGGGTCATCAAAACCATTTACCTGCATATTTCAACTCTGGTTGTAACTAAATTTGAGGATAAAATGGTGAAATGTTCGAGAGATTATGCGTGAATGGAGCCCTAACATGCAGCATGAAAATGAGTTTCAACATGAAAAACACCCAAGCAACATGTGCTTAAACAATGAACAACACCAAAAATCATCTTATTGATTTTGCAGTGACAACAAAGCTAATCATTTCAGGTTGTGTCCAATGATTTATCAGTTTACTATTTAAAATAAATACCATTCTGATCAAAAGACCTTTAGGAAATGGGGTCCTCTTATCGCCCGACGGCCTTCTTTGTTGAGATCATCCAGCCCAAGAAGAATTTGTTGGATTTTTAGCCGATCCAATACCGGATATATTTTATCGAGAGGATCAATTGCAAAGCAATCAGGATGATGTTCCATATACCTGTAGAAGAAAGGGACCCAGAGATATTATGTCCTTAATCCACAACTTTGTTTGCAACATGCTGATTTATCCTCACCATAACACTGTACAAACATGAATTTGAAACTACCTTTGCAATTCCTGTATGCCCGGAGAGAAAGTAATTCTGTTTGAGGATTGTGAAGAGCCACTTAAGTCAACAGATATAATTTCATCAGTTGCTTTATGCAGAACTAAGTCAACGAGTTGTAACTGAGATGGTAGGGGGAGCTCAAATGTGAGGGGTAGAAACATCAAACCATTTGGAGTAGAATTCATGGGGAAAGCACCCCTCTGCAACAAGGAAAAAGAATAAGCTCGCAATTTTAGACATACATCGAAACTCCATTTTATAAATAGGTAAACATACAGACAAGCTGCATGGAGTATGTACAATAAACAAGTCAACTTAACGATTTCCCTTGAAAGTTTAAAACAAATTCAGTGAAGAGCCAAGTCAGATTGAACTCTAGATCCAGAAAAATAGAATGAATCAGTTTTCAATAGCAACGTAGGAGTTCCAATCAGGATATCATAGCTTCACAGTGATTCCTTTGTGTATCTAAAGAACATCTATGATCTAATACACACTCGTCCTCTAATATCAGTAATACTTCCCATTTCCCTATTAAGAACTGACCTTAGCAAAATCTTCTGCCCGAGAAGGCTTCATAATATAACCAACAGTCACAGCTTTATCCCCAATAGCCTGTTTGAAATTCGAAAAACAAAGCAGTCAGAGAATATGTAAGGAACAGAATTAAAATTCATAAATAATAGTAGAAGTAGATTTGCTACTTGGATAATAATCAGTCATGATAACCTTTCTATTTAAGCCACAAATTATCACAGGCAACTCTTCCACTTTACTGATGCAAACCACTCCTGAATTCTCACATGCACCAGCACCTTCAACATCTAAAACAAAAGAAAAAAGGAACAAGAACCCAATTTCCAAAAGTCACACTTGAAAAAAAGAATCCACAGACAGGGAAAAACAACAACTGCTGAAATTAAGTCACTAAAACCAATAAATAACAAAAGGGTACCAACAAAACTCACCCAGAACAACAATGATCCAACCCAAATTGCTTAATTGACAAAAAGCATCCTTCTTGCTACTAGGAACAAGATACAAAATTTTCCCTCCAGTGCCACCCCAAGAAAGTGTAATCTCATTAACACCACCAATAGATGATTCATCATTCAAGAGAAAACAATCAAAGGAGTATTCTATTGCCATCTTTTTAAGTACTCCCACCTATAACAAAAGGCAGATAAGAAAATGATCTTTTACACAACCATCCCACCAAAACAAACTAGAAAGACAAATCGCTGGGCAAACCTTATTGTCAGGGAGAGAAGGTGAGTAAGAGATTCCATTGTGGAGGTTGGAATGGCGGAGCTTGCGGAGAAGAGAGCGAGCAGAAGGGTGGAAAGAGGCGGTGGCATACTCATGAACAAGAAGTGACTCATGGATTATCACTCCTTTCACTAATGAACCCATTTTGGGTTTTCTTTGTCACTCTCCAAGTGAGTGAGTGAAGAAGCGTTAAGAGAGAAAAAACAAGGAAAAAAGACGCGTTGCTCTCTGCTCTGGTAGCAAAGAAAAGCAGACAAAGATATGCCTTGAAAAAGGACGGTCTTTTTGCGTTGGAGTGCGTGTATATACAAAGATTTTGGATCTCTCTCATTCAGAGTCCATTACGGTCCCAAAGGGATTTTATTGCAGAAACAAGTGGAAAGGACATATTCTGCTTATCAATACAAACTACAGACAGGTCTTTTATGGCCGCTAGACAGTGTTACCTTCCCTTTACTATGATGGAAAGAGGGATTTAGTGATTTTTTTTTCTTGTTCGAAAATTTGTTTTGTTGGATTCGTCATGTACGCTAGCCTATGGTACGGGAGACTGGACATCACCAGATGGTACAAGACAAATTCACTTGTACAAATATTGTCCTGTCCAGTTCAGTCTCACAGCATCGCATGAGTCAAGCCCGCCACGAGCTGATACAGACACACACACACACACAACAGAAGTATGCGAGTCCAACTCAAGGTTTCGTCCCAGCGGGGCTAAAAAATGGTTAAAATTCTGTTCATGAGATACACATAGCCTTGAGCCCCAAAAAAGAAAAGAAAAGAAAAGGAAAGCGAGAATGCAGTGCTTTAATTGGAATCAATAGTTGAGTACAAAATGATATAGTGATGATAACTGCAACAGCAATAAACCATTAGTTTTGCTCATAGCCGTGAAACAATTGTTAATTTTGAAACTGTTGAATGGAGAACCACACAATCACTGTTCGACTGAATCACATAATCAATATCACAATATAGCCTCCTCAGTCACCAGAGACCTCTTGTCAGCAAAGTTTTATGATTGCATAAGCCTTTCCATCAACAACTTGACGATAGTGGGGGCATCAACCGTCACGGCTACCTTAACTGTGGGTTTATCGGTCCACTCAGTTACTTCTCCAAACCTGGTTTATATATATTAAGAGGGAAAAAAAGAAAAAAGAAAAGAAAACAAGAATCATTAGAAAGGCATTCAGTTTGAAGTTAATGATTTGAAGTGTTCATGCAGTCTTACTTTTTCTGTGTGTTATCTAGCAATGTTAGTCCCCTTGTGATGCCAGTAGTCTGGACCCTAACAGCGCCTTCTGTGTAAGTGAAAAGTGAAGGATTCACGGCTGCCAGGAATGCTGTTGGATCATGAAGGTACACTCCTACATCAATAAGAGAACTAAGAATTGAATATTTTTGAGGATTCCCATTCTACTTATTCACTAGCTATATCGGTGTATGCATTTCAGTAAGCAAACCTCCAGTGCTGTATGCTTCTCGATGATAAGAGAAGTACACCTCTAAAATTTTGCACAGATACTGAGCAAATCTTCCATTTGACTGCATCAATTTGTCTCGCCCAGCAGCTATGGATAAAATAGGGACCAAAATCAATGAAACAAGAAATCACCTATGAGGGCGTTTTAAATGGACACAAATTGAGTCACAGCTAAAGTATTAATAAGGCAGGCTACAATTTTTGCAACTTCCACTATAAGTGAAAATGACCTACCCACTGGCAGTGAATTGTGTAAAAGAAACTATTGCCTCTTGCATAACAAGTAACACATAAATGTGTTTGAGAAAAGATATTGGTGTTTTTTTAGTGACTTGATTCCCATGATTATGTATGCAAAAGATAAAAAAAAAAAAAAAGAAAAAAAAAACCAATTATCAGCACATGTAGTACAATAATTGCCAAAGTAACACCTGTGAGAACAACTTGGTGGGTAACATTTATCCCCACAGCCAAAACATCTGCCCCACAGGTGAAAACAATATCAGCAGCTTCAGGATCGCCAAAAATCTGGTCATCCAGTCAGGAGTTAGAATGTTAGATATGAAACAAGAAAGAGAAGGGGGAGGGGGAAGCAGACTAGGACATGTGTATTCAAAATCATCAGTAGGAGTGATACAGCTAGCTGAGAAACTACACTTCCAAAGTTTGTAATGACACCCTTTCAAGTCTCAAACCAAGAAAAATAAGGATCTTTATAGAAAAGAGCAGATGAAATGTAAGTTCACTACAGCTAAAAATCCCATAAAGAAAATTAAAATAAAAGAAGAAAAGGCAAAGCTCTGATGTGCATATAGCTACTAAAACAGCAAAATCTAGAAAGCAAACACCACTGCAACAGTGCATCAACTGAATGGATTTGTGCAACTTACATTTGCCTCAGCTGCTGGATTTACATTCCCATTTACCGAAAATGCTCCACCAAGAAGAACAATCTGCCTGATGTTTTTGCAAAACTCAGGATCTAATTCGATAGCCTATACAATAGATGATCTGTTAGGGAATATACTAAATGAAGTCTGCTAAAAAAATCCAAAGGACCAAGAATCTGACCAGAGCAATATTTGTAAGTGGACCCAATGCGACAACAGTGACTTTTCCAGGGTGAAGTTTTGCTTGCTTAACTAGAAAAGCAGCTGCTGATTGTTCAATTGGCTTGGTTTTAGGTGGGTCAAAATTTTGGTTGCCAAGTCCATCAGCACCATGGACAAAATCGGCAATGCGAAGTTTTGTACCTTTCTTTACAAGAAACAGAGACTTGATGAATAGATCATTCTTGAAACTCAACCGCATAACAGTAAGTATCTTTGCATCATCATTTGATAAGAGAAAATTGTGACATTGTGTGTGAAGTTCAGATTTAAAACTAAAAGAGCAGAAGTAGAAAATAAAGAATAAAAAAGACTTGTTGCAATATCAGAAAACTAGCAGCTCCACGAGTAGACACTAAATTTATTAACACAAGTTTGTCCTTAGAAAACGAAAACCATAGAGTAAAATTACACTTCTTTCCTCACCAAAGACGACCCAATGCTTATATGAAACTAATAGAAGATAAAGATAAAAATATATATATATCTTTTAAAAAAGCTAATACTGTTCATAATCAATTCGACAATGAAGAATGAGTACATACGGTTATTGTCACATGAGATCCCTCGGCAACTGGAATATCAGTCCTCCCTGCAACCTCCAACTAATCCACAAACAGCACACAGAGAAATACTGTAATTTGCAAATGGCTCAATATCAATTATATTATAAAACTTAGCAGTTCAAATCGCTTAATCAAATCTCAGATCTAGAAAGAGAAAAGAGTTACCAAATGCAAGGCATTCCTGGTGGCTAAAGTGGTATAAACATTCCCATATATAGTAGTAAGTCCAATCAACTCCACTTCCGGTGATCTCAAAGCAAGAAAGATTGCCATGGCATCATCTGCATTGCATAGAAAGTTCAAATCTATACAATAAGAACATAAATTTGAGCCAAACCCAATTGAACTAAACACTCATTTTAGCAAAAGATATTAACTTTCTCAAATCCCAGATCATGAGAAGTTCAAAAATTCAGAATTCAATTTCTTTTCAATCGATCCACTTTCTCAACAACCAAAAAGATAACCCGCAACAACAAAAGTAAAAGAGATTGAATTATAAAACCGTATAATCAACTTGATAAATTTAACTCATTAATGGTCTCTAAGCTCAAAAGAAATCTATCATCAATATTTAAAGGTCTAGATATTAAAAAATGGGAAAAAGAAATCCAATGGAGTTGAGAATTTGTGGAGTTAAAGGAAAGGGATAGATATTATTACATACCAATGCCAGGATCAGTGTCTATGATGATCTTCTTTGGTTCTGCTGCCATGGAGGTACGGTAGCTAGTACAGCTGAGGTGACTCACTCCGATGATTGAGTTTGTTGAGAGGATTGTCAGAGTGACAGCTCAACAAAACAAACACTGAAGTCCCTCGTGATTTCCTTTTCCTCGTCCTTTTTAAGCTTCAAAGAGAAAGTTAGCAGGGAAGTTTTTTTTTTTTTAATTATTATTCTGTTTTTCCTTCTTGGCAAACCTTTTATTAATCACTCAACTATGCAGAAGTTTTCAATTAGTCCCAAAACAAAAAGGCCTTTTCCTCAATTGTATCCTTAAAGTACTATAAAATTTCAATTCAAATCCTCCTTTTCTTTTTCGAAAATACAAGCAAGATTAACAATTAGGATTAATCTCTACAAGCCAAAAACAAACTAATTAAATTTAGTTTATTTTATCCCACAAATAAACTTTTTTATATATACTGGAATAATTATATAATTTTTATTTGATTATTAGATCTTTCAAAAGACTTTGTAATTACTATATTAAATTTGATAATGATCAAGAATCTAATTTCCAAAAAAAAAAAATATATCTTGTCTTGTTATATTTAGTTATTAATTAAACTTAATGTTTCAAAAAATCACGAACTATACACATTTTAATGATTTTATCTTGTTCTTTAAAAATTGTATAGAAAGTTCATCAACTAAACTTTTGATAATAATATTAGCACGGATCCGATATTTTGATCAAAATTTTGAGCAATGTCGACATGTCAAGCGACGAAGCATGATATGTGAACTTTAGCAAGCCACGTCGGATTCACGTGATTGATTTTCCACATCACTACTTATGCGAATCCTACGTAATTTACTAAAGTCCATATGTCATGCTTGCGTTGATCGTCATGTTAGTATTGCTTGAAATTTTGATCGAAAAATCAACTCGTGCTAATATTCTTATCGGAGATTTAATTAATAATCTTTCTATATAATTTTTAAAACAACAAGCTAAAGTTATTAAAAATTACATAGTTTATGATTTTATGATACATTAAGTTTATTAATTAATACAAATGAACTTGAATGGAAAGAAAATGAATTGCTATTGTCTTCACAAACAACTTGGAGGGATGATTACTCCCTTATTGCTCCCACTTGCATTCTTGCAAGATGACATCGCGGAAGCTGATGATCTATTGTAATATGTTAGCTTTATGTCTTCCAATTTGAGTCCCTTGCATGGATTACTTGAGCTACATGCAAAATTCATTGCTACTTGTGTGGCTGATGTTCCTCTTATGTTCTTATATGTCACTCCACTAATCTTCACTCCAGAGCTATGCTTTAGACAATCTTTGGCACTTGGGCAGTAGTTTTGATCGATGATGATCGGATTGGAAGCATATTCCATGATAATGTTTTGGAAAACAATGTTTCTAACATACCCTGTGCTTGGTCTGCCCCATGATTTTATCCGAACTCCATTTTGTGTTCCTTTGAAAACAACACTGCTTACTCTCACATTCTCCACACCATCTTCTTTTTTATGTAGGGCTAGACTTCCAATGCTGCAACAGAAACAATCACATTTTAGCGATAATTATAAATTATGTTTTGATCTTTTTATTAAGGCCCAAAGAGCGGGTATCTTTGAGACCTTCCAAATTAATTCATCTAATTCACAGCTTCTAATATTAGTACAATATCAAGATATGTTTAATTTTTGATGAATAACTAAGCTGTTTTTTTTTTTTTTTTTTTTTAACTCAAACCAATCTAAATACGATACCATTAAAAGATAATTATAACTAGCTATAGATTAGTTAATATAAATTATGTTTTTTTTTTTTTTAAGGTATAAAGAGTGAGGTATCTATGGGACCTTTAGATCACCTCACCTAATCCACCACTTCTCATGTTAGTACAACGTCCAAACATATTTAATTTTCAGTTAATTATTAGATTATTTTTTAGATCAAATCAATTTAAATATGATATTGTTAAAAGTCAATTATAACCGAGATGTTGATAGATAAATAAAATTGAACTTATAAATTATGTTTTGATTGTTTTTTTTTTCCGGATCCAAGGAGTGGGTATCTACGAGACATTCCAAATTACCTTACTTAATTCACCGCTTCTCGTATTAGTACAATATCAAAATATGTTTAATTTTTTTTTATCAATAACTAGACTATTTTTTTAACTCAAACCAATCTAAATGCGATGCCGTTTAAAGATAATTACAACTAGTTATGGATTAGTTCATTATAAATTATGTTTTGATGAGTTTTTTTTTTTTTTAAGATATATGGAGTGGAGTATCTATGGAACCTTTAGATCATCTCACATAATCCACCGCTTCTCATGTTAGTACAACGTTCAAACATTTTTAATTTTTAGTCAATTATTAAATTATTTCTCGAGATCAAATCAATATAAATATGATATCATTAAAAAATAATTATAACTAGTTATTATTGATAGATAAATAAAACTGAATTTTAATCTTAGTTAAATCAAAACAAATTTCTTACCGATAGACTATATTCTTTACTAGTATGTTTTGATTGGTTTATGGATTAATTACAAGAGATAAGTAGGAGAAAGAATCAATGAGAATGAACCTGATTCCATGTCCAGGGCCGCAGGCAATGCCATGGATCAACAAATTCTTAGAGCCAGGACCAATGGAAATGCAATCATCTCCACTCTTTATCACACTGTTGGTGATGGAAATTCCAGTTGAAGATTGAATGTGTATTCCATCGGTGTTGGGACTCCAACTGGGGGCACTAATTTTCATGTCTTCAAGTGTGATGTTATGGCATTGGTCTATAGAAATGTGAAACATTTGACTGTTGATTGATCTTAATCTGCTCACCATGATGTTGCTAGATGCCACAAATGACATGGTCTGCGTCATTAATTCATCAAGAAATTAAACACATGCATCCTTTTGTTAATTAGCTGATACTATACTAGTTATTATTTTATTTTTTTTATCTTAATTATAGGGTTAATCGCTAGTAAATATATAATTCTTCGATCTATCATTATATTTTTAATTAAATTAATTTTGTCTTTTAATAAATATTAAGCTTTTAATTCATCATTTTGATAAGATTTTCAGACTAAACTATCAAAATTAATCACGAGATTTACATATAATTATTTTTCATTTTTAAAATATCATTATAACTCGGACAAATGAAAAGTTTTTATATAAAAATTACGTGACTAATTTCGATGGTTTAATTAAAAAGCTTAACGAAATGATATGTTAAAATTTTAAAGTATTTTAAAAGGTAAAACTGACTCAATTAAAAATATAATGATAAATTGAAATATTACTCCATTGTATGATAATGGATTGAACTATTAACCATTACTCCTACATGTAGAATGTATACCAATTGATCAGTCACGTACCCTAGCTCCTGGTGGACAGTTTTTTCCAGCATTCCGGCATGCCCAAAAACTAGCTCCGTTTGCATCAACGGTGCCTCCATAAACAGCAACCCCAGTGACCTTGTAGAACAAAATCCAAAACCCAGAATTGCCGAAAACCCAGTAATTTGATGGTGCCACAATGGTTCCATCAATGGAGAACAAAATTTTGTTCTTGCATGGACCACCAAACACTGCAGGTTTGATCAAGAACATCCCACGAGGAACATACACCATGGCTGGCCATCTTGAGCTACATGCTAACGCCCATGCCTTGTGAAATGCTTTGGTAGAATCTGTCTTGCCGTCTGGCTTAGCTCCAAGCTTGACGACATTATAGACCACGCTTGATGCTTGGCAAGAAGCTGCAGAGAAGAGGAAAAGAACACAATATAGCAGCATTATCTTCACCATCCTCACTGTTTTTCAAGAACGCATGAAATTAGATATTGAAATTACATGATCAACATAGCAATCTATTTATAGCCATGTTTGATTCGGGACAAATTAGTACATAACGTTGTGTTTTAGTACAAAGCAAGTCAAATTGCATGTTCCTCTCATGCTGTCATGCATTTAACGTAATTTGTGACCTGAACGGTGACAATGAGTTGTTTGTCTAATTTATTACGTTAATATCTGTACATGCTTAAGCTAGAATTAATACAATGAAATTATCCCTTATATTATTCTTTTTTTCTTGATATTTATAGGTAACAATATCTTAGAACTAATTTGTACATCAATTAAAATTAAATTTATTATTTTTTTGAACTAAACTAATAATATAACAATTAGCTTTTAATCGATGATTAAAATAATTTTTAAACCAAATTAATCCAAACTATATATTTCAATTCAGTTCTTCATTAATATATTTCAATTAATACTCCATCACTGTCAGAATTCTTCGTATCATCACTTACTAAATACCGTAATTATATATATATATATATATATATATATATATGACCTAAAATTAAGCCAATGTGATTGTGATTGTGATTAAACAAAGCAGGACTGCGGGCCCCATTTAACCTGTAATGAATCGAATGGCATTTCAGTAGAATACAGAAAAGGTAGGGGTAAACTCAAAAAAGGCAAATCTCCCCCCATCTCAGCATTTCAAATCAAGTCAGTCAATTCCCTTCCAAAAACACAGCACTCATCTTCGTTCATTCACTCCCTTTTTGGGGTTAGATCTCAGACTGTACTCTCTCTTTCTATTCAATTCTCTCACCAAATGAACCAATCATCAAAAACCCACAAGCAAAAATGCCCAACTGCATTACCAGAACAACGCACCAAGACCCAAAGGAGAAGGAAACAGTATCAGCCAAGCTTTAGGAGAAACCCACTTGAAGATCTTAATAGTGGTGGCATTGACAGCACCAGCATTGATAACACCAGCAATGCCTCTTCTTTGTCCTCCGTTGAAGCTCCTAAAGGTTGTCTCAGGTTCTTTCTCTCTCACTCTTCTTCTTCTTCTTCCAGCACTGCAAAAACCCCTTTCAGTAATGGTAATAATAACCAGAGACTGAAAAAAGTAGAGCCCTTTTCCTCAAAAACCCCTAAATCAGCTCCTAATATGAGACCCACTAAGGAGAACTCATCAAGGCAGAAACTTTTTGAGAAACCCATTTCAAAAAAGGTGGAGAAGGGGAAGAGGAACCATCCACCATGTCTGTACCAGTGGCATTCTGGTAAAAAACGCACTTCTTCTAGGAATGAAATTGCTAATGCTGAAGTTTCGTCCTTTGTGGAATCAAGTGGCAGTCTTGTAAATAACAAGCTGAAATCTGGGGCTGGAGGGTTGAAAAAAGTGATAATTGATGGAGTTTGTGAGGGTAGTGAAGCAAATTTGACTCCTTTGTGTAAAGTGGCAAGTGGGCCTGGTTTGAATCTTGGAGTTGATGGTAAGGTTATGAATGATGATTATTATGAGAAATCATCAAATTGTAATACTGACTCAAAATCAACAAGTAGCAATAACAAAACACCTCCAGTTCAGCCCTCAGTATCACCAGAGATACCATGTGGGTCATCTGTGAAGTTAATGACAGGGAAAACGATCACTCCTGCTACTTGTTATGGTGCTGGTCATGTTGTATCTGGGGTCACTGACAAGAGGAAGTGTAGGCCTAGAGGGATACTCACTGCTGGAGAAGCTAAAGCTCTTGGTAGTTTTGATAGTGATGATGATTTTGAGCAAGAAAATGATATAGGACTTGTTGAAAATTCTGCTGTATCTATGTTGCCTTTGCCTGTTGAGGCTTCGATGCATTGGCTTTTATCACCATGTGATGAGGAGGGTGAGGGTCAGAAAGAGAATTCTCGAAACAGTTCATGCCGATTCCGGAGATTGGAGAAGCGTGCCGTACACAACTCTCCCGCTTCAAATTCATCTGGCTGTGGTGGCTTTTCACCGGATTTCTGCAATACCAGTACAAACAGAAGTATTTCTACTGTTAGTGCTGGGAGGAGGAGGAGGAGGAGGAGTGCTTCTTTGCTCTCCCCCAGTGAGCTTCCTGTCCCTGAGTTTCAAGCATTTCTGGGAACTCCTTTATGTGATGACTTTGCTGTTTCACCTTTAGAAAAAGAGACGAAGAACCGTCATGGTCTAGATGGAGAGAACTCTCCATTATCCATAGGGTCGTTGGGTAGTGAAAATGTAATTCAAACTCCCCAATCTGATTCTAGCTCTGATAGACGAGTTGGTGCATCTTGGTTACCAGTAGATGGTAATACAAAGAAATTTAGCTTTGATTCTGAACTCAATTCAATGGCTGAGCATCTTCAGATGACTAGTTTATCTCCCAAGAGCCATGCGTCAATATGGGATCCAACCAATTCAAGTTTTCGGTTTGATTCTCTGACCATGCCTTCCAATTCAGTCGACCTTTCCAAGTTTCACAAAATTTTGGACGATCGAGCTTCTTGGTTTTCTAATTCTACAATCGAGAATGTATCACAATCTCAGATGAGAATATCTTGGAGGGAAGGATTGGTGAGTCGTATTTTTGAGATGGATGAGTTTGATTGTTGTAGATACTTGTCTGACGAAGAGGATGATGGTAATGTCTGCAAAATTGATTGCTCAAAATCTCATAAGAGTCCTGAGCTCGATGTTGATGCAGCAACTGATCACATTTCAATTAGTGGTTTTGGATCTACTGAATATGTAACGAAGGAACAGGGAACAGGCAAAAAAACCAAGGAGGGCCTCCCTTCTCAGGCACCATGTTCATGTGCAGAGTCCATAAGCACTGATGGAGGTGGTCTTGTTTGTTCAGATGATTCAGATTGGACCCTATGCTACAAGAACCATTTGTTTCAAGTATAATTCCTTTCCTTTGTTTTTTAATTCTATCAGAGAAACTCTGGCTAACCTCCGCTCAAAGGTGGTTCTTAAGGATCACAATTGTACTCGTTCCAAAATTTGTATTTCAGTTGTATTTTACGTTATCTGAAATCCAATAACACGCATTATTCCATTGCTAAACTGTTGAAACATAGATCTCATTTGATGTTTTGGACCTCAGAAATTATGTTTTTCTGCTTTTTCGTACCTTTTATTTTCCTAATGATGTAAAAGATGGATAATAGAAGGCGTTGGAAGACATAGCAGCATAGCATAGGAAAAAAGAGTGGTGAACATAGGTTGAGACATCTGTTTGACTGACCATGATTGTGAACTGTTACTGGTTGGCCAGAAAGATCAATGAGCGATCCATAGTGCCCCAGCTCTTTCAGTTTGAAAATACCAAGTTGTGCCATCTCAAAATAGGTAATAGTCTGTCAAAACGAATCATATGCTAGATATAGCGTATTGCTAAATATAGCAATTGAACAGAAAAGTATTAGAGTTCAAATTACAGAGCAAGTTGCCTTGGCCTGCTGGAGTATGATGCTAAATTTCCCAAAATTACTGGTCAAAGAAGAAGAGTAGTTGGTAGAAGGTGTATGACAATTAGGTCTAAAATACAGAACCAATTTCTGATCTCTGGATGTTCTGTGGAGTAATGATGCGGTGGTAAATAGGTGCAACTGTATCAGGTGAAACGAGCACGTTGTGGCATTTTCCAGGAATGCCAGATATAAGAGCTTTTTCTGCAAGACCATTGTCATTTGAACAGGTCTGAGATCGAAAAACATTCAAAAACCCTTCATTTTCATCTCTCGCTCTCTTTTTTAGTCAGTGGTACAAACAGAATTGCAATGATAAGCTTTGTTTTGCAGTGACTGAGTATATTGATTTGGAAGGCTGTGGTCCTGGTGCGAAGTCACAACTCCACTATAAAGTTGATGAAGCCAGATGCATATTTGCGAATATTGGAGTGACCCTCTTTGGCAGTCTTGTATTTGCGGTAACTAACCCATTTCACAGCTCTCATATTAAATTTCATTCACGTAGGAGGGAGCTTTTAACTAGGATTTCATTGCCTAATTGAACAAGCTAGTTCCAAAACAAGCAAGTGACTCAGCAAAGAAAATCTCATGGATTGTGGAATTTATTTATCTTTGGGTGTGGTTGTGGAAATAATTTTTTTAGTTTTTGGAACATGACTTGCTGAAGTAGAGGGACAGCATGGACAAGAAAGGGTCATGATAATTAGGAAAAATAACATGATTTTCAGCTTTATAAGGAGATGAAAACTTGGATGCCATCCTGTGTAATCAGCTTTGGTCAGTCTAATTGCAGGAGATGTCCTAGGCAGCTAGGCTTATTGATTTAATGACAACGTCACAATCCATGCGGGATATGTTTCGATAATACCATAAGTAAGCATCTTGCAAAATCTAGAAATCAATACTTTGGAACTGATTAGCCAATTTATATATTACTTCTACGAACAAAGGATATGTCTGGGGAAATTTGTGCCAGCAGAACCTTGAAAATGTCTATATCTGCGGAAATTTGCACCAGCAGAACCTTGAAAATGTCTAAATAACACCTAAACTTTGGCCCTTGAACTGTAGAACTTGGTCTGTGACATTCTTGTAGACTCGGTCTAAATAAACTGAAAATGATCTTTTGGAGGATTCTCTTTTTTATTATTATTTTCCCCCTGGGATATGCAGATCCCACCTTGATCTAAGATTTAAGTAATAGATTAGATCAGCTATGCTTCAAGCATTGGATGAGTGAGGAAGGTTTTTCTAGTTATTGATTGAATGAAAACAATAAACAAGAAAACTGGGCTTAAAGGTCACTTGAATATGCATATAACGTGTCAACTTAATTTGATTAAGCTTATCTAGAGTTAGTTGCCATGTCATGTAGAAATCATAAGTTAAAACTCTCAAGAAACAGCCCCTGATTTGGTTTCTATGTATTACATTTGTGTAGGTCATACTTGGCTCTTAAGTTGACAAACCCTGAACAGATTGTTTTGTAATAATTTATGTTCTTTTAAGATAAAAAATAGAAACCCAGTTTACTCTTATATAGGCTTCTATAATTCTGAGTCGCCATCACTACACTTCTAAGATGATTAGGTAAACAAGAACTAAGACATAAAGGACTTTTCTTTTAGTTATTCCACCCCCACAATGCCGGCTATGATCATCTATGGATTGTAGTGAGGAAGGTATGCATTAAGGACATAAGGCAACTCTGCTTAGCAGAAGCAATGGACAGTAACAGCTTCATTTGTGCTGCCAATGGTCAATAGAGGACATCATTTTCATGTCACTTCAAACCAAATCAACTTGGATTATCATAGCAAAATAACTAAACATTATTATTATAACTAGAAGTGACATGTTAAAGGAAACATAGTATTGGCAGCCAGATATGAAGCGGTGGAATATCTTGGTGGCTGTAATAGGCCTTCGCAAGTTAATTGAAGTATGTGGTCAAATTCTTTATTACAGTAAAATGTCTCTGCTATCTTGTGCCTGAGTTTGTTTTTAACTTGGATTTTGTCATGGGAGATGAGTTTGCCAAGTCAGACCTCATCGGCAGGTAAGCAATTTATTTATTGAGATGGTACATGCATGGACTCACGCAACTTGACCAAGTCAGCAACAGGAAGATATGATTCTTTGATTTTTTTTTTTTTGCTCACTATAAAAAAAGGAAAGAATGTTATAGAAGAAATATCTAGGCATTGTTGATGTATTAGTTCTTTATTTTGCGTGTTCGATACCATCCGATATCACCATTTTTTTCGTTTTCAACATGATTTTTCTATAGTTTTCTTTATAATTCAGTCTCTATATATGATTTTGCTCTATTGTTTTTTATGATAGTGATTTTCTCATGGAAAGATTTTAAAATATGGGATGTTTTGCTCAGTTTATTTGTGAAAAGTCTAAGATACAAATTAGACGTGTTGGACTTTCAATCCCCACATCAAAGAAAGTTGTGGGCAGTATATATCACTCTCACACCCCACCACCAAACCCACCAGAGCCTAAAGTCCATAACTCCAACCTTATTCAAACAATTGATTTGTTGTTCCATTCATCATAAGGTAACAAGAAGAACCAAACAAAGACCAGAAGGTTGAAGGTGTGGTTTCATGGAGGGCCTGATTCCTTTGGTTTGCAAAGCTTTGAGGAAGAAAAAACCCGCAGCCAATATGAGTGCCTTTCATCTGGTGCTGCGCTAAGTTACAACGTCTCAGATTTCTACATTCACGATGCACCTACGAGTGGGCTACATTTCGAACCATCCGTGGAGAAGAAAACACCTCAGGAAAAAGGCCATCGGAGATTTTGGTCTGTTCATGAAGATTTCTCAGGTGGATTTTCGTCACCAGCAGATCGTTCACCAATCGCTGCTTCTCAAACGAAGCAACTTGTGAGGTTCAGGAGCCAAAGAGTGTAGCCTAGTGTAACAGGTGCCTAGAAATGACACTTCTTCTGGTATCAAATGTCGCAAGATCTTGATCCATCCCTGCTGTCTGAAAATTTGCTTCCCTTCAATTATTTTTTTCCCTGTAATGTTTCTTGTCCAAACTCGACAAGGTCAACTGTACAAAAATAAGGTTGTGAATTAGCTCAATTATCCGTAAAGTTCCTGTTGAGCACGTGAGGCATGCGTGCTGTTATCGAAAATAAAAAGAAAAAGATATTTGTTTAATTTCAAGTTGCTAGCCCTACAAATTTGAGTTCATGGAAATGATTGCTTTTATTGTTTTTTGTTCACAATATTTGCTGTACCGGCTGTGACAATTTGTGTAGATTATAAATTAATCCCTTTAATTTTGAAAAATAAACTAATTAGTCTTCCTTGTTTTAAAAACTAATTATTTGACCTCTATATTTTTAAATTCTTAACCTCCTTTGTTTTTAAATTTATTTTAATTTTTTATTTTAAAAAATAGAAAAAAAAAGATTGAGGAGAAAAAATGACTTTTTTTGAAATAAAATAATTAATTAATTCGTTTCTTGAAACTAGAAAGACTAATTTATAATTTACTCAAAGAATAGGATTTGCATCTCAAAAAATGAAAATAAATATGGTTTGATTCTTCTTAAACAGTTAATTGGACAATTAATGGAGGCTTTAACCGTTATGGTACTGGTAAATGATGGATAATTAATTAAGAAAGGGATCTATAAATGTAAAAAAAAAAAAAAGACATGAAGTTGGAGGTGGCACGTAATGGTTAATTAGTTGGGCCAAAAATAGGATGTTTTAGGTCAATTAAGTTGTTTAAGTATTATTAATTACAAATTTTTGGATGCAATGGAGAAGATTAGAAAGTCCATTTAGGCAACCTCAGCTACTTACTATGCTTTTAACATTAACTATGTATTTCCTGTGCTGGTTGGTAAAAGTCTAAGCATTGCAATTTTCCTTCTAACACTATATATATATATATATAGTGAGAAGAACAGAAAAACTTGGATGACTCTTTCTTCTCATGCATCTTGAATTTTTGGATGACTTTGAAAACAATTTCGGCTGAGGTGAACTACCTACTGAGTAGAGCCAAAGACACGATCGATGATGAACAGAAGTCATAGCTTGTGGAAATTTCCAGGAATCTTGTTAAACTTAACAACTTCTTCAAAGCTAGCATGATTCCAAGATAGATCAAATTAAAGATGGGGTCTAAATAAATAAAACAAATCCCACTTAGTCATCAGATTAGTTGGCTGCAACTCGATGTGTTTTTTGAAGAAATTTTGCACGACAAAACATTACTAATTTTTTAGAAGAAGATTAGTTTTGATGAGTTTGGTTTGGTTGTACTTCGACCACTTGAAAAATAGCTAAAAAGTTGCCCCCATCGAGTGAGTTGTCCATGTTTAGGTCATGGTTGCTGAGTTCTCCACTTTTCCAATCTTTTTAAGCTCCAACTCCAAACCTAACAAACCAAACATTTTATCATTGATTCTAACCCTATTTTACAAGGCTCAAGTCTTAGCAGTTGAAATTTGAACGAGAATGCCAACAAGTTGTAGGTCAACCAATACGCGAATGTCATACTTTAATAATATTACCTAAGATAATTAAAAAAAATACAACATATATATATTATCAATTGTTAGCATAAGAAATAATTTTTACGGAAGCATCTCTAGAAATTGAATATGTTCTAATTACTTGATTTACGATCCGTTTAAAACATAATACATTAAAAATATATAATCAATATTTAGAAAATATATGAAAGTCAATATAATATATTGTAACAAATAAAACAATAAAATAATATATCATTTCTCACTAATACTTCTAATAAAATTAATATTTAATTACTATTGTTGTAATCACTATTTAAGTTTTCATCTTTCGCATCCGACACAAATTCGTGCTTATTATCATCTTCTTCATGAGCTTAAACTAATTTTATATCTACAAACAATCTATTTGGATCATTTAACAATAAATCGTCATTGACTTCCTATATCAAATCGAATCGGATTTTTAAATCGTTCTACTCGAAATAGATCAATATTTTGTTTGACTACTACGAATGATTCAAACAACTCAAACATAGACGTATTTTTATCTTACAAATAGCTCATCAATCTCGATTATCCCGCCTCAAGCTAAGGCTCTCGACATAATATACTTGAGCTGACCATGATGCTAGAACAAAGAGTTCTTAATTCCTCAATTTTTTGTGTAGTTAACGTTAGATTTCTTTTTGTTACATTTAATGTTAGTCTTCTTGAATATATTGACGAAAAAACAAATAAGATTTACGGGTTTTAAGCTAATTATTACTCTTTCTAAGAACATATTTTTATTCGCTATCGAAAATAAAAATAAAAAGAAATTTTTTTATCAATCATAATTAATTAGTTGCAACATATGTTGACACAAACTTAAGAGCGGTACACTAATCTAATTGGATGTGACAAATGAGTTTTGAAAAGGATTGCTTTAATTGGTTATTGTATAAGATTTTACAAGACTCGCATCTGAAAATGGATTTAATTCTACTACAATTAAATGGAGCATGATCTTGTTGCATATTGGTGGTCTATGCTATAAACTAATCTTTCTTGAAAAAGATTGCAGATTATGGTTTTTTTTTTTTAAATCCAAAATGAGGAAACTTCATGGGGTTTTGATAAGATTTTTGTAAGAACAAGAACATATCTTTTAATTATAGAATTGAATCTTGTGTGGACGATCATTGATCATTATAGAGAGATGTTTTGTACTAGCACTTAGTCCACTAGCTAATGAAGTAACATCTTGTTATCAATTAATCCTTTTTATAGACAATCACAACGCCTTGAAGATGTTAACTAAGCTTTAATGAAAACCAATATAAGTATAATTGATTTTATCATTCAAACACACCGTATCCCAATTAATTACACCGTCACTTTCTTTTCTTACCTTAACGGTCCTCAAAATTTACTTCTCATCTCGTGTGTTTCGGTTTCGGTAAGAATGAAAATCGAAAAGTTAGGGATTTAGAAATTAGAAAAATTTTTACTATTTATTTCGGTTTTCGATCGAAACCGAATTTTTTTTTTCTAAAAATCAAATCGAACTGAAATAATTTCTATTTTTTCGGTTCGATTTTATATTGTATAATTTTACATTTAAAATTGAACCAAATTTTATAATTCGATTCGATTTTATTCGATTTTCTATTAATCGAATCGTTTGCTCACCTCTAATTATACGAGCGTCATAGGGTCTCAATGAATTCTCTACTTTACGTCCGATGAACTTGGAAACCCTCTGTCCGCCGGGAATCCACTTGATTATGAGTTTTTTCGATTGGACGTGCATGGAACTTGGTCGGTGTAATAGATAATTTGGGCCGTGGGTTTTTATTGAGCCTGGATGTTGTCGCGGTTGATAGAATTCTATTCAGGAAGGTCGGTGGGTTGGATTAGATAATGGGCATTGATTTACGCGAAGGAGTTGAAGTTCCAACTCCAAAACCCACGAAGCCCAAGCCCAAGCCCAAACAATGCATTCAAGCTGAAAGATATTGATCCATTAACCAAAGGAAATATGATATAATCATGATTTTTGTACCTATATTTTATAAAATTTGTATTTTACTTTAATAAAATTTCCTTCTTTTTTTTTAAGAAAATAAATAAATGATCAGTCAAGAACCTTGTACGGAAAACATCATGCTCTTGAGTATTTGAACCAACTGGCAAGAGCAATATTTTTCAGAACATACGTACTAGATTAATTGATTTAAAAAAGTACAAGGACTCAACTAGGTTGAAAAGATCAAACTATACCAAATAAAACAAACATTTTAACTATAATTATCTCAGTAATTTATAATTCGATGCAACTCAAACTTCACCATACTTAACGATTAATCTTTAAAACTACCCCCAAATTATCGAGTAAGTATCAAGTTTGCACTCAAACAAATTTTTATATCATGTTCGTCCCTAAACAATTTTGAGTAAGATATGTGTTGTTCTGTACTCTCTGAATGGATTATCCAGGTTTAGAAAATTACAATGAATATAAAAGGTGGAAAAAAAAACTTAAAGAAAAGTACAAATTCACACCTTGATCTCTTTCTTTAAACTTTTAACTACTTAATCTCTTGCATTTGCAGCAGCTGCCCTTGTTGTAGAGTTCTGTGAACATATATATATATATATATATATATATGGATGAATCATGCAATATCATGAATGTGTTTGTTGATGGTCATCTAATATAATGATTATCAATAATCCATCCAAGCAGAAGATATATTCATTAGATGACCATCAACAAATATATCCATAGTTGCAAAAAGGAGACCTTTCAGACATGATTAAGCCCTTTTCTAGGAAAAAAAACTTCCATATAAGAAGAGAAATTAAGGCTGGTGTTAGAATGATGAGTACATGTCTGAATTGTAGTTTTATGTGAAGCAAGTTAAGGAAAGAGTATATTCTTGGACATATTCCCTTTGAAGCATATACTTGTGGAATAAACCCTATCCCCCTCTTGGTGTCTCTTTCTCTCCGGTATTCTCTTACTGGTAGGTTGGTAGGAGTTTTGAAGGTTAGTTGAATTTTGAGACAGAAACATACAGATGAAAGGGTGAGGCAAAAATTGGCCAGGCGTCAATTTTTCATTCCATCATGGGATGTGACATATAGTCAACGCCGGAGAAATAATTGAATCGTTTTCATTCTCGAAGGACAGCGCTAAACAGCTCATTCTGTCAGCCATCACTCTGAAATTCTGACATCTTTGTTGGTTAAATGCAGTTGATTCACCTAGTAGAATCTTCAACCTAAATTCTCTGTTAGAAAATACTAGAATAAAAAACGGCCAAACGGTTGGCTCATCTTCAATACAAGACAGCATAAATCTCTGATAATAAAACGAATAACAGAAATTGGTCTAACAAGACGAAAATTAACAGAAGGTTGTTATCATCTAAGCGCACAGTTATAAAATATTCACAAGGAACAAAGGCCAACCTTAGGTTGTGGTTGCCAGCCACACAAGACAGACAACTAAGAAGAGTCAAAAATGGTAACACTAAGGGAAGTTGATGAAACCAAGAACCTGAGGTATCACATATGTAAACATGTAATTTATAAATGGAATTAGCAGAAGCTAGGGGAAATTAAAGTTAGGGAAATACTAGGCAATTACGAAGATTGTACACATGGATAGATACTGCTTAGCTCTCTTCCTGCTTGTCCTGGCTTTGACTCAGCCTCATGTTGATGGTTTGAACAGTGAGAACCTCTGCAGACAGTGTTCCAAACGAGACACAAATAAATGTCCTGCAAGTGATGCCTACCCCCATATGACAGCATTTGATGACACCCTTATTGCAGGAGCCTTACAGTCTGATTATGTGGATGCAAATGACAGAGCTGTTTACTCAGTACCAAACATTATAGGTGGAACATCTTCAAAGTACAATGCTTATTTTGGCTGGGAATCTACTTCTGGTTCAGCTTCCGACTATCATAGGTAACTGCAAATGTTAGAATTTTTCTTAAAACAAAGTCATTGGTCATTTACTGGCCTAAAAATGTTAAAATCTTGCTGGATTGGAAACTACCTAGGCCTGTAGCTTTTACTAGAAAACATTTTGCCTATAGCCTAATACCAGACTCTTCAATGTGACAATGGATCACAGGTTTAGAAACTACATGGATAGATGCTCAGGCGGACAAAGCTATCTAACTGCAGACAAGAAGGGCAAGGTTAGCCTTCGTTCCTTGAAGTCACTGGAAAGCTTAGCAGAGGCTGATTGGAAACCCATCAATCCACCAAAGAGGCTAAACCACCGAGAATTCAGATTTTGGGTGAATCGTAGAACAGGGAAATGCCTTACAGTTTTTGAAGAGAAGAAAGATAAAAGAACTGTGGGTGTATCGGAGTGCAAGTTTGATGGCTCCAACACTTACCAGCTCTTTGCCTTTCGCTTCCACTATCACAAAGCCTTCTGCTGTTGTGGTGTTCACAACGAGTGATGTCTTGAAGACTAATCATAACAGTCACAATAGCAAATTCTAGACCATGTGCATAATAGTTAAGGTAATTATGCATGCATGAATTAAATCTCTCCCTTAGGATTTATCTTGGTTTCATGATTGCGATGTACTTTCATTTGCATACATAGGAATAAAAGACAAGATCCTTGAGGTAGTGCTCAGGGAATGTTTTTCAGTTGGTCCAATTATCTTTGCACTTCACCCGTCTACACTTTTCTTGCAAACGAAGCACAAGTTTTTACCACTTTCTAGCCACACACATCCCTTACAGTTCTCATAGAAAAGAGAACTCAGAGAACCTATATCAGCATCACTAACCATTGACAACTAGCACCTCTACAATATTTATGGTACAGCTACAAATTTAGAATTATTGACTGCTTACATGAACAGATGGGATCAATTCCTGGCTATCTCCAATGTCATTCAAACACGGTGGCTTGCCAGCTCCATAATAGAAGTATGCCATTATTTTTGAAAATTCATCTGCAGTTCGAACAGCTGCACCACCATTTTTATTTTTATTTTATTTTAGAATAAAAGATATTAGAGTTCTCAAGTCACATATTGAAAAGACATTTTCTTAGAATTAAGGAATCACCTTTCTCACGGTATAAGATCTTTCCTGCTTTAGTAAAAATAATTTCTGGGAAGACAGAAACTTTTAGAGCAGAGACCAAATCAGTCTCAACAACAGCATCAATTGCAACACACTGTATCATATGACAAATATAATATTAGAATTTTGAGATAAGGATCTCTAGGGAGGGAATAAAGGTAAAAGTTGTGTAATTCAAGGCTTTACTTACTCTTGGTGAAGGTAGTCTGCAGTTCCAAATGATGTGCACAGCCTTCTCCAGTTCGTTTCGAATTTTTTCATTTTCCTTTGGTCTGGGGAGCACATAAATTTAGGTGAAAGTAACAATATACGTGACACAGATCGAGCCATCAATGTGCAGATTGAAAGTGCAAACTCTAGTATCATGAAGGATTTCACAGGACTAGGAAAAGAGATATATAGCATACAAATAATTCAAGCCATTATCATTTCTAGCATTTCCTTCCCAGCAATGTCAACAATAAAATCTTGATCCTAAGGGAACTTCGCTGAGCTTCGATGTATACCATTTTGTGGACTTTATTAAGGACAAGAAATCAAGTGGAATTTCAAATAAAGCACCTGAAAAACTCAGTTTCTCCCAAAAGGGACCAGAGATATATGAAGTTATATTGGTAGCACTAACAGTAAATGAGTACTACGAGTCTACAATACTTAAATCGTAATGATGCTACCTGACCACTGGGAAATCTAAAGCATCACTCCTAGACAAGGCAAGGAAATAAGTGAATAAAAAGGGACCTTTTTTTTCAATAAATGATGCCATGATGCAAAAACCCAATCAAGAGAATGGTGTAGCTTTATAAAATACTGAAAAATAATCTATAAATCTCAACTTGAATGAGGCAAAATAGCTTGAGTAAAGCATCAAACAACTAGAATAAAAACGAAAGCCAACCTCTTATAGCGATTATGTACTAAGAGAATCAAGGGACTGATATCTTTGAACACAGCCTCCTCCCATTCTGCAGTAATTAAGTCTTTGATTGGACGGATGTAATCATCATCTTGCCACACAATTTCTTTATCACTATCATAATTCTCATCATCGTCGTCCTTCTTCTTATTCTTGATAGTAATCTTGTTGAAGAATTGATCCAAACTAAACCCCCGTCCATCAGCATCTTCAGGCCAGTCAGGGTCATCCTCGTCCACAATAAGGGGGTAATCAGCCAGAAGCTTTTCCATCTTTATCCTCTTTTCTTCAGAATCAAGCTCATCCTCATCCGCATCAGGATGCTTTTTCATCACTTCTCTAATCTTCATTCTCCACTCCCGTCTCTCTTCAGCACCCATCAGATAGGGGTCATTCACCTTACCTTTTCTCGACGAGTAATCATCGTCATCATCACCGTCGCTATATTCTTCTCGTCGCTTTTTCTTTCCATCATCAGACAAGACTGTTTCATCTGGTCGAGAAGCTCTTACTCGACTAATACTACTTCCAAAACCACCACCCTGCAGCTATTTAAACACAAGGATTCAGTATTTCTATAAGGAACCATAGTTTTGATAAGAAAATTTGAGAACTTCCAAATGGGTAGCATAAATTGTCAAATAATAGAAGTGGTGAGAAGGAACAGACCTGAAAAGGGTACTTTAAGAACTTGGATGAGAGACAAGAACAAGTAGAAGGAACCTCAGTGTAGTTGCTTGGTTTTGCTTCAGAATGAACGGTGATTAAAGAAAATGAAGGAAAGTCCTTGAATTTGTAATCTTTAATGGGTGAAAAAAAGTGGTGGAGCTTTACTGCCATTTCTACACATCATCATCCATTGCAAATGTTGTTAGTGTAGAATACATTAAAAAAAAAAAAAAATCTAAACTTCAGTTTTAAAGAAGCATATCTAGTTCAAAAGATTCCACAAATTCAATGATTTTATGTTTTTATTTTGATAATATCAAGAACATAATTCACAAGGGAAAAAAAAACTAAATTGAAATTAAGGCATCACCATTGATGTATTTGGAAGCTCAAAAAGGATATTATACAGTCATTTCTTGCACAACTTGGAAGGGGTTGTTGCTCACCTTAGTCACTAGTTACTCTTCTTGCCGTGTCTTTTTCTCTCCTGCTTCTTGTTGTTGTTGTATTTGTTGTTGTTATAGATAAGCTAAAACCTTAACTAAAACCTCGAGAGTTAAGAGCAGGAGCACCAGAGGCTCTATCGTACTCCCAATTGCGAGAGAGAGAGAGAGAGACAGAGCAGGAGGGATAAGCCCAACTGCTGTTTTATTGTCATGGTTTTTTTATCAGGCCAGGTGGGCCTCTGGCCTTTTAAATTTTCAAAACCTTGGACTTGTAGTACTTCCTTCTTGTTCTTGGCATGGATTAGAGGTGAAATTTAGTTCTGTTACAGGAAATATTTCCCAATTATTGACTGCAAAACCACAAGAAAAGAATGTTGTCAAGGAATGAGATCTTGTCATGTTGTTTACTTTTTTCTTTCCTGTGGATTAACGATAAATTGTCCAATTCTAAAGAACTTGTCGGTGCAAATAACATCACTGTCTATACAAATACAATTATACAATACACATAACCTTCTCATTGATCCTTAATCCATAGTTTAGTTATTGAAAGTGAAAAACCAAAAATGAAAATGGCAACTTTGCATTTGCCATGATTCTTCCATGCCTAAATAACATTGATCTTTTAAGAATACAAGAGATTGAATTAAACATACATCCTGATCAAAGAATAATCATTAAGAAACCCACTAACAAAAAAGATAAATAGTTTTAAAATAAAGAGTGGATCATAACTTTTTTGAATACCTATCATGACTTTGTTTTGAAGAATATCCATGGCTTTGAATTTACAAGGTCAGGCAAGCATTTTAAGATACTCATCAACTAGAGCAAAGTTGCATATCTTTCAGAGAGAACTAATGGAATATGATGCGTTAGAAAAGAGAAACTACAGAGTTAATTACATAGTGAAAAAAACAAATAAGAAAAATAGTTAAGGCGTATTTGGCATATTTGACATCTTGACGTCATGGGCAGAGAGCGAAGGGAGCAGCCATGTAAAGAATCCTGCGTAAGTATCGTTGTTGAATCTCTGAGAAGAGTACTCCACCAACATATTCCAAATGTCTCCGACGGTCCATCCATGCAACAGAATCCATTGACTCACCTACAGAACAATGTAGCCATAAGCATATGTTATATTTAGAAATAGCATGTCTTAGAACATAGTAGAATGTGAAAACCACAAAGACTATAGTTTATTCTGAACAGCTTGATCAATTTATTGGAGTAGATCATTTCTACACTTTCATCAAATGATGTTCACAAGGGGCAAGAATAGTACAAGTACCTGATTCAGGTTCTGCAATGATTTAATGCCAAATGTGTAGTATGAAACGGAAGGTCTTAATGCCTGCAAGAAATGCACCTTGGTTGAAGGAAATCTAAGTATCAAACACAGAGACGGTAAGCTAGTAGACAAAAAGTTTCACTACTAGCATAGGCACCACACAAATTACTAGTAATTTCAAAAATATAATTTTCCTTATGGTTTATGTGATACATATTTATATGCATGTTTGTGATGGTAATCGTGCAGTTGTTTGGTAAACAATACCTCCCACAGAGGGTCAAGATGTTAAAGCTGCTACTACAAACTGGCACACATTAACTCTCCTACATAGCTTTTGATAGCCATCCCAAGTCAAGCTCAATAAAAGATTACCTGAGAAGCTGCAAGCCACTGAAGTATGGTCTTTAGTTCAGGATCTCCACCAAAAGCTCCGCATCCCCAATTCCCTGTAGCAATACCAATTTTATCTTCAGGGTCTAGACACCAACTACCCTTCTTGTCAGAATATCTGATCGCTTGGTTTACAGTTTCTCCTTTGTTCATTGCAATTTCAGCAGAAGTTGAGGGGGCTTCATCCATCTATTTGCAAGAACAAGAACAAAAATTAAGAAACTTTAGAAGAACCAGATGAATCATTTTGTGCCTAGGCAGGTTCACCTCATTATGAGTATGAAAAGTAGCTGGTTCACATCATTATGAGTACAAAAAGTTAAAAGTAACAAGTCAATGAAAACCAAAACATCAAGAAAAATTCACGGAGATCTCACTGGAAAGTCCTTCACCATAACACTAGCGTCTTTATCAGTTTCTATACATTGAGAACCTTGGGAGCTACCCTCTTGAAACAGTCTTTTGTGATGGTCCCATTTAGATTGATCCAAAAAGCCACAAAATGCCTTGTTGGTCTCCCTGCCAAAACCAAACAAGTAGGACTCAGAGCAATTAACAAAATTAATTACAAAACCCCATGGGCAATCAGACTACACATTAATCCTCACTGTACAACAAGACCTTGAACCAACAGTACAACAGGCTGCGCATATAGGAACTAAGGCCATGTGGATAGAAAAACCAACAGTCTAAAACGCTATGGTTCTCTCAAAGTTGATTTCATCATTCTACATAATTTAACAATTTCACATGAAACAAATTGATTATATGATAAACCCTAAAGTGCTATTTAGAAGCCGTGCTAAATTATTGTTTATGATTTATGACTAATGAATTTCAACCACTATCAAGGACAGGGTCATCTATCCCAGAAACCAAGCTAATCTAAAAAGTGTTTTCCAAAAACTTTGTTAAAAACTCTACACTGGAAGGAGGAAGAGGGGGACACAAGAACATACTATTTTCCCACCCAACTAGACTTACAACTTCAGATTTTAGAGCTTCCTAAGTAACCGATTAAGAGAGCTATATCAAAACAAACTTAAGTTTCTTGATTTTTAAGCCCGTTATACAAACACTACTACAGCATGTTCTAACTTGAAAAGCACTTCTTCTTCTTTTTTTCTTCTTTTTTTTTTTTCCCTTAAAAGGAAACGGCAACAATTTTCATGAAGGTCCACTCAACATTCACAACCTTTTGGTGTGCATGGAAAAGCCTAAATAGAGCCTGATGAAACTATAACAGAGATTGTTCCTTTTCAACAAGGTGGAGCAAGTAAAATCTTCGAAAGAATGTAGCATTGTTTTTAGAGGTCATTTCTCTTCCTTTATTTACATAGAGGCGATTCTTCCTTAAATACAATTTGTCATATTGATAACTCACAAATGAACTATTTTACTCTCATAGAAAACTTTCCTTTCAGCTCCATATGCAAGCGTGTGTGCCACTGGAAAACCAAATTTACATACCGGAGGAGGTATTTGAGTTTATATTGTCTCATCCCTGCACATGATAATGCATCTATGGCAAGAATCCGGGTTTTACGTCTTCTGAAACTATCAACATTCCTGTTGTCCACATGGTCACCTGAAAAACGAAATGAAGATGCATACCTGCAGCAGTCAAAGTGGAGACTATGATAAGAAATTGACTGCCACATTAGTCAACTGAAAGCAGTATTCCATTCATATGGGAATGGCTGTTACTTCAAATTCAAAAGATAAAATAAAAGTTTGTATTTCAATGTCAATAAAAGAAGGATCACAAACAAAGAAATGCTAGAGTAAACTAGTTAATCGTCGATTAGAAGTTTTATCGATTAAGTAAAATAGTTACATTTGAACCAACAGGCAGAAAAAACAGATACAAAGATAAACCTTCCACAAAAGCTGCCTACATATTAATTCATTGACAATACTCATAATATGCCATCACAAAACTGTATATTGAAATTTGGAGAGTATGACGACGACATCCATAGAAGATCATATATTGCACAAGTCCATCATAACGCATATGAAGCCCAGTCATTTTCATTTCTTCGCGTTTCTTGTTTATGGCATGCATCAGTGTGTAGGATTTCCAGAGTAAAGAAAGTACCTGTGCAAGCTATCTAATTTCTTGTTTGGGAAATATGATTTCAGTTCCATATAAGTTTTGGTGCGAGCCAAAACACACACAAAAAAAGGTACACTATAGAAATTCACACTCAGTTTGGACTATGACAGTTACATTGGTTGGTTCCAAACATTTAGACTAACAAGGCTGTTAGCCCGCCAACTGTAAACTCATCATGAGCACGATTGATTTCCAATTGTATAAACTCAAATATGTGAACTATAATTATAGACCAATTTATAACACACCAATTCATATGACCCTAGAAACTAATTTATCAATGATAGCATGCATACTATTGGCATTCATGTGATTCAAGGAACACATAAAATAGATATACTGCTGGATGATATATCTAAAGCCATTTTTTTGGTTTTAATCCACCAAGTTATGCTTACCCTGTGTAATTTGAGAATCTTTCAGCACCAACAATTTCAATAGCCTCATTGTCTTCCATGCAAGGTAAGAAAAGCATTCCAGCAATTAACTCAGGATTGATCATGAACCGGATCTCTTCCTATAAAAGACGATAATGCAACAAAATATTGAGGATATCATTTAAGTAATATTGCAAGAGGATAACAACAATTGTAACATGACAGTAAGGAAAATATGCAAGAAACAATTGAATAAAAGAAGGGCTGCATGAATAAATTGAATAAAAGAAGGGCTGCATGAATAAATGGACTACTGTGAGTGTGAACCATAAACAATTAGACATCAACAGTCCATACAAAAGTTTATACCTGCACGCAGCCCCTATGAAGAGCACCACCTCCTAGATACTTGTTAGCGAAATCAACTTCAAGAGCTCCATTGGATTGGTCTTCTATGAAGCCTGAACTATGGACCTAGAAAGATGTGATGACCCGCTGAGAAGTGTCAGTCCACAACTCAAGAATGAAATTAAACAAATTACTGAATTAGGTTGATACTTTTTCACAAATTTTTTAAATTTGAACTTTAACTATCTATGCACCAATCCATTTATTACCTTACCTCAAAAGGGCAGAGAGGAACAACAGACTGGCTCCAAAAATCTGCCTCGGGATAGGAAACACACAAAGGAAGTTGTTCTAAAGGAAGAACCTTCCTCTCAAAGGAGACAAAGCCCTCAGGCATAGATGAACTTATCCTTTCAAAATAATGTATGATACACTTTATTTTATTCTCCTGACTTTCACTGTAACTCTCATATATAGCCCTGAGAAGTAATGAAGAGTCAGATGGATTTATTTCCAGTCAAGAAAAAAAGTTTAAAATAAGTCTTCAATTAAACACAGACAAAGAAAACCCAATTGAAGAAGCAAAACCAATCAGTAAGCAGAGCTTGTCACTAAAACTCTGATTAATTAAACAATGAAATGTGGCATAAAAGTATCCAGCAGAGATTGTTTATGTGACACTATACTGTTAGCAAACTGCCTGGTCTTTTCCTTAGGTATATGGATTTTGAAGATCCTAAAAACATGAGTTCTGCACACTCTGATGTTATAAAATACGGAGAAAAAGATGACGTGAACAATATCCCTGTATCTTTTGGAACTGTTCAACTAAAATTCTTTTTTATATAATATGGTTCAAATTCCAGAATGAATATGCATATTTTATCCATAAAATAGTAGCCTACAATGATACACCTAAACCTCTATTATGAAGTCGTTCTATGTCTGAATTAGTTTCCTTTTGGATGCAATATTGGTTATTTGACTCTTCATGAACAATATTGTTCTCATGAGAAAACAAAGGATGAATAGAACGAAATGAAAATACCAATAGAACAATAGCTAGCCTAGTAATTATAATTTTTAGGTCTAATACCCACAGTTCGTACTAAGTATATGTTGCATAAGTTCAAGACGTTCACAAAAGAAAGCCGAAGGTCACATACCCAAACAAATGATCAAAATTGATTGTTGGAAGACGTTTTGCATCTCTATCAGAGACTGGAAACAAACAAAAGAAAGCGCATGTGAGGAGAGCACCAATCAATTCCTGAAAAGCAGATCGAGTGATGTTATCGGTTTCTTAAATTATAATTGAAGAAATGCTTTCTAAGTACAGAATGAAACTGTAATTTATTGATGGACATTCAGAAGAGAACAAGAAACCATTTGTAACATCCTACAGCTTAAGTGTTACTGTACTATTTTTATAATCAATGCGATTCACTTCTCCTATGATGCATTAAAGCAAAATAGGAATACAATAACAATAATACTTGAGAACAGAGCAAGTAAAGACACATATATACCTGGCTAAGAAAGATTATGCCAGCTTCTTGTTGACCCAGCAATCGAAGACCGGTTTTGACACCACTAAGCAAGGTATCGGCATTTTGATAGTGAAACTCTAAAAGAGATGGCAATCTCAAGAGCAAGTTAGCCAATGCTGGGACAACCTCCCCAAACCATTTTGCAGCCTCGGCCCGGGAACTTAACTGCATTAAATTCCTCCTTATTCAGCATAAGCATAACATGTAAAACCAAATTTCTTTATTGCTCTTAACATGATAGCGTCCAAACTAAAACAATCTAATAGACATCAGTTCATGCATATGAAAATACAAAAAATTTCTACTGAAAGCTCAAAAATGTATTAAAAAATGCATCAAATTAATAAGACGATCTTAGAAGAAGGGAGATATAATGGGTTTTCCTCAAATTACACTCCTTGCCTGAAACTTGCAACATATCCTTCATAGTTCACCAGTTTAACAACTTTTCTGTCAAAATTCAAAACTTCGTAAATAATGAATCATTTATAAGAGGAAAAGAAACATTGGGTCATTTCCAAATCACTCTACTTGTACGACAGTTTGAAAAATATTAACCATCGAAGGTTGAAAGATGCAATAAAAATGAGAGAACACCCCCCCCCCCCCAAAAAAAAAAAAAAAGGGAAAACCCAGTTGAGTTTGAGAGGTTACCTCGTCAAAGAAGAGAGCATAACCTTCACGGGCAAAAGGAGCGAGAAGTTGCAGAGAAGGGAGAGCAAGAGAATCTCTGATATTGGAAATGGCATTGAAAAGCAGTTCACCAGAGTCAACCTTGCTGTAAAGAGGTCCGTTTGAGAGTGCTTTGAGAGATTCAACGACTTGGGACGGCCAAAAAAGATTTGATGATCGAAGTAGTAAGGGAAGAAATGGTAGCATCGACTTCAAGTCTTCTCGGTTCTCCATTTCCTCTTCCTCGCTCTCTTGTTGCGGTTACTTCAAAGAGTCGCAGCACAATCGAGTGTTCATATATGTAGTTTGCATCTTGCTTTTGAGAAAATTATAAATTAGTCCCTATATATTTTCAAGTAAATTAAATAGTCCCTATATTTTAATCTACTTGTAATGTGTGTGGGGGGTTTATATATATGTATACGTTCAATTCAATTACTGATATTCAGGCTTCTTCTTTTTCTTGAATTAGTGACTAGAAAACAATAAAATTTTATGCTCTGCTTGTAGAAATTAGAAATGAAAATGATTTTGATTATGTTATTAATTCTTAAAAATAAGTTATAATTTCCATAGTTTTGATAGTCTCCAATATAACACAAATGTATTTAATAAGGCCGGTTGCTTGGGTTAATTAGTGGCCCAATATAAACCATAAAGGGCGCCCATTTTCAATTGAGGTTCGATCACAAGTCAGGCCCACCCAGTAGAATAGGCCGAGCCCAAAACGAGGTCTGTCTAAACGAAGGGGTGCAATTACCATTTCCTTTTTATGCTTTGAATTTCTTTTTTTTTTTTTTTTTTTTTTGCAGGTTATGTATAAGCTCCATACTAAAAAGAAAGGAAAAAAAGAAAAAGAAAAAGGATTAAATGCATCCTCATCTTTATCATGATTCATGCACTAGATAAGGAAAAAAAAGCAATGGCATTCCCTAACTAATGTCAATATGATTCCAAGAGTGTTGAGGGGCTTGGAATCCCCAATTTTAAGACTAAGACCAATCCGTACCCGTTGAAAGGTTGTCAGTTCCTAGGTTAACAAAAATAAAAAACAAAACTAATATCAGTCCAACACTGCTTGCACCACACAATCATATTACTGAGAGTACATTGCAGAAAAGATGCCCCTCCAGCTTATTTTCCATACTTTTTGCTCAAGTTTTCTTGCAGACTTGGAAATACCTACCCTAAATTATGTAGCCAGTGAAACTACCATTACAAAATTTCATGAAATTAATATGGGAAGCTAACTTGTTGCTGTCATCGCAATTTATCTCATGTTACCCTCCCGCAAGACATCGATCATATTGTAGATCCGCTTGTCAGCCTTCGATTGAATCTGTATTTTAATCACATTAAAATTACTACCAGCAATAAACTTAGAAACTGACAACTAAATTTCTAAATAACAAATTTATGAACAGTACATAATATCATAAGATCTTCAAATAGAGAAAATACTACAGAAGAGCAGTAGTGCTATGTCAATGAGTTTAGAATCTTTGAGTAAGGTCTGAGCAGGAAAAAAAATTGGCAGTAGCGATCCATTTTCTGTCACAGTGCTTATCACACTACGGTTATATATTTATGACTTCATGGGAAACACTATTAGCTAAATTAAATCTGAAGTGAGGAATCAACGAATTTTTACCTTCTTAGCAAGAAAAAGTACAGCATCAATGGTACCCTCAGCATAGATTGATCTACCACACACATTATGTTGAAACTCAAAGGAAACACTGCAAGAAAGAAAAAAAAAAAAAAAAGATAGTTGTTTTAAACAAAAGAAAAAACAGAATCAAAATAAAAATGAGCAATCAAGATGTTTGTTATTACGTTTTATCAGGCGACGATAGATAATACAAATGAAAAGCATGACCAGACAAATATTCCTCTGGAACTCCCACCAACTCCATTTGATCTTTGGGATCCCGGATCATTTCTATCTGAATAAAGTCAGCAGAAGATTATATTACAAATATAGTGCATTTTTTGGGACCAGTTGCCACAAGAACATAGGACTAAATCTTCTATGCAAATACTTACGAGACAGCAAGGTTGAACAAGAAGTTCAAAACTGGAAAAGAGGTGTCAAACGAAGGCAAGGATTAAAGATATTATGACTGAAGTTCACGATCAAATTTCAATTTTTTTCATAATCATGCCAAATTTCAACTTTTACATGAATTATGATGAACAAAGCAAATGAAGCATGGAATTCAGTCATTTGCATGTGAATATAAGAATGAGTTGTGCTGTAATGAAACATGAATAGCTTTAAAGCCACCTGATCATCAAAAGACACCCCCAATTTCTTGAAGCAAGAAATGACAGCCTTGGCAGTTCCAGATGTGTCCAACTTTCCCGATTGATGGGACTCTTTCACCTAAGAATCAAAGAGGTTTCTCGGCAAATATTAGTACTCCCATAACAACAACTCAAATGAGGAAAATAATGTCTTTGCTGAAAATGAAACAATACAGAAGGACAGTACATGAAGGGAGTATCCAGAGAAAGCACCAGGAAATTGCTCAGCCATAATCTCCATGGCTGCAAGAAATGCAACCACCTATCAAAAAGAAACAGCTCATTAGTACAGAGAACATATTAGCTTATATAGCATTGGAATCCATTACACTTAATAACCTATTAGAGGAACTGAATCCCATCACCTGTTTCCCCATTTGTGGAGAGATTACTGCATAAACTTTTGAGTCATCCACAGTCTTATATAATCTATCCCTGTCGCCACCAGTAGTTCCCATAACAAATGGAACTCCAACTTTGCAATAAAGATCTGCATTATCTACACATCACAAAAGAGGAAAAGCAAAAAAAAAGTCAAAAGATGAACAGAGTATCCATAAATGAAGTGAACAAAATCAGAACAGGAAGCTTCACAAAGTCTGTAATGTTAAATCATATGCTGGATTATGAAATTTTGTCAACAGGAACCAATTAGCATTTTTGCCATGCAATTCTAAGGTTAAAAATCCTAGACACAACAGAAAACTAGAACAATTGAAAAACCTTAATTAGGATATTCAATTATCCATATCCTTTTTAGCAGCACCAAAGTATTTTCTTTTCAAATAGTAAAGGTTGCCAGTAGAAAATTCCTAACTGAACTCAAGAGTAAAATAGCAAGCCTAGGAATTTTACAGACTTAGAGCTACTAAGTGAATTCTCTTTTGGGATTCTTTTTCAGCTTCACAAGTCATAAGCTCCAAGAAATCTTACCATTCACCAAAGCAGGCACAGTGTAATCAACCACAATCATGTTTGGATACTCATTATAGAGAGAAGCGAGCACACTCTCTCTTTCAGAAGGACCATGAATTTTAATCTCATTCCCAAAAACTTCCACAGTATTACCAGCATCCTTTTCTGGGCCAAAAGATTTTGGAAGAATTTGAAGTCCAGCAGAATTTGCTGCCATTATAACAGAACTCCCCATTTTGCCATTACAGCCATTTACCTCCAATTACAAAATAACACAAATTAATAACATCCAAAATCATTTATCCACTAGTCACCATAATGACGAAACAATCGATATCAGTTACCAATTGATAAGAAAAATACAAAAAAAATAAATAGCATAACATACCATGATAGGAACTGCAGTGCTGTTGGTTGACATGGACATTACAACCACGGAAGGTTTCCGTTTCTGATGTCAGAAAACAAACATCAATTAATGCATTAAAGAGTGTTAGCTAACTTAGCTTGTTAAAGTTACATTTTTGTATAGCTCTCTTTTATCTACATTGATTTATGCAGAAAGCAAACCAAAAAAAGGAGAAAAAAGGAAAAAAGCGAAAAGCTATGATTCCAAAAACAACGAAAGCAGTAAAAAGATAGCAGCAGCTTTTACATTACCTGATAGCGGTTGGTGAAGAAACGAGTTCGATTAGAGTTAAGCGGGTTGCAAAGAAAGAGTTGCTTTAATGGCTGATTAACCACTGCCCCTTGAACCCACATTTTTGGCTAAACAAGAAGGAGAAGGAGGGGATGGGGAAGAGACGGTGATTTTTTTTTTTTTTTTTTTTTTTAGGGTTTTAAGGGTATAGTGCTCACTAGTCGATAGTGAAGTAAAGACACTTGACTTGATCGAATAAAAAGACACTAGGATCCTAGACTGACGTCAAACAAAGATATAGTTTCAAATCGAAGATGGGCTTTTGTAGGAAAGAAATGGACTTTATGTTTGCGACCAGCCAAAAAAACCCGGGTTCGGATCCAATGTTGTTAATGACGACCCATTTATTTCCGTTAGTGTGTCTGAAGCTTAAGACCGAGGGAGGTGGAGTAGGGTTATGTATTGGTTCTTTCTGATCTGTATAGGAACCCATTTTCTCTAGTCAATCATACAAATCCTTTATTTTCTTGTCTTGAAGAGAATCTAAAGGAAAAGGAAATGGCTTTACTGTCCGCTTCAACCAAAGCGTTATTATCGAATTCAGTTCATTTTCATTATCAGAATCGGAGCTTGTTGCCTTCCCATCAGAAACCAACACAAGTCGCCTTCTCCTCCTCTTCCTCTATTGGTTAGTCGTTTCTTGTTCAATCCAAATTTACAGGATTAACTAATGTGAAAGATGATTTCTTATGATGTTAATTTCATTTTTTAGTCATTGAGAGTCAACTCTACTGCAATCTATTATAATTAATGTTGACTGTGTTTTTTTTTTTTTTTTTTCTGTATGTAGTTATGAAAGATCATTTCTTTCTGACGTTGATTTCAAAATTTTCAGGATTTGTGACTCATAGCATTGGCTTTGAGAGGAAGGAGCGGTCATCCTTTGTGGAAACAGCAGCTGTTAGGCATTTGGAAGGTTCAGTTACCAAAACTGAGGGATTTCGCTTTGCTGTGGTAAGTTTCTGTTCTTTTCAGTTTACTGAGGTTTTCATTTGAATTGATTGTAATTTGTTGACATTGATGATTGGAAACAACATTTAAAGGTCGTGGCCCGGTTCAATGAGATTATTACAAGGCCACTTTTAGAGGGAGCTGTTGCAACTTTCAAGAAATATTCGATCAAAGAAGAAGACATTGATGTATGCAAACTGTTTATTTGAGAAGCTTTTTTCAAATTTGCTTTCTTTTTGTTAATAAATTTTGATTAGAGTTGTTTTCGTGCATCTCTGCATCAGGTTGTGTGGGTTCCTGGTAGTTTTGAAATAGGCATTGTTGCAGAAAGGCTAGGCAAGTCGGGCAAATACAATGCAGTTGTGTGTATTGGAGCTGTGGTATGAACGATTTCTCTTCATAACGTGAAAGAAGTTAATATTTGATAAAATATTAGGTGTGCAATGTTTTACGAGTGGTGGCTTCCTCCTCGTTTTACTTCCGTTGAAGTACATGCTTACAGGCTGACCCTAATATGTGAATTATTTCCTTGTTGATGATGATAGGTAAGAGGTGATACTACTCACTATGATGCTGTCGCTAATTCAGCAGCATCTGGAGTACTTTCTGCTGGTTTAAAGTCAGGTTGGTAGTTACACTTTCTGCTGGTTTTATTGCTTGGTTTTGAAACTCTGTTGTTCTATGTCGACCAATGTTTCAAATTACAGGGTTTGGCCTTGACTATAGTAATTGCCTTGTTCTGTACAAGTTTTTGTAACATATTATGCCATATTGTAAAGTGAATGTGGAAAGGCAACATGGGCTCAAAGATGCAAGCAGACACCGATGGAGAGTGTTTGTTGTTGTCATTATTGTATCAAATATCACTTTGGTGTTCGTAATACTTGGTCCAACTGATAAAAACCTTCTCCTCTAATGTTATCCACACACCAAGCACAGTTGCACACAACCAACTCTTTATTCTTTAATGTCATTTAGCATCAAATATGTTCTCCTTTTAACCCTTAAGGAAGTGACCTTGCTGCTGCCTATCAGTTTACTGCTGCTGCTCTCTGTTTTTGTGGGAAGACTTCCCAGTGAAAACTTACCATACTCTTTTCTTGATGAATTTGCAGGGGTTCCATGTATATTTGGTGTTCTGACATGTGAGGACATGGAACAGGTGAAAGAAGCATTTAAATAAAACCAAGACATGCTTTGTAGGTTTCTTCTAAGAATGTTTCATCTGAGAACTTTTGTTTTGTTAATTGCAGGCGATAAATCGAGCTGGTGGCAAATCTGGGAATAAGGGTGCTGAGGCTGCTCTGACAGCTGTAAGTTGATTATGTTGAATCTATAAGTGCATGTGTTCTGATGAATTATTTTCTACTATTTAATTTGCTGTCTTCTGCCAGCTTGCTTATTCTTAATTTCTTCCTCAATTTTCTTCGGCATATTTCTTCCTTTGTTAAAACTTCTTATGGTATAGGAGGTGGAGGGAGAAGCATTCATCTAGTTCAGTCAATAGATGATGTACTTTTTCTTAACATAATTGAGTTTTGTGAGGTTTAGTGGGGGTTGTGCAAAGAAGTGTTGCCTAGTTGCTCAGCTGAGGCCATCGTGTCCTTTAGGCTTGTGCTTTGAAGTTTACATTTTTATTGCATGCAAACAGTTCAATAGGCTTTGGCACATGGTTTCTGATGTGTTCTTTATTTGTTTGTGGATTTACTTACTCACTTATCAATCTGAGAACTGTTTCATTGATGCCAAGACACAAAGATACAGTCAAGTTCATTTTGTTCTTATCACACCATGGCTATTGCCTTTTGGTAGTATTATTACAATTTGTGCTATGCGAATATTTGGAACCACAAGTCATGTTTCTTCCTGACTGATATAAGAAGACAAGAAAATAAATTTCTTTTTGAATCTTTTGATTGGATAATTTAACTCATTTTTGGTTAACTTGTTATGTATTGCAGATTGAGATGGCATCCTTGTTTGAGCACCATCTAAAGTAATGGTACTGTCGCATTGAGGAGAGAGTTATATCAAATCCTTTATACCTAGTATCTTCTTTCCCTGGGAATGACTGAACATGTAGATTTTTTTTTACTGAACTTTTAGACCTTTTTTTCCTTTGAAACTCCTGGAAACTTTTTGAGTTTAACGAACCAACAAATGGGCAACCTCAGCATCTCAGATGATAGTCAGCCATATGTCGATTGCAATAAATTGCCTTTATACCTGAAATTGCATAGGCAATGGAAGAGACATCACCAAACTATGTCAGCTGCTCACTTTCCTTTGACATGTCAAATGAATGTTTTTTTCTTTCTTCTTTTATTTCTTTGGGGAACTGTGTTCATTCCATGTCAAATTGCTCCAGTCTCCTACGTTATTACCCCTTGTCTCCTCACCAGTGAGGAATACTGCCCTGATATTTCAGGAACAGAATTGCCATAATATTTCTCATTCTGGCCATCTTGTTGCTGTTTTCTGCCAAGGGTGTGAAGGAATGCAGAAAAACTGAATTCCCCATGAAGTTATGCTGGATTGTAGTTATGCAGATGAGGGGATATGGTGGAACGAAAAGAACAAATAGATAAAAGGAGACAGTTGGCCGTATGACCCCATGAAGCTGAGGAAATACCTCCCTTGATAGCCAGTTTATTCCAAAATGCCAGACACTGGCTGTTGCACTTCAAGCTTCCTTCTCGGCAGAAATGACCAAACTGCTCCAAATCCCTCTTTGCTGACTTGACCCCCTCTCTCTGTTTCCGTAAAACAAAGGGAAGGGAGGGGAACTGAGCCATCTCAGAAGGCTGCAAGGACAATGTGGTAATTCTATGGGAGGTACAATGCTCTTGTCTTAGGTTTGCTAATTAACGTTAACTTGGCTAATAGTAACAAACAAAGTGAACAAAACGCAATCAAGCCAAGGAATAAAGATCAAAAAAAGGCAACACGAAGCTTAGAATCAAAGTTAAACATAATATCACAAACAAAGCTCCCCACGTGGATCATGAAAGATTGTCATAATCTCTGGACAATGTGTAAGTACAGCTTATGGCTAGTTTATCTGAAAATACAAGCCATGCAAGGAAGCTTTCTCTTTGCAATAGCCACAAGAAAGAAGATATCCAAATATTCTCGTCCATTATTCTCTTTTAAACCTGCAATGCAGAGAGAAGATGTGAAGCTATATGCGATGAAAGATCATAATTCTGATTGAGGGTTCATCTTCAAACAGGGATACATCATATAGTCTATTGCTCTCTCTTGACATGGTGATATTGCAGCTTTCTGGTCCCAACCCTGTAAATCTCCAAGCAAAGTCATCCATCCTTGAATTGGCTCATAGTCGTCGAAAACATTTATCAACTTTATCTTCTTACTCTTTGCCAAGTTTGGTCATATCCAATTCTCAGCAACCTCAACATCCCATATCATCATTCCCTCCAGTAAATCAGGTCTATTTTTCTTTCATTTGTTGCCTGCCTAAGCATTCACTTTCCGTTTTTTCTCGACCCCATCAATCTTATATTGCTCGTAAAGGAAAGAGTATTGCTATTCTTATATAATTGTCTTACAGAATTTACTTATCGAAAAAATATCAAACATTGCATTTATGAGAGTTTTGCAAATGCTTATATGTGAATAATATTTGAGGATTCATCTATGGCAGAGTGTTGCAGCTATTGTATTTGGAGATGGATCAGAGTCGAGGCTCTATCCATTGACAAAGAGAAGATCAGTGGGAGCCATTCCCATAGGAGCAAATTACAGAATCGTTGATGCAGTTATCAGCAATTGTATTAACAGTAACATAAACAGGATATATGCTCTAACACAGTATAACTCTACTTCTCTCAATTCTCACCTCTCAAGAGCATATACCAGCGTAGGCCTTGGCAAAGACGGGTTTGTTGAAGTGATTGCAGCATATCAGAGTCCTGAAGACCAAGGCTGGTTTCAGGTCTAATAGCTTATCTACTTTCGTAACACATGCGTGAACGATGCGTACAGCTTCTACTCAATGAGGGGCCAGACTACGATCCACAAAGCCAATGTGATCATTTCTGTTTCTCTCTCTGTTTTTTTTTTTTTTTTTTTTATCAGGGAACTGCTGATGCTATAAGAAGGTGCTTGTGGGTACTGGAAGATTACCAAGTGTCCGAGTTTCTGCTCCTTCCTGGCCACCATCTCTATAGAATGGACTACCAGAAACTAGTTGAAGCCCATCGAAGAAGCCAGGCTGATATAACCATTGCAGCTTTGAATTCAACAAGAGATCAAGACCCAGGTTTTGGCATACTAAAAGTGAATTCACTAAATGAAGTTGCAGAGTTCGACGTGAAGTCAGAGAGGGAGCTGATTATTGTCCCTTCGGTATGTTGATTTCAGCAAAATTCTCCTCCGTATAGTTTTGCTGCTACGAAATCCTGGGGGATCATGTTCTCTAAAGAATCTCTCCTAAACTGCAGGTTCAAAGTTCCCAAGCATTCAATGATAATGCTTATAGGAAGTTATCAAGTATGGGGATCTATCTTGTTAACACAGATATTATGACAAAGCTCCTAACTGAATATTTCCCCCAGGCAAACGAATTCGCAACTGAAGTAATACCCAGTGCAATATCCACTGGAATGAAGGTCAGACTACAGTTAGCTAATTAGGCCTTAACTTTGACATAAACTTTCGTTTGTTCTGTCCAATTATCTATTGATGTTTCCTTTTCTTCTATGAGCTTTGATTCATGAGAAAGTTCTGATTATGTGCATGAAGCAGGTTCAAGCTTATGTATTTGATGGATATTGGGAGGACATGAGTAGCATTGCAGCATTTTATCAAGCAAACATGGAATGCATAAAGAGATTAAACATGGGATACAAGTCAGTAGTTTTTCTTCCAGGAAGGCTGAAAGTATAACACCTATAATCAACTAACACAAACTTCATTCCTTTACTGGCAGCTTCTACGCTAATGACGCTCCTCTATACACCATGCCTCGCCATCTGCCTCCGACCACGATAACTGATGCTGTCATAACAGACAGTGTAGTTGGAGATGGTTGTATCCTTAATGTAAGAATAACATGTCCATCACCCTCCTATGTTTCTCCCATTCGCTCAATATGCGGTCTTAGATTCTGTTGTCTCTTGTTTCTGAATCTTGTCTTGCTTTTGTTTCCTGGAAATATGTTTTTTGGCCTTTCTAAGAATAGAGGTGCAAGATCAAAGGAACAGTAGTTGGTATGAGGACAACCATTGGAGAAAGAGCCATAATTGAAGATTCAGTCATCATGGGCTCTGATATCTATCAAGTAAGGGTGAAAATTTCTTTACAAACAAAAGAAAATTTCACTTTTTCCTGTTCCTAAAGCAATATTAGCACATTTGGTGGTATAAAATCTATGCATATTTGCACACATTCCTCTAATCAGTGGATGTTCAACAGAAAGACTGCATCCGAAAGAGCGGCAAGGATCAGAAGGGGATGGAGATTCCAATAGGAATTGGTGATGATACTCACATAAAGAAAGCTATTATAGATAAGAATGCAAGGATTGGCAGAAATGTAATGGTATGTACTATGTAGAATCACGAGCATAGCCAACTAATCCAATGCCAAAACTAGTGATGTACACAATAACACACGTGGTTTTCAGGATGTTAAGGTTCAAGTCCAAGACATTATTAAAACAGGATTGTCTCAGTGAGATTGAGCACTGAGTTCCTGTCTTCCCTTTCTGATGTAACATCTATGTAATTGTGTTCTGCAGATTATTAACAAAGACAATGTGCTAGAATGCAACAGGGAAGCTAATGGCTACATGATCAGTGGAGGAATGGTGGTTGTTCTAGAGAGTGCAGTGATCCCAGATGGCAGCATTTTATGATATTGTCGAATGTTGAACTTGATCATCTTCCTTTTATTTCTCAATTTGATTCTTTCATAGCAAAACAAAAGCTCAATAAAATGTACAGTGCCATTTTTTTGGGGTTGAGGGTCAGTAAGCTCAGTGCCATCTAAAATGTCATTCAATATGCAATTGACAATAAAATTTGATTCTTTCAGTGATTTTCTGCCGCTATGAACTTGAGACCTTTCACACATTTTACATAAATCTGCAAAATATGCCTCACTAGTTACCATATTTTAGAAATTAGGAGGGCCAACAATTTTTGTAATTTGGTCTGAAAATCTTACTAAAAAATAGATTAGAAACGTAACGGATATAGGAGACAAAATTTGGCAATATAAAGACAGAGTGAGTCATTAATCCGTGTTCTTAATACTGGAAGGACTAAATAAGCTAATTTTGATAAACCACAGTGACTGCGTTATAATTAACTTTAAAGCTGAAAAACAAAAGAAAACGACATCGTGTAATCAAGAAAATCTGAGTCTTATCCAACCTGTAAAAAAGAGAATAGTTGCTAGGCTCTGTTTCCCTGTCTCTGTCCACTCCGCAGCGATAAGCTCTGCTAAAATTAACCAACACTTGAAGGAGAGACCGATACTTTCTTCTCCAGCCAGTCCACTGCTGGGTTTCCTTTGATGGGTATGTTTTGTTTTGTCAAAAACTGATGATTTCTCTTCATGGCCATCACTAGAACTGCACTCTCTTTGAGCTGTTTCTTTCCTTTTCGTACTTCCTGTACTTATTTCCCTTAAAAGAAAGATATAGTCTTGAAAGAGAATTATTAGCATGGAAGGATTACTAAACACCTTCCCTCAACATAGTTGCTTAAACCCCTTCATGTTCGGTCAAAAAATAAGTTATAATCTTCCATTGATGAAACTAAGAACTGGGTTTATTTATGGAAGACTTGAAGTGGGTTTTTTTAGAGGGTTAAAGTGTGTAAATTTAAGCAGAGATGGTTTTGATAGCAGTAAAGGGGTTGTTGATAGTGACAATGATAAGGAAGTCGAGGATTGGGAATTGGAGTTTCTTGGGAAGCTTGATCCATTGGGTAATCAAGCACCTATGAAGAAGAAAAGGCAACAAAATTCAAGATTGCTCAAAGAAACTGATGGGATGGATTGGTGTTTGAGGGCGAGGAAGGTTGCCCTGAAGTCGATTGAGGAGAGGGGGTTGAGTCACAGGATGGAAGATTTGATTAATGTAAAGAAGAAAAAGAAGAAAAGGAATAAGAAAAAGTTGGTTGGTAAGGTTAAGAAAGTTGAGGATTTTGAAGAAGATGGTTTGGACTTTGATTTGGAGAAAGATGTTGAATTAGAAGATGATGCTAGTGACCTTAGTAGGATGGTGAGCATGTTAGGGGAAGGCATGTTTCAAGAAAAAAGGAGAAGACCATGGAAGAGTTTGTTCAGAGGCTATCCCAATTCTCCGGACCTTCTGATCGTAAGAAAGAGATTAACTTGAATAGGGCAATTGTGGAAGCACAGACTGCAGAGGAAGTTTTGGACATCACTGCTGAGATGATTATGGCTGTTGGGAAGGGGTTGAGTCCTTCACCGCTATCCCCCGTGAATATTGCTACTGCACTTCATCGAATTGCTAAGAACATGGAGAAGGTTTCAATGATGAATACACGTAGGTTGGCATTTGCACGACAGAAGGAGATGTCGATGCTGGTGGGTATGGGTATGACAGCATTGCCTGAATGCTCAGCACAAGGTATCTCGAATATTTCATGGGCGTTGTCCAAGATAGGAGGGGAGCTGCTTTACTTGTCAGAAATGGATAGAGTTGCGGAGGTGGCCTTGACCAAGGTTGAGGAGTTCAATTCTCAGAATGTTGCTAATATCGCTGGTGCTTTTGCTTCAATGCAGCACTCTGCTCCTGATCTATTTTCGGCATTGTCAAAAAGGGGTTCGGAGATAATTCATACTTTCCAAGAGCAGGAGCTTGCTCAGGTTTTGTGGGCTTTTGCTTCTCTATACGAGCCAGCTGACTCTTTGCTTGAGTCCTTGGATGCTGTTTTCAAAGATGCAAACCAATTTGAGTGCTCCTTAAAGGCTGAAACATCATACTTTGATGAGGAGAATAGCAATGAAGCCAGTGGAGATCTTGATGCAGAAGGACCTTTAGGCCCTCCAGTGCTCAGATTTAGTAGGGATCAGCTGGGGAATATAGCTTGGTCATATGCTGTTCTTGGACAATTGGACCGAATTTTCTTTTCAAATGTGTGGAGAACTCTGAGCCATTTTGAGGAGGAAAGGCTTTCGGAGCAATATAGAGAGGATATCATGTTTGCTTCTCAGGCTCATCTTGTGAATCAATGCTTGAAGCTTGAGTACCTCCATCTTGAGTTGTCTCTTGGAGGCAATCTTGAGGAGAAAATTGCTCGTGCTGGAAAAACTAAGAGGTTTAATCAGAAAACAACTTCATCATTTCAGAAGGAAGTTGCTCGTCTCCTGGTCAGTACTGGCCTTGATTGGGTGAGAGAATATGTTGTGAATGGGTACACTGTGGATGCTGTTGTGGTTGATAAGAAGATTGCTTTGGAGATCGATGGACCAACTCATTTCTCCAGGAATACTGGTTGGTTTCGTTACCGAGTATACAACAATTGATTTATCTGTTTGGTCTCATTCAGCTATTTAGCTTTCAATTTAATTATTTGTCCTCTTATGTTCTGCAGGAGTGCCTTTAGGACATACTATGCTGAAACGGCGGCACATCGCTGCTGCTGGTTGGAACGTGGTATCACTGTCTCATCAAGAGGTGAGTTCCTTCTTCTCACAATCCAGAAGGGTCAATTTATGCACACTTTCGTTGACAAAGAAAAAGTGACAGAACCATGAAGTTGAAAGTGAAACTGAAAAACATGGAATCGTTGACTGTTTCGAAGAGAACATGAATATCTTATCCATGAAATCATATTGGCGTCAGTTTTTCAAAAAAAATAATAATAATTAATGTTTAACTTGATAATGTAAGGGTAGCTTACTGGAAAAGAGTTGTAAAGTAAATTAGGGAGATGGACGATTGTGCATAATTCCTTCTGAAAAATTCAATCCATCCTGTTTTTTGAAGTTCATCCTCCTCCATGCTTCTGCAAGATAACAAAATTGAACTAAGATTCCTAAAATTCTTAGGAGTTTGAACAAAGAGAATGTTGGTTTCTTCCAACTCTATATATAAGCACATTGAGATAGTGGAAACGATAGAAGAGCTTGTCATTAGTTAATTGTATTAGCAAACCAACCTTTTGTTATGCTATGATAAATTAGATGAGAGCATGGTTTTGGAGTGGTTGTTTGTTAAGATTGTTACTGGTTTACTGCATTATTTATATAAACTGATACGTGATTTGTTTGATTGATGCAGTGGGAGGAAATAGAAGGCAGTTATGAGCAGCTAGAGTACCTGAGAGAAATCCTCAACCTCAAGGAGCATCTAGGGGAAGAGAGTAGCAGCAAAGATGCAGCATCATCATAGATCGATCATAAACAATTAATGGGGCAGGGTATGGCATGGCATGTCGTGGCATGGAATGGATGGCATCAAGGAAAAAGAAATGATGGAAATTTTGCTAGATAGAATAGATAAAAGATATATACTATTCTTCATTGATTTATATATTTATGAGAACAAACAAGCATGTATAAAAGCACACACTCATATATATGCATGCTTCTTTTCCAGTTCATTCATGTCAATCAAATGTAAGAAGAAGATGAAGAAGGTTGTACTTGCATTATGTATTTTGTTCTCTGATCAGCCATTGGCAATCCAGAGATTCAAACTAGCAGGGTGATATCTTATTACTTTAGGGACCGTTAGGCTTGGAAGAGTTGATGGGATGGGAGGTGAATCTGATTTTTACTGTTACTAAACGGTGTCGTGACTTAAGGGTTGTGGAGAGAAGGGAGGGCCTTTTGTTCCGTCTTGATTAATAGATATTTATCTGACTGAAACACTAACACTGGACAGTGTCGTTTTTCAGATAAGGAGAGAGCGCGTAAACACGGATCTTTTTGTCGGCAAATGGTGATATGGACACGTGTACACACCTCGTCGTTTGGTCCATCTTGTCTTTTTAAAATGACATGATTGCTCGTTAACGGGAATGGATCTTCTTTTACATCCCTGAAGGAAAAAAAAAAAAAAGACACACTTACTGCTACTCCTCCTCAGTCCTAAATCAAACGTTGTTGTTGTTGTTGCTGCTCCTTGTTTCTGCTAATTTCCGATTTCGATTTCATTTTCAGGTAATTTCTTTTCTGCCAAAACAAGATCATCATCATCTTCTTCTATTTTCAGTTTTCTTTTTCTTTTGTTACATCATATGATCTACATGCAAATATTGATTTTTTTCTTTTTCTTTTTCTGTTGAAATATTAATCATCTCACTGTTTTGATTTGTATTTGAGAGAAAGAGATCGGATCTGAACTTCATTTGATTTTTGATTTTGCGTTTTTAAATCACTGATACTTCTGACTTTGATTTCCATCGTTGGTTGTCTTCTGATGATCTGATGCATATGATTAATAAGATGTTAATATTACTACTTTCCTTTATTCATGAATATTATTGGTATTAATAATAATAATAATAATTAATTAATTAATAATGTGGTGCTGAACCGATCTCTGTTAATGCTGAAATGTTTATCCATATTATTTGTCTTCTGTTTTGATCACACGACTTTTCTTTCTCCTTCAAAAAGCATGAGTGTTGATGTCGGGCAATGAAAACAAATTTCTTTCCCATCTTCCTTCTCATCAAGAAAACCAAATAGGTTTTTTTTTTTTTTTTTGGGTCAAATTTGCTTGTAGAAAATGGGAGTCATTTCCTGCTCTTTACCTCTTCTTTCTTTACAACATTGTATTCGTAGGGGTCTTGAACCTGTATATGTGCTGTTGTGAATGTTTTTGTTCAACTCTATTTAATTAACCATTCTAAACCTTCATTGATACAATATGGAGTACTGATTTTCCTTGATGCTTGAGTAGCCCGTGATAAGCTTAACCTTTATCGCCTCTGTGCTCAGGGAGTAATATCGACATTTGCGTTTCATATATCAAAACAATTGAGGGTTGCAGTTATTCATGTTTAGCTTACCAGTCATGACTCGTGAACACTTTTTTCTGCTTTTTTATTCATTCCCTCTCATATGTGATATATTTCTGTTGTCCTTTCCTTTCCTGGTTAATTGTACTGCCTCTTTATTTCATTCTTTAACTTGTGGAACATGTGTTGCTCGTTTTGAGGTATGGCGTCTTCTGACAAGCCAGAAATAGTGGATAGAGATGTCAAGGAGAAAGAGCGCAAGGAGGATGAAAAAGATGAAGAGAAGGGTGGATTTATTGACAAGGTGAAGGACTTCATTCATGACATCGGTGAAAAGATTGAGGGAGCAATTGGATTTGGGAAGCCAACTGCTGATGTTTCTGATATTCACATCCCCTTAATCAACCTTGAGAAAGCCGAGATTGTTGTTGATGTGCTTATTAAAAACCCAAACCCTGTCCCTATCCCTCTCATTGACATCAACTACTTGATCGAGAGTGATGGAAGGAAACTTGTTTCTGGGTTGATCCCAGATGCTGGAACTATTCGTGCACATGGCGAGGAGACTGTCAAAATACCAGTTCATCTGGTTTATGATGATATTAAAAGTACATATAATGATATTAAACCTGGGAGTATCATTCCTTACAAGGTTAGGGTTGAACTCATTGTAGATGTGCCTATTCTTGGAAGGCTTACTCTGCCACTTGAGAAGACTGGAGAGATCCCCATACCTTACAAGCCTGATATTGATCTTGAGAAAATAAAATTTGAGAGGTTCTCCTTTGAAGAGACTGTGGCAGTGCTTCACTTGAAGCTGGAAAATAAGAATGATTTTGACCTGAGCCTCAACACCTTAGATTATGAGGTTTGGCTGTCGGATGTGAGCATTGGAGGTGCGGAACTGGAAAAATCTACCAAAATCGATAAAAATGGAATAAGTTATATCGATATTCCTATCACCTTCAGGCCCAAGGACTTTGGTTCCGCACTTTGGGACATGATTAGAGGAAAAGGCACCGGTTACACCATGAAAGGAAATATTAATGTGGACACACCTTTTGGAGCTATGAAGTTGCCAATCAGCAAGGAAGGTGGTACAACCCGCCTCAAGAAGAACAAAGAAGATCGTGGTGATGATGATGATGACGACGACGATGAGGTATTTTAACTGTCTTTGTTTCTTAGATTACTTCGTCAGTCATTCTTTTACCTTGAGCTGATGTCATTGGTCGCTCAATTGTTGTTTCTGCACCGATTGTTATATAAGACATTTTATTGGCTTGATTCAAAATCTGGCTCGACATTGTTTTACTTTCATTTTCATAGGCTTTAAGTTCTCTGCTGGTAAAGTTGGTTGAGACTCAGTGTACTTGCATATGTAAATCATTCTATCTTCTCGTGCCTTGCTAGTCAATGACTTCATGACCTTTTTTCGAGACCTAATTGTGTGCCTTAATCTTAACATAAACGGATCGCATACATTAGCTCAAGTGCGCACAATTGCATAAGTTTCTACCGTCAAACCATATCATCAAATCAATTCCTTTAGTTTTTAAGTACTGTAATTTATGACCACTTCTAACATGACGATGCTCAAGGTATTAGAATGAGATACATTGTCTTCAACTCTTCATGGTTTCTGTTGTCATTGTTGATGAATTAAGTTGCTCATTCTGTAATGATTTGCTGTGTTGTTCTAATCTTCTATTTACTAACCTGTTTCAATGATTCGTCCTACCTTTTATGCAGGAGTAAAGAACGGGGAGAAGTTGTTTATTCAACTCGCTGCTGTTTGCATATTGGTAGAGGTCCAGTACAACAATAATACATCAGTAGGTTCTTGAAATGAAGGTATCAACTTCTTTGATATCTTTCAGGGAAGTCAATACCCCATTTGTGCATGTGTGTAATTGTTGACTGTATCGTAATGTGGCACTTGTTTTAGTAGCAGAGCCATCCTTACTGGTAGACTTTCGACCTGTGGTTGAACTATGTTGTTTACTATTTTTGGTTTGTTGGTGTTCAATCTTTGGATTCTATTTTACTTGTCTTGCTATCAATACCAAACGGCTTGTATTCTATTCGTTTTGCATATTGCTTTGCTTCCCCTTTGGATCAATGAACACTTTGTATAACTGGCTCGGATTCTTTGTGGTAAGAAAAGAAAGAAAAATGGACCCAAATTTATTGCTGAAGATATGAATGAGAAGCAGCAGCTTAATTCCAGGAACTAGGTCATATTTTTCTGGGAAAGCAGATGGTAACTGCTCTCCTTTTGGGTCAACTCAATAGTTTTGCATCTATTTTTCTTGGTAGTAAATGGATCTCGAAGAAGAGAAAATTCTCTTGCCTGGTTGTGTTGATACTTGAGAGCAGCCCATATGTTGTCTTGCCTTGGGCCAAATATATTAAGCAACAGAGAACTACAGGGTTGCACTTTTGATGCATGGAATCAGACAATAATATAACTTCAATGGTAACATCCTGGTACTGATATTTTAGTATTACAGTATGTTGTTATTTACAATAAATGGTATTATTTTATTATTATAATAAGCTGTGATTTGCAATGACGCTTGTTATCGTTTTTTCAACATTTAAAACTATGAATTTAGGTCTTCTTTACGGAGAAAATCTTGTGCCGATCTGTTCAACCGTGTCCTGTCCACCAGATGAATCTCATCTGCTCACCAAATGCACATTAAGTCTTTGATTAAAAAAGCAAATCTCCACGCCAACAGTAGAGAACTTGCAGATGATTATTTCATTTTGGGTTACGCTACCAAGTTGAGAGGGTTGGATGAAACAATTTGAGCACTCCATTGACACTTTATTAACTCTTGGGAATATATTTTAATACAACCCTGTTGGTCTAGGAAGGGACCATGCCACATTGCCACCAGCCTGGAAGACCTAGCTTGAGTGCTTGTCTCAACTCTCATGACAGTCAGAAGCAAGCTTGCAATCTTCAAAGCAGATTATGCAGCTGCTGAGTCTGATCAAAAGCAGAAGCGAGGGTCCGGTCAATTTGTCGATTTAGGGCGCATCAATGTTCCCTTTGGAGACACTGTTGGTGTTGCTAATAATGGCCATGAGACTGTGGTTGTCAACTGCAGCGTATCATTTTCTACGTTCCAACTGTGAAGAAACAGAGAGAGAGCGAGATGCTTGAAGGAATCAAGAAAAGAGGCATTGATGAAGCAACATGGTGGTGGTAGGTAGGTGCTGGAGGAACATCAAATCAAATCATGTCCCTCGGGCCTCATCCTCATCACAAAATGAATTCCATTCACAAGCGATCCTTTGCAATTCATGACATGCTAGGCTAGACTAGACTGGCCTGCCAAATTGTCATTTCTTGCAGACAGGCGAGTGCCATATGTATGGGTCGGTAGGTTGGGTTGGGTCCCATTCTTTGTAGACAAATACTACTCTAGTAATGTGGGTTTCACTGCTCAAGGACAGTGTGCGGTGAATTGACACGGACCAGTCGCTTCCAATACTGGCCCGAACTACCCCTTCACTTATTGGGTGTCTAATCACTTCCACCACTACTTCACTTCATTACTATTGGCCCAAATTATGCCATTTTGGATTTTGACAGTTCCTGATTACAAAACTCTGGTTTCGTCACAAAAATGACATGAGCTGATATTAAGCTTTATTTCTTCGCCTAGAGAAGACGAATCCCATTTGAAAACCAAAGCCATCTTTCACTACTTTTCAATTTGACAGCCGGAAGAAAAGACCAGATTTTGGGGTGTCAATTTTTTTGTCAAGAAGTAGAATATATGATGATGACAATGATGCAGCTGGGCTGCCTAATGTGCCTAGCAATTAAACACATGCAATTGCATGATGCTGATGATGGCCTGTGTTAGCTATTTCTTTCATATTTTACACAAGGGATTTAGTAGGTACATCCTACAAGATCTTTGAAACCCTTTCGTCTTAATTTATATCATTGAAACTTCCTTCCTGGTGCTCTGTCAACGCCAATCACTGTACTAATCGAAGAAGCACAACACTTTTGTCCAAGTCCAGCCACCGTTCATTCGTCTGGCATCCCCTTTTTGCTTGCTCAACAACAACATCAAAGAAGCTTCCATGGACATTCATTCGGTTCCCTTGCAGCATCCTTAACAAACCGTGTGTCATTCGTTTAAGGTGTGAGGTTTATTATTCAACCTCAAGATTCAAGATCTTCGTCTCTTATTGTCAAATTTTGTCTCGAGTACCAACGACATCAACATATACACACTAAACAGATCTTTTGCTAGATAAAGATTGCTGTCAAGGCCGTACAAAAGTGTCAAATGCTACAAACAAACAAAAAAAAAACATTTGTGTCCAAAACAACGATTATGTCGAAAATATTGTGGATGAGTTTGGTTCGGCTAGATGGGAATGGTTGTGACATGGACATTGACCATGCATGCATCAAAGGGACTATTTGCCAAAAATGAGAGATGGGCTGGTGTTCAATCAACATGGTCGAGCCAAGTTAGATGTTCTAACTGATTTTGTGACATCTTTCCAATCCTAAACACCGAAATCAGACGGCAAATTGTGAATTTCTTGCACAAAAGATTTGGACTTTTTTGTTTTTTTATGGGGGAGATTTAGACACCTTACCTTGATTAATGGATCCTACAAGCAGTTAGAAAATAGATATGATATGATTTTAGGTCAAGGCACTGCATTTTGGATATCCATTGAAATATGGTCGGTTGATAAACAATGGTTTTCATCTTGATTAGTTGAATAGAAGCCATATGTACCTAATGGAAGAAACACATCATCATGCCTTGTCCTAAAATCTTGTCATTGCAACTATTCAATCAACATTTATTTATAAGTTCATTGTCAAATGGGTTTCGAATTTAATTACATTATAGTAATCTTGAAATTCAAATTCATATACAGAATTCTCCTTCAAGGGTCTAAAAAAGGGTTTCAAATTTGTCTTTGACCAAGCCAGCTCCCTCTCTTACTTTACCACTAGGAATCTGTCTGCCCCTTTTTTTATTACAGAGGACTGCTTCTTTAAGAGTCTAAAAAAGAGGGGAAAAAAAGATTCCATTCATGCTCTCTTTTGAATGCATGAACTTAACAGAGTAACTTGCAGACGCTATCCATTCCTCCCAGACATTTTCATGAATTTTCAATTCTACTGTCATGGAGTAATGTCTGATCGTAAAGAATGGGCTATGGCCTGTGCGATGGGAGTGGGATAGGAATGGTAATGGGGCGGGGTGGAGCGAGACGTGTCCCGCACGTGGTAATATTTCTTTTACCGTTCTCGCTTTAAACAGAGATAGAATTCCTTGATATCCTGTTTAATTTTTTATTTTCATTTTATCTTATTTCATTTTATTATTAAATTTTAAATTATAATAAAAAATATATCTTAAAAATTAATAATAACAGATTTTATATAGAATATAATTATAATTTTAATGATAGAACGAGATAAAGAAAACGGGGCAAATTGCCATTATTCCTAGACAGGGAGCAAGGAAAGCTCAGCAAAGCCAATTCCAAAACATCAATTACAAAAAGGGTGTCTGTACGAGGAAGGAATAAGCAAGTTGGCATGGAGATAGGGGAGATGCATTGAATTGAAGACGATTTGAAACAGGGACATCCACATGGCATATGTCCATTTTTGCATGTCTGAGGATCTAAACTAAAGCATCTCCTTTCTTTTGTCACCGTTGATCACATACTTCACCGTTTCTTTTGGTCCACTTGACATCTTCTAAAGATTTTAGACAGCTACCCATCATGAGCTTCCATCTTTTTTTCTTTTCTTTTTTTTTCCTTTTCCTCTTCGTTTTAGGTGTAAAACATGGGCTTCCATCCATCTTTGAAAAAACCCTAGCAAAACCACTGGCTATAAGCTACCACTAGTATTTCCTATCCACCCAAACAACTTGGTTTCATAAATTCAAGAACTGTGTAATCAATGCCTTGTGTTATCATTAAAAGATTTACCAGTAGCAATCAAAACATTTGTAGTGGCAAGAAGAAACCTTTATTTTATGGAATTGGGAGGGTGGTGTTTGAACAAATCTATTGATTAATGGGAGATGAACACATGTCATAGGACCCATTTGACGTGGAAGCAAATGAAAAGAGAAAAACAAGATGTGACACGAAACAAGAAAGAGATAGCTAGGAGTAGAAATCGTATAATTCTGGAATAAGACTCCTTCCATTTCAAACAAGGGGTCCCCAATGGCCCTATTTGTGAAGAACAAGAAAAAAAAAGTTGGTGCTTGGTATGTTAGGCCTTTCCCTTTCTTTTTCTTTTCTATTATATTCTAGATAGAGAGAGGGCGTAGAAAGAGACAAGAGAGAGAAGTTGTAACATGTACTGATAACTTTCTAGAGAAGAGTCTAGGGGTGGTGAACCTTGGGAGACACACAGCCTTCATTTTCCAAAATCAGCAACTTGCATGTCAGCAAAACCCCACTTGAATCAGGGAATTCACTGAACCCAACCCAAACCACTCTCTCTCTCTCTCTCTCTCTCTAAAATATGCATCAAATGATACGACTGTACTGCGAATGATGATACAAATACAGGCCACGAACCCAAAAACCATCACAGAATTCAGACTCTTTCCAAAACAGGCACACCTTCCTTTCCTTTTCCATCCCTTTGAATTAAAAGAGAACAGAGATCTTTATCCTTCCATCTTAGCAATAAAAAACTTGAGATAGAGCGTGAGATGCTAAAGGTGTGTGATTGTTCACTCTCTCTTTCTTGTTGCCTTACTACGAAAGTCCCAGATCATTACTCTTTCCATCACCATCTCCACCTCCACCATCAGAAACCAAAGCATCTTTATCAGCTTCACAGGTTACTATCTTGCCTACCCTTCTCTTTTGAATTCATCTTTCTTGATCTGGCACTTGTCTGTTCATTCTTTATTAGAAATAACTCATCATATATAAGCTAGCTTCAATATAGTTTCTTGAATTGAACACTGTCTAATTCAAAAATCAAACTTTATATGCTATCTTGCCTACTCAAGTTTCTTTTTTGGCTTAGTGCCATCTATGCTTTATATGTTCAATATGAGTTATATTTTTTAAATCATGTTAGCCTCTCAGCATGTAACTCCAACATGATTAATCTGATATAGCTAGCTCTTTTAGTTACTTGAATCTTTACTGTAATCTTGTAAAGAAGAAGGAAAAGATGAGATTTAGGCAGCTCATATATTGAATCTATCTGAAATTTGCATCTTTTTTTTTTTTTGGGGATTGGTGTATATGTTGACTTATGGTTTAATAGATTGTTGGTTACAGATGATAAATTTCTTGAATCTGATTGAATGTTTTCTCGTTTCTTATTTGGAATCCAGTTGGGTTATTGGGGACGACGTTTCTTGGTACTAAATTTCGAGGCAGCTGACATTTCTCCAGACGCAAGAAGACAGACAATTTGTTCATAGTTCATGCATATTGAAAGAGTTTTAGTTAGGTTGTTGTTATAGATTGGTTGAATCTGATGCACATAAATTTTAGCAATCAAAGCCCTAGCTATCCACATTGAGATCCAAGAGGCCTTGGAGTTTTTGGGTGTTGGATTTGTGAATTATATTCAACTAAAATTAATTGTGTGCGTGGAAAGAAATTAATCTTATCTGGGGTGCTGGGAATTTCGGAAGTAAGAGGGGTTTAAATGAGTTTCGACTATTCTGAATCAGAAACAAGAGTGCCAAGAGTTATAATCAATCTGCAAGACCGTTGTTCTAGCAGCATGATGGATGTGAGAGCAAGAAAGATCACTGCTAATAATCCCTCTGCCCCTCCTCCTAATACAAGATTAGAGAAAAGGAAAATGGAGTATAATCGATCACTCTCACAAGGGAGCACCAGAAGGTTGCTGACTGCAAGCCATTTCAGCTTGGTATCATTGCTTATGCTCATATGTCTTACTGCATCTTTGTTGATCCTTCCTTTGGTACTACCACCGTTGCCTCCACCGCCTTTCATGTTACTTCTGCTACCAATAGGCATCTTAGTATTGCTCATGTTCTTGGCTTTCATGCCTTCTAATTCAAGAGATTTAACATATACACATGTGTAAATGGTGTTTCGAGAAAATGTAAGCACCTGTCTCTCTTCATACAATTTTTGTATCTTCTCTGAAATGTTGAAAGGAAAAAAGATCAGTTCTTTTATTTCTATGTCATGGCCTTTTTCTTTTAGGAGATCTGTGGCGTTTGTTTGTTAGATTTTGAGGTAATCTTCATATGCTTAGTGCACCGAATTTTCTGCTTTTCTTTCTTCGAATTAAAGCTGTATTGCTGCTGTTTACAAGCGTGTAGAACGCGAATATTCCCAACCCTGATGGTCATGTGGAAATGGAAACAAACTTCCAAAGCAAATCTTATTAAAGAAGTTTATGAATAAATCAATGTGTTGATGACAACATTTTTTTTCCATTGTTTAAGGTATAGCATGGTGAAAAGTGCAATGTATTAGCCAAGATTTTGAGAGGAACATGTCGATGGACATGACGCGATAGCATGTATATTTAATTGGATTCAAGAACTATGAGCCATGATTTGGTCACTTGCAGCATTGTTTTGACCTCGTAGTTTTGGTTTAAATAATAATAATATAATACCTTTGTATTGATCTAACCTCAAATGGTGGCAACCCTTTTCACGAAGAGGAATGCGAATATTTTTATTTACTTTTTATATATTATGGCCGGACAAATAGTTGAGATCTTCCCTCTATTAGATGCACCCAATTTTAAGGCGTTTGCAATTGACAATATATATGCTATATGATTATAACGTAAATGGACAAATTTCATAACCACTCATCATCCCCGAGAACAATTTCACAGATGAGATCTATGACCATTCGGTGATTCATCACAAATAAGATTCAATGGCTGCTGGTCAAATGCCATGTGAAAAATCATTTCTTTAGACCCCCCTCTTGGGCCAAGGTGGTCTTGATTTGCATACCCAACTTTGCTGCCTTGGTCTTTGTTTCCGACCACCAGGTCAGCCATCTTATGAACATAAAACGACGACGATCATTCTTTCTCCCTTCATGGAAACTTGTCGATTGGACTACAAATGGAAGAAGAGAGGAAGGAGAAGGGATCGTACACGCGGACCACATCAAAGATAACGGAAGAGCAAAGAAAAATAAATAGAGATTATATCAGCTAATATACATTCTCAATATATATGTATCAACTCTTTGACCTTTGTAACATTGTTGCTCTCTGTCTTGCACATTATAGTTAAACATGCACATGATTGATATAATGATATAACGATTCCAGAGAGAACTAGTACTTCAGCCAGCCACATTATGGACGGAAAATTGACAACCTTAAAAGCTTTGTCACCCTAACCACAGTTGAAATGTTTATTGTCTGTGGCATCTATGAAATATGGCGGTGAAAACTCTAGTCAAAATCCACAACACAACATCTTCTAGGGGATGCTGCGGGTATGAACAAAAAATGGAGGAAGGTAATGCTCCAAAACAGCCAAGAGCTCTTTTCCTTGGCTCAAATCTTCTAAGGACCCACCCCCAAGTTTTTTCACAGCTTCAACAAGCTGGCCCCTTTGCTTTTGTGAAAATAAACGACCACCAGTTGCAACACACTCCCTGTACAACGGCAGATAAGCAACTGCCACTCTTAAAGGGCCTGGCAGATCCCTTAAGGATATAGGCGATCCACCCCAATTCAAAATCCTCACAAAATTGAAGTAATGTTCTTGTCCTTGCTTTAATCCATCCAAGTAAGCTGCCTCTGACCAGTGCTCTCGAAGAAAAGCCCTGAGCTCAGGGGCAACAGACTCGTCATCAGACCGAGCGATGCTGTCTGCAACAGCATAAGTAGCAGTAGGATCACCCAAGAAATCAGAACGTAACAGAAATGCCACACCATCAAGCGACCCACCACTTCGCTCCCCAGCAGCCTTGAGAATTTCTATACTGAGGGCAGCAAGAACATGCTGAGGAACATGAGGGAGGAGATATCCAGCCACACCAACTTGGCTACTGGAAGTTGCAGCAGTGAGAGCAAGGCAGAGTTCCATGTCACGGCAACCCCTTTTCACAAACCACTGAACAACCTGCATGCAACCCCTTTCAGCTGCTCTCATCAAAGGGCCCAAGAAAGCTATCGCATTGCCCTCTTCCACTAGACATTCCATTGTACCAATTTTGCAGTAGTGAGAAGCAAAACCTAGGGCCAAATCAACATCGACATCCAAGCTGTTCCTATGGGCAATCTAAACAGACAGATCCCATATTTGACAAGCAATAAATTCAAACAAAAATGTCAGGTATGCATACTTAAAATGATAATAAATTCTCAAGAACATCTCTCTCTCCCTCTCTAACACACACAGGGACATGCATGCGCATTGAAATAGATATTGTAGCCATGCTTTGCAAGAAAAAAAGTCATGCAGAGTGGTGCAGAGGAAAAAAGATGAGGTAAATGCATCAGGACAGACCAAAAAACAAAACATCAGCATATCTTTCACAAATATGAAAGATGATAATTTATCTGGATTTTTGCTTACCAAAAAAGCTTCACCGCAGCATTTACTTCCCTGTTTACTACCATATGTGAAAACTATTTCCAGTTTTGCACATCTGAAGCCAAATTCATTTAAGAGTTACATATAAAGAAAAGAAACTCGCCCTAAAAAATACCTAAAGGATTGGTAAGATCATTAATAAGGTTCTGATTGTATCTCTCTCTCTAATTAAAATAGCACTTCTTCCAAGGAAAATAAAAACTTCTACCTTTCAAAATAAGCAAGGAACAGAGAAGTGCAGAAAGAAAAAGGTACGTATATGCATGATTAATGTTACCTGCAACAGGATGCGCACAAGTTCTGTACTTCCGAAACGAGAGGCTTCAAGGAAACACTGATTGACATTGTCTGCACCCCCTTCAACCAACATACCAAGCAACCCTTGGATTGCAGCTGCTGATATCCCAGATGCCCAGCCAGGATCGAATGAAGTGGAGAACAGAGTGAGCGGAAAACAGGCTGCATCAAAGGCCTCCGTGAAATCCTTCCCTGTGAGTTGATTGCCAGCAAGATCAAGAAATGTCTTGAATGCAGACAGTTGGAGCTGAATCTCAGCAATTGAGCTTTGAATCACTCGGTCTCTATTCGCCTGGCAGCGAGAATGGAAACCGATGCATTTCAGAGCCCACTCAGTAAACTTTTGAACCTTGGCACTAGCTTCTGCCTTCAATACCTCATCCCCATTGCACTCCTGAAGTCGCTCCTTCAATCTAAACAAAATGTGAAAGCAAAACAAAGAATGCAAGTCAAAAGGAGGCTAAAAATAAAAAACAGCTTTCACTACGCACGCTATCAAAAAATTGATGTCTGAAGCTTTGGTTTTTTTCTTTTTCGAATGAATGCAGAGGAGGAGAATGACTTTTCATTGTGTGCACGGAGTTTGTCATGGCTAATTTATAAAAAGATACTGTTATTATATTGTACCGGAACGTACGCACACAGAGTGGCAGCTAAACCCTGGACTCTAAAGATACACGTTTCATTCACTTAATGAAGGCTACAGAAAAGATACACTATTTTTTCCAAAGACTTTGCCATTTATAGAACAGAATTGAAAATCACATCAGAATCCAGCCGTTTCATGCGTGCGCCCATCCACAAGTACAAACGGAATGCAAAAAAAATCATATTTCATTAATTTTAAATCCATAGAAAGGATGTAAGGAAAACAAGACATGAATCTTCATTTATTTCGGCTCACGCACAGCAAAACTACCATGTGCATTACAAACACGTTCAATTCAGTCAATAATTCATAAAAATTCTACAGTCTTCTCTTAAGGAGCTTATTTTGGTGAATAAACCTAAATGGGCAAATAGTTGAACATTCTCAAATGGCAGGATAAAAATTGCTCCCTCTGAAAGTGTTTTATACTCTTTGAAAGAAAAACATTGTTGAATGCATTTAAACTAAATAATTTGTTGTCACTCTCCAATATTAGCAGCTAATTAATTCACTTTCAAATGTTAGATGAAAGAACTGCCATTAATGATAGGGCTAGCAATGGAAAAAACAAAAACAAAAGATTAGCATTAACTTTATAGTATAGTATAGTATAGAGACTACCAGGCAATCTCATTTTTTGACCTAGAAGTGCCTGCCAATAAACTTCCCCAGTAAAATAGCCAATCCCACACAACGAAAGTGCAGTTCAACAACAACAAGGAGCTGGATGAAATCTGCAGTTCCTCCTTTCCTCAAATGTTCGACCAGCAAGTTGTTGAAATTTTCATTTTGCAATTTTACTACGAGCATGTATAGGAATTGAAAATATAGAGAATTTTTGTAAAGGGCATTCTAAACAAACTATATGAAGTAACATAGTAAATTTCCCCTTTGCATGTAGAATTGAAATTGCTATAACCTCTCAACATTTTATATAATGCATTTGACCAATCAAAGGGTATTTTAAGGTTGCCGGATCTAATATATCAAGCACCAAGAGGTGTTGGAGGTAGCCAGGGTGAAGGGACAAAGAAATGAAGGAGAACAGAACAAACGAACATGATGGGAAAATATAAAAGCTATTGAATGCAAAACGCAAACTATATCAATTTCTTATTTTACAGATTCATCAAGAACAGTGGACTACGATAGATAATTTAAAAACTTAACGTGTCAATATACAAAACATTAAATGATCCTTCATCACCAAGAAAAACACCTCAGAATTTGCAAGTACAAAAAAGATATCAAGTCCCCAAAAGATTATAAATGGGCGCATAAGATTAACCGTTGTACACTACAAAGAACTGCAAAATCAACCTACTAGAAAGCAGTTAAAGAAATTACAAAAGAGCCTCCTAACAAAGTAGCCCAAAAGTATACCACAATACAGGGATGCTAGAACCCTAGAATAGAGAATATAAGTTTTGAAAAATGACCCCTAACACCAAACACGTGATGAATTCACTAATATAAGCCACAAACATATGCACAAGCTCCTACATGCATTTGCATCTATATATAGATTAGCATGTCTAACACATAGATATACTACAAACACATACAACATATATTCTGTCCAAATAAATGGAAAAGTAAACACTGATTGTTTCATAAACTAAGAAAAGCAGTCGGCTTCTTTATTTTTTTCCACAATATACCTTTGGGCCATTACATTTACTGTGTCTTCAAGGTGCATCGTTTGGCTCTGGCAGGCAGAAACACACGAAGCAAGAAAAGAAGTTCTAAGAGCAGCTCTAGTGAAGTCATAAGCACCACTGGCAATAATCTTCTTAATCAATCCAGTTATCCCATCAAGCTCTTGCTGTGTGCTCAAAAACCAGATAGAGTCCAGTGTGATGCACAAGGCATCATTAAGGGTCTGTGGATCAGCCAACAGTATCAAACTCTCAGCAGGCTCCCAGTCATGGCAACTCACGGCGCTCTGAAACATCCGGCCCAACTCAATCCTTTCTTGCCTACTGAGTTTCTTCTCCTGTTCAAAATTCTCCTTATCGCCAATCTCAGACTCCGCCGCAACCACATGTGACTTGAGTTTTGTCGCACTACAACTACAAACACCAGATATTCTTGAATCTTTGCTTATAAGGGGTGCTTCTCTTGAAAATACAACATTACTTCCCTCGCCCATATCTGATGAGAAACATTGAATCTCACTCTTTGGGCTTCCAATTTCATTCTCTTCGGTCTCCATTTCCAGAGTAAATGGCTCTTCGGGATTAACATCATCCTCCAGATGCATATCAGTCCCCTCGACCAATGCTATCTCCTTTTCCATATTTTCCACTATACAACCACCACGCCAACAAACTAAAATAATTTTTAAAAAAAAAAAAAACCTCAATCAAGCAAACACTCAATTATCCTTAACAACGCCGATCATAAATACTTTTAAGTGAGAAAAGTATTGAAAAAACCGAAAAACCTAGTAAGACAATGCGGTGACTTCTCCTCCTTCAAATTTCAAATTCTATCAAAACAAATGACAGATTCCAAGCCACTAAAATCTCAATTCCTTTCCTTCTTTCATTCAATTCTCTTCTCCAAATGGCTCCACTCAATCAAACTAAGGAGGAAAAAATTAGGCCCCAGAATTATAAATTAGATTTTCAGGCAGAAACTCTATCAGGGCCAACTTGAACAGCTTGAATCCAATAACTTAAGTACCAAAACGATCAAAGGAAGCAAACCCACTAATTATATAACTTCAAAAAGGACAGACACGGTTTCCGTAACTAGAAAAAAATAATCAAAATAAAAACCCTAAAAAGCAGAAACCAGTCCTCCATCTTCAATCAGCATCATCAAAGATCCATAACCAGACCCTAAAACACAAAACCCATTTGCATCGATAAGCAACCATAAACAAAAACAAGTTATTATCTTTTTTCGCCAAACAACAATTAAAAGCTAAGAAAACCGAGAAGACAGAGGAAACATATAGGAAACGGGAAGCAGAAATGATGCAAATAAAATAAAATAAAGAGAGATTATAAAGACACCAAACCTGAATCCCAAATTAAGAGAATTTTTTTTAGACAGAGAGAGAGAGAGAGAGAGAGAGAGAGAGGGAAGGGGAAAGAACTAAACCTCTCTGCCTCCGGTATTTTAATTACTGGCGGTAGGGAGAGAATTTTTTTGGGGTTTTTTGTTTTTTTGGACACCAAAAAATAATAATAATAAGAAAGAAAAGCTTTGTCTTTTTCTCTTGTTTAATATTTTATACTCATAGTTATTTCATTTTCAAGGAGCGCTGTGTTTGTTTGGTTATGTAAAATAACATTTATTAATTATTAAATCAATTAAAGAGTGAGTCATGAGTGTGTGTGTGTTAGTGAGAGAGCAATAAGATACCCTTTAGAGTGAAAGGAATATTTTAATTAATAATTAATAATAAAATATTAATAATTTATTTTTTAACTATTATGAGGAAGGACTGACTGGCTCATGAAAATGAGAGTCACCACCACAAAGAAGGAAAAGGGTGGAGTGGTGGGGTCCATGTTTACTACACCCCATCACTACAATCATTACACATTTACATTTTGTTTTGTTTTTGGGATTTCTTTCTCTCTCCAATGACTCATTTGAACCACAACCTATCATCCTCTTTTGCTTTGTCCTTTTCTTCACTTCTTGCCTTGCTACCACTTGCTACTTGGCATGTGGCAATGCCATGATGCCCAACCTTTCCATTTCATTTTCATGACGCCTTCCCCTTCTTTTAATTTGGATGAATGAATCAATTTGTGCTTATTGTTATTATCTTTTTATTTATTTATTTTATATCTTTGATTAAATTAATTTTATTTTTAAAAATATATTAGTCATGTAATTTATCTTTGTGATAAGATTTTCAAAATAAATTATCAAAATCAGTCATATAATTTACACATAAAAATCTATTTTTAATAGCTTGTAAATATATTTTAAAAATAAAAATTAGTTATATGTAAATTACGTGAATAATTTTAGTAATTCAATTTAAAAATTTTGACAAAATAATATATTTAAAATTTAATATGTATTTAAAAATAAAATTGACTCAACTAAAAATAATTGATTTTTAGCCATTAATGCTTTCAAGTTTTACTGTTGGCTTCTCATGTGGGCACATCACTTGCTTCTTCTTTTTTCTCCCACTAAGCGAGGTGCATTCGTTGCATACACCAACAGATGAAAAAAAAAAAAAAAAAAAAAAAAGAAAGGGGATCTCATGAATAAGATCTTGCAATTAACTTTTTCTCTATTTGTTGTAATATATGAACAAATCCATCCATCTATGTATTTAGGAAACTTAAATCCAATATTGATTTGTTTATAATGAATTTATTGTTGAGCAATGTTAAGGATAATCAAATATTTCATTAAACATATCTTATTAATTGATGTAGCATTTCATTGTAAGGAAAGTATTTCAAATTATAGTGAGTGAATCTTATCACAATTTGTGATATAATGCTAATTATATAATTATTAACTAATAAATCACCAACTACAACATGTCACGTCACATGATAATAAAATCTTAGCAAATAATTAAGTATTGTTATTACTATTATTATTAAATAGTGATTCAATAAGAAATTTTATGATACTCAATAAATAACCGTCAATACTTACTTCATAATAAAGAAATAGACACAAAAATGAGAAAAATATGAGAAATGAAAAAAAATAAAAAACGGAGTTTAGATGAAAATATTATTATCACTTTTAGTTGATCGAATGCGATTTTCTCTCTTTTTTTGTGTCTCTGTTTCCTTTTTCGATAAATTTTATATTACTCTTTGGGTAATTACCAATACTTATTCCAAAAATATAAATACAAAGAAAATAAAGAAATAAGAAATAAGAAATAAACTGCTTATATGAAAATATTCTTGTCACTTTTAATGGTCCGGATTATTTTTTATATTTTTATTTTTTTGTTGTTTATTTTTCTCTTTGAAAATAAACTCACGAAGTATCTATTATAAGTGTACAATAGTTATTCTTGAAATATTTTAAAATTTCTCTCTTCATAATCGGGTTTATGAAATAAATATTAATAATTACTATTTTAGTATTTTAAAATTTGTTATGATTTAATTATTAAATTAATTTTTATTTTCCTATTAGATCAAGAATTTATACCACGGAGTTGACAAAATTTGCAAATAAAATTTATGATATATTTAAGGTATTTGGTTGTTCATTGTTTAGGTGTGGGATTGGACCCTATTCCAACCCAGTGACAATGGAACCTAACTTGGAAGCTGGTCAAAAGTAAGAAATCAAGCTTATTTTGTCTCAATGTATTCAACATTCGAAGGAAATGTAGGTCATAGCAATCCATATAGCAGTCCTCTAATGATCAAATTTAACGCACCTCCCGTCACGTGCTTGAAAATTTCATATTTCACGTGGTGCTGTCTAAAAATCTTGTTACATAACGAAAAAAAAAAAATGATGATTTTCAATATTTTTTATTTAATCCAGGATTTCTATGTTGAAAATATGATTTATTATATTCGAAATGAGGATAATAAGGTTTAACATCTTCCAACAAATGCAATTCCAAGATAAGAGTAACGAGATTTAACATCTTTTAATAAATGAAATATTAAAATTCGAACGATATGTATTAATAAAAAAATTATTTATAAACCAACTTATTTATCATTGTGCCAACAACTTGTTGCAGTGACTTTTCGCATTTCTATAATAATTGACTTTTGTAGTCTAAGAAAAACAATAAAAGAAATAGTAATAAAAAAGGAAACAAAAAAACCACCATGATAATAGGTCATAAGTTTACGTTTGACATGATTTTTGTAGATTAATTTTGGTAGTTTTTAAACTTTTCAGGTAAAGAAAGATTATAAGTATATTTAGCAATGAACAATTTTTAATTTAAATCAAAAGTTTGCTGTAAAATTGAATAAAAATTTTGATTTAAACAAAAGTTGAAAATTTGAATTTTTGACTTATAGATTCTAACTTATATTGCATTTCTCCTTTTAAAAAAAAAAAAATTGCTTCGAGTCATTTTTATCAAACATATTTTTAACTTAGAGTGATTTCAACTCATTTTCATTATAAATTATTTATATAAAAATAATAATTTTCGTACGAATACCATAAAAAAAATGCCAAATAGACTCTAAATCAATCAACCCCATGTATAAAAAAAAAAAAAAAAAAAAATGGAATATGAATGGATGATATAAAAGGTAAGTGTTATCAGATGAAAATGGGGTTGGTTGAAATGCAATATTGGAGTTTTGGCTCATAAATGAATTTATCTGTAGATCAAGGATAAAGAGTGGGAGTCAATCCAATTGTAACATGATTTTTTAAAAGAAGACAACATACAATAAAAAATAAAAAATTGATTGAAAGTGTTATTTTTAATTAATATTAAAACACCAAAACTATTCTTAAATCGAGAGTAATAATGAAGTAAAACTAAATGACCAAAGTAAATTGTTTTTTTGTTTTTCCCCTAATAAAACTTATGCAAATCGTTTTGTGAATGCTTGTGCAAAACCCCTACGACCCATATAATGTAATGTATCCTTAGCATTTTTTCTTTGAATACAATACCGTACACCTTGTCCACGAGATTAAGTGGCGGAGTAAATTATAAATTAGTCTTTTTATTTTTAAGAAATAATCAATTGGTTTTTTTTAAAAAAAAAACTCATTATTTAATTTTTTAATCTGTATTGATCATAATTAATTTAATATTATTTTATTTCGGTAGCATTAAATGGGAATCGTCCTAAACACTTATGCAACATCCACTAAATGCCAACAAAATCTTTCTTGTTAATGCATGTCTTGTAAATTGCACACTTCGCCTCACACCTAAATTTTAAACATCGGATTTTGGAGATCCGCATTCTATCGAAATGAACTAAGAGCGTTTTCTTATCACGAGTATATACAAATCTATAGGGAAAAAAGAATGATTTTCTTATTTATCGGTCTTATTTTTAGTGTGCGCATTATGAGCGCATTTGGATCTACAAAAGTAATCGCTCGAATATTACAAAATATTACATTTTCTTATAAATCTTTCATATTTTTAAAATATTTTTTTATTATTTTCTATTTCTTAAAATAATAAAGAATGATCGAGATTAAATTATTAAAAAAATTAAAAATATAAAGACTAAATAATCGGTTTGTAAAACACAAAAGACTAATTAATTTTTTTCTTAAAACTAAAGAGATTAATTTATAATTTACTCTTCCGTAGTGGTTTTTTTTTTTTTAGTATAAGATATTGCT